CAGCGCCGAGGGCCTTCTGGCGGTTCCCTCATTGCAAGAAGTGAAGCTCCACGGAACCAGGCAGAGGGCCTTCTCGGTGGTGGCGCCCACCCTGTGGAATGCCCTGCCTTCAGATGTGAAGGAAATAAGCAGCTATCTTCTCTTTAAAGGACATCTGAAGGCAGCCCTGTTTAGGGAAGTTTTTAATATTTAATGCTGTATTGTTTTAACACTCGATTGAAAGCCGCCCAGAGTGGCTGGGGAAACTCAGCCAGATGGGTGGGGTATAAATAATAAATTATTATTATTATTATTATTTGAGAACCAAGGTACCGCTGTACTGGGCTAGATCATGTCCAACAAAGGGCTCTCCTCCTGGCCAGCTTTTTCAATTGCTGTGTCCTTTAGGAGCTGCTTGCAGCTCTGGGAACTGACCGGTAGAGGGAGAAAAATCTCTCTCTCTCTCTCTTGGCAGGTCAAAGCACAAAAGAGGCATTACATTAGACTTATTTACAGACCTGCGTCGTCATCGTGTACCTGCTAAACCTGTTCAGGCCCTCAACGCCCACACATTCCCCCTCCTCCTCTGTGGATCTATGCGCAAGCTCTGATGTGGCCCATCTTAAGCTCTCGGCAACAGGCCCCAACACGCACTGCTTCAATATTGAATCTTCTTCAAAGCAGGCCTGTCACGCCGGCACACTTTTGATGCGTAACGCACAGCAAAGCTTCCCTGGGCTGGCTCTGTTTCCTAAGTTGGAGGTGGGGAATGCCCTCAGCACATGCGCAGAGGTACTCTCTTCTTGGCTAGCCACATGACCTAAGAGCTGGTGCCTTGGGTGTTTGGGGGCTCTGTCGCTCTCCCTGAAATGCTTGTCTTCTGAATCTGACGCAGCGCGGGAATGAAGGGGCTCTCACAATCACATGTTCTCACACTCCGTCATGTAGTGTTAGAAACTGAGATATGAACACGAGGAGATAAAGAGCACCTTAAACCATGGTTACGGGCGCAACAACAGAATGTCCAGGCGCACTTTTTTAATAAGATTGCAAAGCTGAAAATGAATGAACTGCAGCTAAAGTATTACAGTGGGACCTTGGTTCTCGAACTTAATCCGTTCCGGAAGTCCGTTCCAAAACCAAAGCGTTCCAAAACCAAGGCGCGCTTTCCCATAGAAAGTAACGCGAAACCGAATACAGTGGTACCTCGGGTTAAGTACTTAATTCGTTCCGGAGGTTTGTACTTAACCTGAAACTGTTCTTAACCTGAAGCACCACTTTAGCTAATGGTGCCTCCTGCTGCTGCTGCGCCGCCGGAGCACAATTTCTGTTCTCATCCTGAAGCAAAGTTCTTTACCTGAAGCACTATTTCTGGGTTAGCGGAGTCTGTAACCTGAAGCGTATGTAACCCGAGGTACCACTGTAATCCGTTCCAGACTTTTAAAAACAACCCCTTAAAGAACAGCAGTTGAACATGAATTTTACTAACAAGACCCATCGATCCATAAAATGGAAGCAATAAACAATGTACTGCAGTCACACAATCAATCACAAAAGCAAAACAGAAAAGAAACAGGGACAATTTTGTTGTTGACAAACGACAGCTGGGCATATAAAGAGCCCCATTACCTTCAGTAGCTTAAGGCCTCGTCAAACCTAATTCTGGCCCTGGGTGAGATGGTGATGAGTGGTCAGAGAGGGAAGAGGAGATTCGGAGCTGAAGAGGCAACAGGGCTAAGTGAGTCTACGTCCAGAAGCGGAAGTGGAAGTAGGAGAGTGAGGTGACCAAGGGGCAGAGATGAGTCTGGCTGGCGAAGACCCCAGGGTGTCTCCCCCTCCTGCTGTGACAAAAAAACCCTGCCTGATATCCCAGAACTAGAAGAGGCGTGAAGAGGACAGAGCGTTGAGAGACAAGGTGTTAGTGAAGTCTCAGATTGCTTGGGAAGGACCTGGCCAAGGAGGAGCCGTAGGGAGCTGTGGAAAGGCCCACAACCGCCTCCTAGAGGCAAGATCTACCAAGAAACTGGATTGTTGTTGTTTAGTCGTTTAGTCGTGTCCGCCTCTTTGTGATCCCCTGGACAGGAGCACGCCAGGCCCTCCTGTCTTCCACTGCCTCCCGCAGTTTGCTCAGACTCATGCTGGTACCTTTGAGAACACTGTCCCACCATCTCATCCTCCATCGTCCCCTTCTCCTTGTGCCCTCCATCTTTCCCAGCATCAGAGTCTTTTCCAGGGAGTCTTCTCTTCTCAAGATGTGGCCAAAGTCTTGGAGCCTCAGCTTCAGGATCTGTCCTTCCAGTGAGCACTCAGGGCTGATTTCCTTCAGAATGGAGAGGTTTGATCTTCTTGCAGTCCATGGGACTCTCCAGAGTCTCCTCCAGCACCAGAATTCAAAAGCATCCATTCTTCGGCGATCAGCCTTCTTTATGGTCCAGCTCTCACTTCCATACATCACTACTGGGAAACTGGATAGTAGCCATTAATAACCTTTTCCTCCTCCACAAATTTGCCCACTCCTTTTTTTAAAGCCATCCAAGATGGTGGCCATCTTGTGGGAGGGAGTTCCGCAGTTGACCTTTTCAAGGCACAGAGGATTTTCTTTTCTTTGTCCTTAATCTTGCCGGATGTTGTTGTGGGAATGTTCAGGGTGGCAAGAGAGGATATATTGTTTATTCATATCCTTCCTAGCTTGCGCTAGCAAGTTCCTTTACTTAGCAAAGAGCAGTCCCCTTTACGCAGCAGAAAACCTGTTGCAAACTCATGTGAGTTTCTGAAGACAATATGCAAGTCAATCTGGCTTGTCCAGGTTGAAATATGTTCTAATATTTGCCTGGTAGGACCCCTTGAATCCCTGCTAAAAGAATACAGACACCACAGTCTTACTCATAAGCAATAAAAATAAAGTTTACTCACAATCAGGCAGAGCACAGAGTGATCCCTGAAGGCAGGCTTGAAGCCAGTGATGGCCAAATTAATGAATGTTAGAATGATGACGGATTGAAGTTAAGCGGTTTCTAGCGGTAATGATATAAAAAAAATATGGAAAAATTGGTTTTTAATATGTAAAAATTTAATGTTATAATTTATCATGATTAAAGATTAGGATTAAAAGGAGGGAAAGGAATTGCTGGATTAACATACTGAATTGGAATACAAAAGAGGGAGGTATGAGGAGGTCCGGGAAACAAGTAAATGTAAAAGAAGTGAAGAAAAGATGGAATTGTTTTTAACTGTTTTTTCTTTTTTGTATTTTGTATTTTTCTTTTTTATTGTTAATTTTCTTATTAATGTGATTTTTCTTCTTTTGAAATTTTAATAAATATTACTTAAAAAAGAAAAGAAAAAAAGAAGCCAGTGATGGCCAAACTTGAGTCTCCAGCTGTTTTTGGACTACAACTCCCATCATCCCTAGCTAACAGGTCAGGGATGATGGGAACTGTAGTCCCCAAACAGCTGGAGGGCCAAGTTTGGCCGTCACTGCTTTAGGCTTAAAGTTTCAAACATATAGAAACAGGTTTACCCCATAAGGGAGATTTGCCTAGTGACCGCAGGCTAGCAGTGCAGCAGTTCACAGGACGAAAGGAAGATGGAGAAGAGGGATAGGGGAAGCATGTCTTGGCCTTTGACTAGGTCTGACAAGGTCATGCCCACCCACTAGTCACATGCGAAAGGAAGGATGCTCCAGGCCAGGGGGAACAGGAAGTTTAGAACGGGTTGGACCAAACATCCCCTCGCTAGTCCACTCTAGGAAAACAAGGAATGTTGTACTTGACTGCTCCCAGTGGATCACATAATATAATTGCTACGGAAGAATCTAGGTGTGAGGCTGCTCAGTCACCCAGCTGGTCGGGCAGAGCCCGTGGGTCCCTGCGGAATAAAGGAAGGAGTCCAGCCACCAGCCGGAGCAAACAGCTGTAGACCAAAGTTTATTGCGCAACAGGTTCAAAGAGGAATTTTGAACCCCGAGGATGGGGTGACAAGGACTTTTAAAACTTTCCCACCATATCCCAGAATACAGTTCGTACAGCATCATTGCCACATCACTGACATGTCACAAAGGGGGAGGGGTAGACAGGGGTTACACTAGTTTAACCTTGGCAAACATGTCCAGACAAGTCCTTGGTACAAGCTTAGCATAAGGGCAAGACCCAGGTATAAGATGAGCAGAGGCAAACACCTCTAAAGTCCCACCACCCAAAGTCCAAGAGAACTTCCTTTGCATGTCTGGACTCCTTGGCAAGTCCGGTGATGGGATTAGGCTTTCCTTGGCCAACAAGCAGCTCAGCAATTGTCACCTCTGGGAACTTCCTGGAGTCCCTTTCAAGGGGGAAATAGCTTTGGAATGGAGGAAACTGGCAAAGGAGTTGATTTTATATTATTTTTAAAGCTAGGTAACTTCCCTGAGCTGTCAAGTTGAAAGGATACATTCAGGCATAATATTTGTAACATTTAACAACTTTAAAGATGTGCCCCCCTGTAATTTCCATAAAATAATAATAATAATAATAATAATAATAATAATAATAATAATAATAATTTATACCCCACCCATCTGGCTGGGTTTCCCCAGCCACTCTGGGCAGCTTCCAACCGAATATTAAAATCAATACAGCGTCAGACATTAAAAACTTCCCTAAACAGGGCCGCCTTCAGGTGTCTTTTAAAAGTAAAATAGTTGTTTATTTCCTTGACATCTGGTGGGAGGGCGTTCCACAGGGCGGGCGCCACCACCAAGAAGGCTCTGTGCCTGGTTCCCTGTGACCTCGCTTCTTACAGGCAGACAACCGCCAGAAGGCCCTTGGAACTGGACCTCAGTGTCCGGGCTGGACGATGGGGGTGCAGACGCTCCTTCAGGTATACAGGACCGAGGTCAGAGTTGTCCCTTTATGAACAGAACCCCCGCCCCAGGACTCTGGAACCGGTTGCCCTGGCGGCAGCTTATAACCGCGACCCAAAGAACCAAAAGGGTTCTGGAACGTGTTCCGCTAGCCGCACCTACAGCTTTCCTGGTGGGCCCACCAATGGCCCTTCCTAAATCGTTCTTCGCTCCGAGGGCTCTGGGACCTGCCTCTCGGTCGCCCGCAACTCTGGCTCTCCTGCTCCTGCTCCTCGCCTGTGAGAGCCCCGAGACGGAGGGGTGCATCCACTGCGGACTCCATTCCAAGAACCTGAAGACCCGCTTTGCCTACCTCTGCGCCCAATACCGAGAGCGTTACCGCCAGGCAAACTGTACCGGTTATCCCTGGGGCAGAGAGTCCTCCCTGGGCTTGGCCTTAGGTAGAGAAAACGGGGCTCTTTGGGGATGTCTGGAAAGGGACAGGATTTATTATTATTTAATGGCAATGATTAGAACATCACTGTTATTATTTCTGTACACATTGATGGAACGTCACTGTTAGTATTTCTGTCTGCATCGTGCAACATCACTATTATTAGTTTGGTATGCGTGACCGGAATGCCACTGTTATTATTTCTGTATGCATCCCATTAGCATAGTCGCTCAGATCAATATTATTAGCGGTAATAATAACAATATATTCTTATGGGTGGCAACAGGGGTGGGGCTCCCTCTATATTTCCCTGTGGGCTATCTCTTTGGGGGGCAGGTGTCCACATGCTGGTGGTGGGTGGAGCCAGAGGGGGAAAGGGGGCAGAGCAAGAGATAATAGTAATAATAATAATAATAATAATAATAATAATAATAATAACAAGAAGAAGAAGAAGAAGAAGAAGAAGAAGAATTTCTAGGTTTCTACCTGCACACAATCACTTGTATATAATGCTGGAAGGTTCAGGACAAACAAATGTGCTTCTCCCTTCATAGCTGACCTGTGGAACTCAATCCCACAAGAAGTAGAGAGAGCTGTTAAAAATTAGACAAACTAAGGGGAGATATCACCACAGTTCTTCGGACGGTTTGCGTTTTTCAGAATCCACTGAAGTACTTTCATAAGCTCGTTATTCCTCGGAGCTGGACCTCAGTGTCTGGGCTGAACGATGGGGGTGGAGACGCTCCTTCAGGTCTACTGGGCTGTTGAGGCCATTTAGGGCTATCAAGGTCAGCACCAACACTTTGAATTGTGCTCGGAAATGTCCTGGGAGCCAATGGAGGACTTTCAGGACCGGTGTTCTGTGGTCTCGGCGGCCGCTCCCAGTCACCAGTCTGGCTGCTGCATTCTGGATTAATTGCATTTTCCGGGTCACCTTCAAAGGTAGCCCCAAGTAGAGCGCATGGCAGTAGTCCAAGCGAGAGATAACCGGAGCATGCGCCACTCTGGAGGGTGCCAGGTTGGGGGTGGCAGGTGTTGCAGACCACCGTGGCTCACGCAAGGTTCCCCTTTCTTCCCTCCCACCTGCAGATGACATGTCCTTGGATCTCTTGCTGGAAAAAACGCACCGAGTCTTCCGGGTTATAGGTAAGGAGCAGTTTGGATTGTGCAGATTTCAGGGGGTGGCGCTTCCTTGGGACGATGGGCGTAAAATGAAGGAAGGGGTGTGTGTGAAAACTCTTGCTTTTGCATCAGTCTAAAGAAGCTGCTGGTGGTGGCAGAAGTGGGATTATCATTCTCTCATCCCTTCTCCCCGCCAGAAATAAACCAGAGCCTCACTGACTTCCCAAAATTTTGGAACTGGCTTCATGAAGTTAAGATACCAGAGCAGAGCAGAGAAGGTACGAGAAAGGATGTTCAGTCTGTATTTGAAAAGTAATTGTGATGATCAAATTACGTTTGTAGGTTTGCAAGAAGTTTTGTGAGGTGAATTATTGGAACTATTGCAAAAATGAATAAAGGGGAGGATGGTTAGTTAAGATAAATAAAGGCAATATGAATTTAAGAAATGCACAAGAAGTGATAAAAACGGTGGATCATCAGAGTCCAAAAAAGATTGTATAAGTGGTGAAGTTCTGTGGTATGCATTATAATTTACATGTTAAAATTAATAAAAAATATTTATTAAAAAAAGAGAGAAAGGATGTTCAGTCTGAAACCCAGTCTGTATTGGGACTGGCTCTGAAATTGTTTAAATACATCTCAGTCACAGAACGTGCTGGAAAAACAGAGGTTGCTTCTGGGCATGTGCAAAGTGTGTTTTCCCTCAAATGCGGGGTTTCGCTTATGCTCACGTGCGCGACATCAGGACGTCAAAATATCACACGCATAAATAATAAGTAAATAAATGTTTATTTATACCCCTCCCTCACCGGCAGGGCAGGGCTCACAGCGGCTAACACCAAATATGAATTACAATAAAACGTAATTGAAAAACAATAACAACCACCACCACCAGTTAATTAAAATATGGCTTAAAATGCAGCTTAAAATGCAGCCTCATTTTAGTAGTAGCCCATAAATCAAGACCATAAAGGGAGGAAACATCGGATATTCACCTGAGCCAGCTATCCATGCTGGTCCTACGTGGGTCAGCAAAAAAGCCAGGGGAAAATTTATATACCAAATCCCATATAAGGGGTCAGAGTGAGTCCAAGCTGAAGGCCAGGCGGAACAGCTCTGTCTTGCAGGCCCTGCGGAAAGATGTCAAGTCCCACAGGGCCCTGGTCTCTTGGGGCAGAGCGTTCCACCAAGTCGGGGCCAGTACGGAAAAGGCCCTGGCCCTAGCTGAGACCAATCTAACCACCTTGCGACCTGGGACCTCCAAACTGTTGTCATTTGTGGACCTTAAGGTCCTCCGCGGGGCAGACCAGGAGAGGCGGTCCCGTAGGTACGTGGGTCCTGGGCTTTAAAGGTCAAAACCAGCACCTTAAATGTGGGGTTTCGCTTATGCTCGCGTGCGCGACACCAGGACGTCACAATATCACACGCATGACATTGACCCCCGCAATGCCCCACGCAATCTAGCCCCTAACCGTTCCCCTATGAAAAACTTCACCGCACCCCACTGCTGCAGCCCAGTTGCTGAAAGGAGGGAGGCTTTGTTGCCATATCGCACCTCTGCTCAGAGATTTCCCAATTTGGTACGGGGTGTTGCTCTCAGTATCTAAAGCCCTTAACAAAATGGGACCCGGTTCACCTGTGAGATCGCCTCGCCCCATAAACGCCCCACTTGACCGCTTGGATTGGCAGGACTTTCGCTGTTTCCACACGCTACCCGTTCTGCCTTGCTAGGAACTGGATCTTTTGATGTGGCAGCGCCGACACCTTTGGAACTCCCTGCCACTTGACACCAGGCAGGAGTACCTTCAGCAGTACTCCTCTTGGCGCCTGCTAAAACCACTGTCACTTAGACAAGCCTGCTCAGACATGTAGAATGTGGGTGTAGAATTTTATGTTTCAATGTGCTCTTTAGTTTATTGCCGGTTTTTTGGTTGGTTTTTAAAAAACTGTTTTCGCTGGTATTTCATTGTTTTGTTCTCTTTGCATCCTGATTTGAGGGCATTTTTTTAAAAAAGTGGTGTGTAGATTTTATGAAATGAATAAATGAATGAATCATAATCTCACTCATCTGGGACGAGAGGGAAGAGGGTAATTTTTCCTCTCAGAATTTGCCCCCTAGGGCACAGGAGAAATGATCTGAATCAGGCGTGTGGGTGACTAGAAACAGCACTCCAGAAACCTCCAGGGTCCTATCCTGACCTCACAACATAGCTGTCAACCGTCCCTTCTTTGGCGGGACAGTCCCTTATCCCAGCGCTGTGTCCCGCTGCTGTCCCTTATTGATGATGTCCCTTAAATTTCCCGGGTTTCAAAGGAAGCAGCTCCTCTCCCTCCCTCCCTGCCGGCCAGGGAGGAGGGAGGCTCCAACTGGGTTGCTTGGCTGCGTTGCTCACCCAATAAGGAGCCTGAGAATGACTGGGGGTGGAGCTTGCATGCCTTGTGCCGATCAAATCGGCCGCATTGCCTGGGGACTCGCCTTTGCTCAGCGCTTCCCAGCGGAGAGGGGGCGGTGGTTTTCCTTGCTGCATCCCCTTTGCTGGGTTGCTGCGCTGTGGGAACCACCGCTTGAGGCTTCGTTTGGCTGCTGGCTGGGCTTTCTGCCTTTGGCTCGGAGGGGCTCAGAAGTCGAACACACCCGTGCTTGGAAAATCCCTTATTTTGGCTGCTGATCCCTTATTTTCAAGGCTGCTGATCCCTTATTTTCAAATCTGTAAGTTGACAGCTATGCCTCACAATTTCCAAGGCAGGGACCAGCCCCAGTCCCTGATAGCTGCTGGAAAAACTAGCTTGCTAGATGACTGAGTGTCTTGCAATAAACCTCTTTTCTCTTTTCTCTTCCAGCGCTGTGCCCTCCAGCTTGCCGTAAGTTCCGGGGACGGGATAACAGAACGCGAAATACTGGGATCAAGAGCCCCACCTTTATAAAAGATGGGGAAACACCCCCTCCCTTATTACATCCCTTCTCAGTGGTGGCTCCGACCTGGTGGAATGCTGTGTTTCAGGAGACCAGGGCCCTGCAGGATTTAACCTCCCTCCGCTGGGCCTGTAAGACAGAGCTATTCCGCCTGGCCTTTAATTTGAATTCAGCCTGATCTTTTATTCCCCTTCCTCCCCTCCCCTTTTATGAAGATCACCTGCTCTGAGACCCCACAGCTAATTCTCCCCTTGTCTCCTCGCTGGCCCAAGTAGGACTAATTTAGCGAGCTAGCCCTGGGGATTATCTAATTGATTTTTGATTTTTGTTATTGTTATTCGTGTTTTTATACTGTATTTTATGCTGCTTTTATAATTAAGTGTTTTAAAGTGTTTTAAATTTGTTGTTAGCCGTTCTGGTTTTTGAACCAGGAAGGGCGGGGTATAAATAATAATAATAATAATAATAATAATAATTAATAATAATAATAATAATAATAATAATAATTACATTGCCCGCCTACCCACCCCTGGCTACATCCATAGAATTGTAGAGTTGGAAGGGACCCAGGGGTCATCTATTCCAACCCCCTGCAATTCAGGAATCTCAGCTAAAACATCCCTGACAGATGTCCACATTGCTTAAAAGAATTTTGGTCTATTACTCAATTATCTGTGGAAATATCACTATAGCCCGTGCATGGGGTCAAGATTAACATTAATAATAATAACTAATAATAATAATAATAATAATTGTGCCTTGGGTCGTTAAGCAATTACAGTGGTCACCTTGGTTCTCAAACTTAATCCATTCTGGAAGTCCGTTCCAAAACCAAAGCGTTCCAAAACCGAGGTGCGCTTTCCCATAGAAAGTAATGCAAAATGGATTAATCAGTTCCAGACTTTATAAAGCAACTCCTAAAACAGCAATTTAACGTGAATTTTACTGTCTGACGAAACCATGGATCCATAAAATGAAAGCAATAAACAATGTACAGTGGTACCTCGGGTTAAGTACTTAATTTGTTCCGGAGGTCCATTCTTAACCTGAAACTGTTCTTAACCTGAAGCACCACTTTAGCCAATGGGGCCTCCTGCTGCTGCCCTGCCGCCGGAGCACGATTTCTGTTCTTATCCTGAAGCAAAGTTCTTAACCTGAAGCACTATTTCTGGGTTAGCGGAGTCTGTAATCTGAAGCGTATGTAACCTGAAGTGTATGTAACCCGAGGAACCACTGCACTGCAGACACACACAATCAATCAATCAATCAATCAATCAATCAATCAGTAGCTGAACTGGGTTCCACACAGTCACAAAAACAAAACAAAAAGCCACAAAAACGCAAAATAAATAGCAAAAACAGACAGATCTCAGCGTAACACTCAAAACGGAAGCGTGGCACTCAAAACGGAGCACGTTTGGCTTCTGAAAAAAGTTCGCAAACCGGAACACTTACTTCCGGGTTTGCAGTGTTTGAGTTCCAAGTTGTTTGAGTACCAAGGCGTTTCAGAACCAAGGGACCACTGTAGTTAGTTAGATGAATCAATTTAAAACTGTTAGCAGCCACCGGGAATAGCATCCCGGTTATTTGGGTGACGTGGTTTTTAAAAATTGAGTGTTGTTTTTTAAGCATGTATTTAAAACCCCAGGCAAGAACTGCAGCCTCTCTGAGCCACGATTCCTGTATTGGAGAATTGCTGCTGCCAACCTGTGTCAACAGCACTAAGCTAGGTGGAACAAGGTTTTCCGATTCAGCATAAGGTGGCTGCCGTCTGGGCTCCTGCAGTGCACCCCGAAGTCCAGGAGGGCGCCTGGTTGGGGAAGTCTGATCTGCTCCCACTGGGAGTGGCTCTCACAAAAGGCACTTCTCATCTCCTGATCCTTTGAATCAAAGATGCTGCCGGCCAGGGACTGAACCATAGCTGTCAACCGTCCCTTATTTGGCGGGAAAGTCCCTTATCCCAGCGCCGTGTCCTGCTGCTGTCCCTTATTGATGATGTCCCTTAAATTTCCCGGGTTTCAACAAGGGATAGCAGCGGGACACGGTGCTGGGATAAGGGAGTTTCCCGCCAAATAAGGGACGGTTGATAGCTATGGTCCTTCCCCTCCGTCAGAGGAGGTGCGGGGTTCTGAGGCCTCTGCCCCACACCCTCACCTGACCCCCCTTCTCATTTCCAGAGGGATCAGCCTTAGTGTGGAACTGTACCACTTGCCGGAGAGTTGAGCTGCGCTGCTGGGATATGAAGACCTGTTACCCAGGTGAGGAGCTTCTCTCTCCTTTGCTGTAATAATAATAATAATAATAATAAAAATAAAAATAATAATACCCCGCCCATCTGGCTGTGTTTCCCCAGCCACTCTGGGCAGTCCCCAACAGAACACTAAAAACAGAATAAAACTTCAAAGATTAAAAAGCCCCCTGTCTCTTATGCAAACCCTTTGGGTGTGCAATTCCCACCCCTCCTTGGCCAGTCCTTGCCCCCCTCCCTCCCTCCCCTTTTATCTTCCAGGGTCCACCCTACTTGCCAAGGCCTTTGGCAGACCTTCCACGCGTCCCAATTTCCCAGGGATTGACAGACGCCATCCTGGTTTCTGGTTTGATCCATGTATGTCCCGCTTTTCCTTAGAACCGGGCACAGGGCCTTCTCGGTGGTGGCGCCCGCCCTGTGGAACACCCTCCCTTCAGATGCCAAGGAAATAAACAACTACCTGACATTCAGAAGACATCTGAAGGCAGCCCTGTTTAGGGAAGCTTTTAGTGTTTGATGTTTTATAAATTATTATTATTATTATTATTATTGGGAGCCACCCAAGACCTTCCTGGGGCTCTTCCAAGCACCCCTTCTTCTCTTTGCCCGCCTCACCCCCTGGCATTCGCTCGCCCATTTCTCTCTCACTTTCTCCCCACAGAGGGCGGAGGTCTGGAAAAAATCACCCGGTTAATCTGCTCCATCTCTGGGTCCTGCCTTTTTCTGGGCATCGTCTCTTGCGCTCTCGAGTAAGTGGGGCGCCCCATGGAGGGGAAGGGGCAAAGGGGGAGGGGCATTGCTGATAAGAGGACCTCAATTAATGGGATAATGGACAATACTGCGGTGCCTTGGTTCTCGAACTTAATCCGTTCCCGAACTCCGTTCCAAAACTGCCCTGTGGAACTCCCTCCCACCAGATGTCAAGGAAATAAACAACCACCTGACTTTTAGAAGACATCTGAAGGCAGCCCTGTTTAGGGAAGCTTTTAATGTTTGATGCATTACTGTATTTTAATATTTTGTTGGAAGCCTCGCAGAGTGGCTGGGGAAGCCCAGCTAGATGGGCGGGGTATAAATAAATTATTATTATTATTATTATTATTATTATTATTTCAAAAACCAAGATACAGCTTCTGATTTGTGCAGGCGCCCCAGAAATAATAGCCAACAGCCGCATTGGGTGCTTGGCTTCTGAAAAACGTTTGAAAACCAGAACACTTAACTTCTGGGTTTTTTATTCACTACTGCATTTCTGTCCTGCCTTTCCTCCAAAGAACATGATCCACTTTTGACCCTCACAACATCCTGGGAGCCAATGGAGGTCTTTCAGGACTGGTGTTATGTGGTCTCCCAGTCCTCAGTCTAGCTGCCGCATTCTGGATTAGTTGCAGTTTCCGGGTCACCTTCAAAGGTAGCCCCACATAGAGCGCATTGCTGTAGTCCAAGCGGGAGATAACTAGAGCATACGCCACTCTGGTGAGAAAGTCCGCGGGCAGGGAGGGTGCCAAAAAGGTATTGTCACGGTGGAGGAGAGAGGTCTGCCGGCGGTTATGGCTCACGATGGCTCTACAGAATCCACATGTTCTATAGAACCTCCATTCTCAGTGGCAGTCTATCTTTGAAGACCAGCTTCCTGGGGAGAGGGAGCGGGAGAGGCCTGGCGCTCACACGCCTTGCTTGCCAGACCTCCACAGGCCGGCAAGATATACTGTAAAGGTAAAGGTAAAGGGACCCCTGACCATTAGGTCCAGTCGTGGCCGACTCTGGGGTTGTGGCGCTCATCTCGCTTTACTGGCCGAGGGAGCCGGCGTACAGCTTCCGGGTCATGTGGCCAGCAGGACTAAGCTGCTTCTGGCGAACCAGAGCAGCGCACGGAAACGCCGTTTATCTTCCCGCCAGAGTGGTACCTATTTATCTACTTGCACTTTGACGTGCTTTCGAACTGCTAGGTTGGCAGGAGCAGGGATTACAAACAGCGGGAGCTCACCCTGTAATGGGGATTCGAACCGCCGACCTTCTGATCGGCAAGTCCTAGGCTCTGTGGTTTAACCCACAGCGCCACCCGTGTCCCAATATATACAGTAGTTAGGTTTAAATTTCCGCATCAGAACAGAAGAATAGAAGAACAGCCTGCTGAATCAGGCGGATGGCCTATTTAATCCAACTTCCTGTCCTCACAGCAGCTGAGCAGATCCCCATTAGGGGAACCCCACAAGCGGGTCCTGAGTTCAAGAGCAGCAGTCTCCCCACCTGCGGTTTCCGGCAACTGGCATTCAGAAGCATCACTGTCTCCACCTGCGGAACGCAGTGAATTTGCCCTGTCCCCCTTTTATTTTTTTCAAATTTTCAAATTAATTTTCCAGAATTTTTTTAAACATATAAACAAACAAACATACATCTCAACTGTATTTAAACTAAACTTCATAACATTGTTAAGTGACTTCCTTGTATCCCTCGGGTTGGATTTCAGTGTAAATCATTTTAACGGTTTCCGTGGGTTAAACCACAGAGCCTAGGACTTGCCGATCAGAAGGTCGGTGGTTCAAATCCCCGCGATGGAGTGAGCTCCCGTTGCTCGGTCCCTGCTCCTGCCAACCTAGCAGTTCGAAAGCACGTCCAAGTGCAAGTAGATCAATAGGCACCACTCCGGCGGGAAGGTAAACAGTGTTTCCGTGCACTGCTCTGGTTCTCCAGAAGCGGCTTAGTCCTGCTGGCCACATGACCCGGAAGCTGGACGCCGGCTCCCTCAGCCCATAAAGCAAGATGAGCGTCGCAACCCCAGAGTCGGCCACGACTGGACCTAATGGTCAAGGATCCCTTTACCTTTACCTTAAATTCTTAAAACAATTAACTTATTCACTTAACATCTTTTCCCCCCCTTTACATTTCAACTTTAACCATGTTAATTCATCACATTATGCAATTAAATCCTAAGCCTATCTGATACTTGCAGGCAATCCAATTAGTTTAGTTTAACATATTTAAGTAAATAGTCTTTAAATTCCATCCATTCTTCCTGGTAGTCCTCCTCCTTCTGGTCAGGGACTCTTCCAGTCAGGTCGGCTAGCTCCGAAAAGTCCATCATCTTCATCTGCTATTCTTCCATTGTTGGTACTTCTTGTGTTTTCCAATTCTTAGCTAGTAAAATTCGAGCAGCAGTTGTGGCATACAAAAACAGTTTAACATCTTTCTGTGTTGGCCAACACTGCCTGCTGTGGCAGGGAGTTCCGCAGTCTAACCGTGTGCCGTGTGAAGACATCCTTCCTTCCTGAATCTCCCAGCCAGTGTCTCTGGATGCAGTTGTGTGTGTGTGTGTGTTTTCCACACCTGTTTCGCGACACCAGAAGCGTCACAGCACCACACGCACCCGGCATAGTTTCTGAATGAATCACTCTGCAAAGAAACGAAAAGAGAAGGGGGGTGGGGGAGGGAGTCTGTGAAAACCGGTTTCCCCGATGATGAATATTTTCCTTTCCTCTTTGGCAGGTTTTGGCTCCGCGCGAACACGAGAGAAGAGGAGGGGCCGGTATAGGAAAGGGGAGCAAAATGCTTGCAGGCCCCTCCATAATCTCCTCCTTTGCACATGAAGGGGGGGGCGTTGTATAAGAGTCAAAATACGTGAGGCACGAGCTGGAAGAAGCGATGCTGGCGACACCCACCCAACATCGTGCAAGCAATGTTCAGGACACGGAGGTCTTGGCTGTGACTGCATCCCATAAGCACATGTGCAAAATAACTGCACTTTTTTAAAAAATGCACAGATCTGCATGTAATTCCAAAAAAGCCATTTTTATTCAGTTATACATAGGAAAAAACAGCACATATTCAGATGCAAACAGGAACACTAGAAAGCACCGATAATTTCCCCCCCTCTCCACTGCTATAACTCCCTAGGTGCAAAATTATCCCATGTTATGAAATGTAGATTTATTTATATTCCAGTTCAATCAGCCACAGAGGCACTACCAGGCTGATTTAAAAGCTCCACAGGCAGTGGGTAAGGAAATCAGAGAGCGGGGGTCTTTTAAAAAAAAGCAAACTGTTTGTGTTTAAAACGCCAATCCATTAAATTATCGCCTGATTTAACGAGTTCCAGATTGCAGCATATTGGGTTGGGCGGGGGGAATTTATTTCATTGCCTTTGTTACAAATGTTGTGTCATAAAACCGAACCCTGCCTTGACGAATCTGCCTGGTTTTTGAAATACGGTACTTATTCGCGCGTTAACCTGTGGAACTCCCTGCCACAGGAAGACGGCTTTAAAAGAGGATGGGACAAATTCATGGAGGAGGAGAGGGCGATGGCTACTAGCCAATATGTCGATGCTCTGAGAGGGTTCTTGAGGTCGGATCCTGCTCACTGGTTTCCCACGGGTATCTGGTTGTCCCCCCGCCACCCCCATGAGAACAGGATGCTGGCCAAGATAGGCCTGATCCAGCAACCTCTTCTCCTATTCTGGAAGAACCAGGTGCACAAATATAGGGTGAAGGGCCTGTTGTCATTCAACGTCTTTATAAATGACTTGGACGAAGGAGTTGAGGGGATGCTTTTCAAATTTGCAGATGACACTGTAATAAATGAAAATCTGCCCTTATTCCCTTATGGGGGACACAAGAGCCCTTATAGAGTCCTTTGTAGGTTCTCCATCGGTCGGAGAAAATAACAGAGGCCAGCCAGAGAATATTGAGAAGCAAAGCAGCTAGTAAGTTATTGAACTGTTGCAACAAGGTGCCCCCCTCTCACGCAGGAGGACGGAGGAGGACCCAGAACCTAGGTGTGTCCGCCCTTATGTAGACATTTTAAATTCCCCGCCCTGGAGTCCAAGACCACCCCCCAGACACATCATACCTACATCACAGAAGAGGCGGTCTACAGCAGAAATCTGAGCGCGTTGTTTATCTCCTGTCTGGCAGGTTACCTGTTAATGGTCACTTGATTGGATACCCTGGGGAGCCTGGCCAGTCTTTTGTAATGACAAAAACAAAAACGCCCTGAGGATGCCAGCCTGCCAACCGCTGCCCAGCAAATACGAGTTCCGGAATGTGCAAAGGGTGTGTCTGAGCATGTGCAAAGGGCTGCTCGCCTGAGCTCGGCTTTTTCCGGGGCTCATGCTCATGCTTTCGGGCTCCTTCGCCGCCCGTGTTTTGCAAACCGTTCAGAGCCCATCTGAAGCACCGCTGCGCAACCCCAGCTGCCGTTTGGTGCGTGGGCTCTGGGAAACAGCCAAGCGCTTATGGACTGGCACCTGGCGGTTTGTGGAGAGAAAGAGACGCTGTGAGCCTTGCTAGCGCATGGTGGGTGGAAAGGGGGGGGGGTTTGCCACTGAGATGCTTTGCTGTCAATGCGTTACATAACAGGCCCAGTTAATTAGTGTTGCCTCCGCCAATTAAATGCTCAATTTACCAATTTGAAAACCTCTGGGGGTTTTTTTCTGCACTTTCTCAGACGCAAACCGGTGTGGTTTTCTGGGTTCCTGTCGCATCTAGCCAAACCCCTTTCTTCTTCTTCTTCTTCTTCTTCTTCTTCTTCTTCTTCTCCTCCTCCTCCTTCTCCTTCTCCTTCTCCTTCTCCTTCTTCTTCTTCTCTTCTTCTTTGGCGATCCCTCATAGCCGAGTAAGATTGTCTTCCATAAACACGGTTTTAACAGTGAGTCCGTAAGTGACTGTGGAGGAATTCTGGATCCACACGTCCTTCCACAGTGGGGAAATTGGTTCCCGGGCGGGAGTTGATCACGGTGTGGATTTGTTAGGAGATCATCCTACACTCGAGTAGGACCCTGGCAGAGACACATGCCCGACTGTCATGTTCTCTCCCTCCTGGCCGATCGTTCGGGAGCTTCAAAAGCTTTCTTCAGCCCGAACATCACAGCGACCGATGCCAACAGACATCAGCACACTTAGGGATCCGCAGAGTCTTCGCAGTTCGCGTGACAGACCTCAGCAACTCAGCATTTTGGCTAAGCTACTTTTTTTTATGGGACGCGGGTGGCGCTGTGGGTTAAACCACAGAGCCTAGGACTTGCTGATCAGAAGGTTGGTGGTTTGCATCCCCGCAATGATGGGGTGAGCTCCCGTTGCTCGGTCCCTGCTCCTGCCAACCTACCAGTTCGAAAGCACGTCGAAGTGCAAGTAGATCAATAGGCACCGCTCTGGCGGGAAGGTAAACGGCATTTCCGTGCGCTGCTCTGGTTCGCCAGAAGTGGCTTAGTCCTGCTGGCCACATGACCCGGAAGCTGTACGCCGGCTCCATCGGCCAGTAAAGCAAGATGAGCACCGCAACCCCAGAGTCGGCCACGACTGGACCTAATGGTCAGGGGTCCCTTTACCTTTACCTTTACTCTATTTACATATAAACACACACGGAGCACTGCAAGATGGCTCCCTCTCTCTCTCTAGCATCAGACAGCAAAGAGAAAAAGAACAAAGGACAATAGTCCCACTTCACGGAACACAGGAACACAAACATCCTGTCTCCGTCACTTTCCAATCTGTGGAGTCAAAACATATGTGAAAGACAACAATCCCATGACTGCAATCACGGAGCAGGAATTCTAACAGCCTTTCTCTTAGCACGTCCTGAGTTCAAGCGTCTTCAAAGCTCATGACACCTTTGGTAAAGGCTGTTCTTCAACTGGAGCGCTTGCAGGCCAGTGTTTCCCAATTGTTGGCATTTATACTACATTTTTTTATTTGCCTTGAGACAGTCTTTAAACCTCTTTTGTCGACCACCAGCATTACGCTTTCCATTTTTAAATTTGGAATAGAGTAGTTGCTTTGGAAGGCGATCATCAGGCATCCGCACAGCATGACCAGTCCAGAGTTTTTTGGATTTGCTATCCCGCCTTTCACTCCCCTTCAGGAGTCTCAAAGCGGCTAACATTCTCCTTTCCCTTCCTCCCCCACAACAAACACTCTGTGAGGTGAGTGGGGCTGAGAGACTTCAGAGAAGTGTGACTGGCCCAAGGTCACCCAGCAGCTGCAGGTGGAGGAGCGGAGACGCAAACCCGGTTCCCCAGATTACGAGTCCACTGCTCTTAACCACTACACCACACTGGCTCTCAAGCGAAGTTGATGTTGAAGAATCATTGCAAAACAATAATTACCATGTGGTTAGGGTAGATCAACGTGTCTGTGTCCACTTATCCCCAGTGTAAATATGACATATCGGCAAAAGTCGGAATCTGAATGATAACTATAGCATGTACACAAAAAATCAATTTCAGATTTGGAATCAGCATTGAAAGAACATATAAGAACAGTTGGAAAATCTCATGCAAAAGAAAATGAAAATTTTTTTGTTCCTCAGTATGGTCTGAAGCTCAGTATCAAAAAAACGAAGATCATGGCCACTGGTCCCATCACCTCCTGGCAAATAGAAGGGGAAGAAATGGAGGCAGTGAGAGATTTTACCTTCTTGGGCTCCATGACTGCTGCAGATGGTGACAGCAGTCACGAAATTAAAAGACGCCTGCTTCTTGGGAGGAAAGCAATGACAAACCTAGACAGCATCTTAAAAAGCAGAGACATCACCTTGCCGACAAAGGTCCGTATAGTTAAAGCTATGGTTTTCCCAGTAGTGATGTATTTAAGTGAAAGCTGGATCATAAAGAAGACTGATCGCCGAAGAATGGATGCGTTTGAATTCTGGTGCTGGAGGAGACTCTTGAGAGACCCATGGACTGCAAGAAGATCAAACCTCTCCATTCTGAAGGAAATCAGCCCTGAGTGCTCACTGGAAGGACAGATCCTGAAGCTGAGGCTCCAAGACTTTGGCCACCTCCTGAGAAGAGAAGACTCCCTGGAAAATACCCTGATGTTGGGAAAGATGGAGGGCACAAGGTGAAGCGGACGTCAGAGGACAAGATGGTGGCACAGTGTTCTCGAAGCTACCAGCTTGAGTTTGACCAAAGTGCGGGAGGCAGCGGAAGACAGGAGTGCCCGGCGTGCTCTGGTCCAGGGGGCCACGAAGAGGCGGACACAGCTAAACGACTAAACAACAACAAATACTGTGTATCCCAAGGGAATACATTTTTTTTGCATACCTCCAACTGTACATAGATATACATGTTATTTTCAATGCCATACATGTCATGTTCAGTGCTATATAAGTCACTTACATTTATACTCATATTGAATAAAATATTGAATTCTTGCATTGGGAAAAACAAAGATTGTGGTGAAAAGTGAAAAACATGAACTGCAAAAAAACCCCTAGAGCTTACAGAACAAAACCAACTTCAGATATGAAATCAGCACGTCGAAATTAGTTTGGAACATTTTGTTGCAGGTGTCAAAGCAACAAAAATTTTGTTCCCCAGTCTAAGAGTCTTGCCCCCTTCAGGGTCATAGCACTGTAGATCTGAATTTCTGGCAGACGGCTGCCTGACCTCTCTTTGAAAACCTCCACCAGGTGTCTGGAGTAGCCGAAAACAAGCTTGCTCCCATCTTCCCTGTGTTAACTGACAACCCTTTGGATATTTGAAGGTGGCGTGGAGGAAACAGCAAGCTTGTTGTTTTTTCCTGCTCTGGAGGGCAGGACTCGAACCCGTGGCTTCAAGTTACAGGGACAGAGATTCCGACTGAACATCGATTCATGATTCTATAACTCTTCCAATTAAGATTTCTCTTCTTCTTTCAAAAATTAATCAGGAGGCGGTAGTGGGGTGTTCAAAAGCCTCCCGTGGACATGAAGGGGGGGGGGAAACGCAGGTGACTCGTTTTAATTAAGAAGGGCTCTATTTTTAATCTGCAATCAAAGCCTTTTTATTAGCTCATCACACTGATTAAGCAACAGGGAAGCTTTGAGGTTGTCGCTGCAACGCTTGGGGATGTTTGGATTATTTTAAAATGCTTTTGAAACACAGAATCTTTATATCTTATTATGATTTATGTGGAAATTGCTCAGTTTGGTTGCGTGTCTTTTTATGTTTTATTTATTGTTTACGGCAACTTTTCTAATAAAGTTTTATTTCATGTCGTAACTTTTTCATGGTTCGAACTATGGAAAGGACAAATAAAATTATGCATGCATGTATTTTATTTATGGCTGATATTCCACCTTTTTTTTCCTCCAAGGAGCTCAAAGTGGCGGGTTCGGTTCTCCCCCTCCTCATTTAATCTCTCCCCCCCCCCCACAACAACCCTGTGAGGTAGGCTGGCTTGAGAGGCAGGGAATGGCCCAAGCTCACCTGATTTATTATTTGTGTTTCATAAAATTTATACACTCCCGGATTGCAAAAACAACCCCGTCGTTTAGTGGTGTCCGCCTCTTCGTGACCCCCTGGACCAGAGCACGCCAGGCCCTCCTGTCTTCCACTGCCTCCCAAACTTTGGTCAAACTCAAGCTGGTAGCTTCGAGAACACTGTCCCACCATCTCATCCTCCGTCGTCCCCTTCTCCTTGTGCCCTCCATCTTTCCCAACATCAGGGTCTTTTCCAGGGAGTGTTCTCTTCTCATGAGATGGCCAAAGTCTTGGAGCCTCAGCTGCAGGATCTGTCCTTCCAGTGAGCACTCAGGGCTGATTTCCTTCAGAATGGAGAGGTTGGATCTTCTTGCAGTCCATGGGACTCTCCAGAGTCTCCTCCAGCACCAGAATTGAAAAGCATCCATTCTTCGGCGATCAGCCTTCTTTATGGTCCAGCTCTCACTTCCATACATCACTACTGGGGAAACCATAGCTTTTACTATATGGACCTTTGTTGGCAAGGTGATGTCTCTGCTTTTTAAGATGCTCTCTAGATTTGCCATCGCCTTTCTCCCAAGAAGCAGGAGTCTTTTAATTTTGTGGCTGCTGTCACCATCTGCAGTGATCATGGAGCCCAAGAAAGTAAAATCTCTCACTGCCTCCATTTCTTCCCCTTCTATTTGCCAGGAGGTGATGGGACCAGTGGCCATGATCTTCGTTTTTTTGATGTTGAGCTTCAGACCATATTTTGCACTCTCCTCTTTCACCCTCATTAAAAGGTTCTTTAATTCCTCCTCACTTTCTGCCATCAGTGTTGTGTCATCTGCATATCTGAGGTTGTTGATATTTCTTCTGGCAATCTTAATTCCAGCCCAGCCTTTCGCATGATGAATTCTGCATATAAGTTAAATAAGCAGGGAGACAATATACAGCCTTGCCGTACTCCTTTCCCAATTTTGAACCAATCAGTTGTTCCATATTTGGTTCTAACTGTAGCTTCTTGTCTCACGTAGAGATTTCTTAGGAGACAGATGAGGCGATCAGGCACTCCCATTTCTTTAAGAACTTGCCATAGTTTGCTGTGGTCGACACAGTCAAAGGCTTTTGCATAGTCAATGAAGCAGAAGTAGATGTCTTCCTGGTACTCTCTAGCTTTTTCCATAATCCAGCACATGTTTGCAATTTGGTCTCTGGTTCCTCTGCTTCTTCTAAATCCAGCTTGCACTTCTGGGAGTTCTTGGTCCACATACTGCTTGAGCCTGCCTTGTAGAATTTTAAGCATAACCTTGCTAGCGTGTGAAATGAGTGCAATTGTGCGGTAGTTGGAGCATTCTTTGGCACTGCCCTTCTTTGGGATTGGGATGTAGACTGATCTTCTCCAATCCTCTGGCCACTGCTGAGTTTTCCAAACTTGCTGGCATAATGAGTGTAGCACCTTAACAGCATCATCGTTTAAAATTTTAAATAGTTCAGCTGGAATACCATCGCTTCCACTGGCCTTGTTATTTGCAGTGCTTTCTAAGGCCCATTTGGCTTCACTCTCCAGGATGTCTGGCTCAAGGTCAGCAACCACACTACCTGGGGTGTACGAGCCATCCATTTCTTTCTGGTATAATTCTTCTGTGTATTCTTGCCACCTCTTCTTGATGTCTTCTGCTTCTGTTAGGTCCTTACCATCTTTTGCAAATCTCCACCCAGCAGTGGGGCTGGAGCCCCCTTTTAAATGTGGACCCCCTGGGTTTCTCGCCCTCCCATCAATGCCACCACTGTCTGCCCCCCAAAACCCCTGTTTTTTGCAAGGATCTCAGTCATCTGCCTCATTACTCACCTTTTATGGCTTCCCAGCTGTTTTCAGAGGTGACTAACATAAAGCTCTGGAGGAAATAGACATATCCCAGTGTGGGCAGCTGGGCCTCCTGTTTAAGAACCTTTTTTTAAAAAAGTAAATAAAATAAATCCTTTGTCAATGTAGTGACAATCCCTTGGAAGGGAAAGCTCTGCAGATTTTTGCTCCGCATTGTGTTTTGCATAATATATTCTGCTATTCCACCGCCCAACATCTCCCGTCCTTCCAGAGGTTATGCAGAGGCTGAACTAACTCTCTCTCTCTCTCTCTCTCTCTCTCTCTCTCTCTCTCCAATTCAAATCTCATTTATTCGCCCTTCTGTGACTTGGGAGATCTCACCTGCTTTCTTAGCGTATCTGTTCAACTAGCCCCTTGGTGCCTTAAAAAAAAAAAGAATAATGGAATTGTAGATGGAAGGGACCACGAAGGTCATCCAGTCCAACCCCCTGGGATGCAGGAATCTTTTTCCCTACGTGCATCTCGAACCCAAGACCCTGAGATTAAGAGTCTCATGCTCTCCTATATATTTATTTCTCTGGAAGCTGAATGCTATACTTTACCTGTGGTGTAAACAAAACCCTGGCCTTTAACTTATTTTTCTTTTTAAAAAATGATTTAAATACAGTCAGTGCTTTTTTTTCTAGGGGTATGCAGACCCCTAAACATTTTGTGAATCTTTGTGCTTTTGTCCATTTACTGTATTTACTGATTTTAACTACAAAATGGTGGTTTTATTGAGTCAAAATGAGAGTACCCCTAAACATTTTTAAAGAAAAAAAGCACTGAGTTGTAATAATAATAATAATAATAATAATAATAATAATTTATACCCGTTTCCTCAGCCACTCTGGACAGCTTCCAATAGAATATTAAAATACAATAATCTATTAAACATTAAAAGCTTCCCTAAACAGGGCTGAAAATCTGTATTACAGTGGTACCTCGGGTTAAGTACTTAATTCATTCCGGATGTCTGTTCTTAACCTGAAACTGTTCTTAACCTGAAGCACCACTTTAGCTAATGGGGCCTCCCGCTGCTGCCGATTTCTGTTCTCATCCTGAAGCAAAGTTCTTAACCTGAGGCACTATTTCTGGGTTAGCGGAGTCTGTAACCTGAAGCGTATGTAACCCGAGGTACCACTGTACATTCTTAGACTGCAATTACATTTCCTTAATTTCTGAAATACAGAAATTCAGTGCTTTCTGGACTGGTAGCCCATGGGGTCATGAAGAGTCGGACACGACTAAACGACTAAACAACAACAGCAGCCCTGCCTCATAATCCCAGGAGACTAGTCACGTTGGCCTGTCTCTCGGGTCAGAGGTGGTAATGTTTTGGCGGTAGACTGCGGAACTCCTTGCCACCAACCTGGATGGTGCGAAAAGAGGTTCATGAAGGGGAGAGGGCTATCGGTGGCCGTTAGCCATGTTGGCCGTGCTCTGCTTACAACGCCAGTTGTTGGAAACCACAGGAGGGGAGAGTGTCGGTCTTGTGTTTGAATCCTGCTTGCGGGTTCCTCAGCTGGTCGGCCCCTGTGAGCTCAGGACGCTGGACCTGATGGGCCACCGCACTGATCCTGCTGTGCTCGTCGGATGTTCTCAAGCTCTTTGGCAATCCCTAGTAGCCGAGTAAGATTGTCTCCCATAAACACAGTTTTAACAATGAGTCCGTAAGTGACTGTGGAGGCCAATTCTGGATCCACACATCCTTCCACAGTGGGGACATTGGTTTCTGGATGGGAGTTGATCATGGTGTGGATTTGCCAAGTGTACCTTCCTTTGAGCGCGTTTCTCCCTTTTGTCCTGAGTTCGAGTGTCTTCAAAGCCCACAACACCTTTGGTAAAGGCTGTTCTCCAACTGGAGCACTCGCAGGCCAGTGTTTCCCAATTGTCAGTGTTTATACTACATTTTTAAAGATTTGCCTTGAGAGGGTCTTTCAACCTCTTTTGTTGACCACCAGCATTACGCTTTCCATTTCTAAGTTCAGAATAGAGTAGTTGCTTTGGAAGGCGATCATCAGGCATCTTCACAACATGACCAGTCCAGCGAAGTTGATATTGAAGAATCATTGCTCCAACACTGGTGATCTTTGCTTCTTCCAGTACACTGATATTAGTTCACCTGTCTTCCCAAGTGATGTGTAAAATTTTTGGAGACTCTGTTGATGGAATCTTTCAAAGAGTTGGAGATGGCGTTTATAAGACCTCCATTGGCTCCCAGTACGTTTCCGAGCACAATTCAAAGTGTTGGTGCTGACCTTGAAAGCCCTAAATGGCCTAAAAGGCCAAGTATACTTGAAGGAGCGTCTCCACCCCCATCGTCCAGCCCGGACACTGAGGTCCAGCTCCGAGGGCCTTCTGGTGGTTCCCTCACTGCGAGAAGCCAAGTTACAGGGAACCAGGCACAGGGCCTTCTCGGTAGTGGCCCCCGCCCTGTGGAACGCCCTCCCACCAGATGTCAAAGAGAAAAATAACTACCAAACTTTTAGAAGACATCTGAAGGCGGGCCTGTTTAGGGAAGCTTTTTATGTTTGATGTGTTACAGTATTTTAATATTTTTTTGGAAGCCTCGCAGAGTGGCTGGGGAAACCCAGCCAGATGGGCGGGGTATAAATAATAAATAATGAATTATTATTAGTATTATTAACCTGAAACTGTTCTTAACCTGAGGTACCACTTTAGCTAATGGGGCCTCCTGCTGCTGCCGCGCGATTTCTGTTCTCATCCTGAAGCAAAGTTCTTAACCTGAGGTACTATTTCTGGGTTAGCGGAGTCTGTAACCTGAAGCGTATGTAACCCAAGGTTGTTGTTGTTGTTTAGTCATTTAGTCGTGTCCGCCTCTTCGTGACCCCCTGGAGTGGAGCACGCCAGGCACTCCTGTCTTCCACTGCCTCCTGCAGTTTGGTCAAACTCATGCTGGTAGCTTCAAGAACACTGTCCAACCATCTTGTCCTCCATCGTCCCCTTCTCCTTGTGCCCTCCATCTTTCCCAACATCAGGGTCTTTTCCAGGGAGTCTTCTCTTCTCATGAGGTGGCCAAAGTACTGGAGCCTCAGCTTCAGGATCTGTCCTTCCAGTGAGCACTCAGGGCTGATTTCCTTCAGAATGGAGAGGTTGGATCTTCTTGCAGTCCATGGGACTCTCCAGAGTCTCCTCCAGCACCAGAATTCAAAAGCATCAATTCTTCGGCGATCAGCCTTCTTGATGGTCCAGCTCTCACTTCCATACATCACTACTGGGAAAACCAGAGCTTTAGCTATACGGACCTTTGTCGGCAAGGTGATGTCTCTGCTTTTTAAGATGCTGTCTAGGTTGGTCATTGCTTTTCTCCCAAGAAGCAGGCGTCTTTTAATTTCGTGACTGCTGTCACCATCTGCAGTGATCATGGAGCCCAAGAAAGTAAAATCTCTCACTGCCTCCATTTCTTCCTCTTCTATTTGCCAGGAGGTGATGGGAACAGTGGCCATGATCTTCGTTCAACTGTACAATAGCTTTGTAAACGAGCATTTTGGTTTCCCTGCGAATGTCCCGGTCCTCAAACACTCTGCGCTTCCGTCGGGAGAAAGGCGCCCTCGCAGGCCTTTTTGCTGAGCCTGTAATCTCACCCAGGGCCTGCCCACTCCAGGGCGGAGGCTCCACCTGTTTCTGTCTGCCTCCTGCCTCACACCTGTCCCGCCCCAGGTGAGTTCCCTCCGCCCCAGGGAGGAGCTTCCGACACCCAGCAGACTTGGGACGGCCAGGAGGAGAAGCAGGCAGAAAGAAAGAAAGAACGGACGGACGGAAGAAAGTAAGAAAGATCCGGAGAGGAGAGGAAATCGCCACAGGTTCCTCCATCCAGGTGAGCGCCCAAGGAGCGAGGGATTGTGGGGCAGCAGGTAAGATTGCCCCTTTCCTAATGGGGAAACCTTTGCCCCCTTACCTGTCTGACTCGCTTACGCCCCTCCCTTATCTCCGGTTGGTTCTGTCTATCACCTACTTTTTCTTCTTCCTCTTTTTCTCTTGATCTTTCTCTCCTTCCCCACCCACGCTGAGTTCTGCACATTCATCTCTATCCTCCTTACTGACCCACTTATATCAGCTTCCTCCTCGGAGATGGTTTCTTTGACCCCCTTTCCTCCTTATCTCTCTCTCTTATAGAATCCTAGAATTGTAAAGTCGGAAAGGGACCCTCAGAGGTCATCCATCCCAACCCCACTTCAATGCAGGAATCTCAACACCCAGGAAATCCCCATTCCCGACTTTTTGCTCACCTGAACAGACGGCCGGCTTGCCCCCCGGGGAATAGGAGGAGGATCGTTAATAGGGAAAATTAATGTCTGGGTCTTAATGCAAGACTTAGACTTCCTGGCATCACTCATGGGTTATTCCTGAGAGCGACACCCCAACTTTGAAGCACCCGGCCGCTGCAGGTTACAAGAGCCCATTTAAGTTGCTATATCATCATCCTCCCAAACCCACACACCCTTGGAGACGAAATTTTCTGGGGCGACGGTTGCTCATGTTCCCATTTCGCAGACGGAGGGAGGGAACTGAGGCAGGCAGGTAGCAGCACGCAGCAGGCAGGCCAGAATCATGTGTCATAAGCGCAGAAGACGAGGCTGCTGGGTCAGGCTGAGGGGGGAGGCCTAGTTAGCCCAGTATCCTGTTCTCGCAGCAGCCAAGCAGAGACACGCAACCAGAACATGAGAGCAACATCAGTGCTCTCCCCAGCATTCAGAGCTTAAAACACAGCCGTCGTGGCAGGTGGCCGCGGCTAGGCTCATCCTCTTTTAGAGAGCCACCCAAGTTGGCTCAACGGGTCTGTGCGTCTGGCTGTTAAGCAAAAGGTTGGTGGTTCGATCCCGCCCAGGGGACAGGATCCCATCATTGCACGGGGTTAGACTAGATGGCCGTTGGGGGTCCCAACTCTACAATTCAGTGGTTCTGTGTTTCTAAGAGGGCAGCTGTCTCTTGAGGCAGCGAGTTCCACAGTTTAATAATAGTAATAATAATAATAATAATTTATTATTTATACCTGGCCCATGTGGCTGGGTTTCCCTAGCCACTCTGGGCAGCTTCCCAAAAATTATTAAAATAAAATGTTTAATAATGTTTAATATCTATTAAACATTAAAAGCATCCCTAAACAGGGCTGCCTTCAGATGTCTTCTAAAAGTCAGATAGTTGTTTATTTCCTTGACATCCAATGGGAGGGTGTTCCACAGGGAGGGCGCCACCACCGAGAAGGCCCTGTGCCTGGTTCCCTGTAACATCACTTCTCGCAGGGAGGGAACCCCCAAAAGGCCCTCGGAGCTGGACCTCAGTGTCCGGGCAGAACGATGGGGGTGGAGATGCTCCTTCAGGTCTCCTGGGTCTTTGAGGCCGTTTAGGGCTTTAAAGGTCAGCACCAACACTTTGAATTGTGCTCGGAAACGCTTAACTCTGAGCAGTGTGAATATAACGACTTCTGTCCACTCTGGATTTCCCAGCCTTTCTTGGACAAACCTGCTGGGTTCCAGTACGATGAGAGATGGAGAAAAAACCCCTGCACGATTCTGGTGTCTCTCTGTGACATTCCCTGCAGGATCAGGCCCCTGGCCCATCCAGCCTGTTCTTAACAGATCCTTCAGTTTGAAGCCAGCAATCAGGATCCTTGCACAAGAGCACTTGATTTAATTCAACCACAGGGATCGCTATAGACTCAAAGCACATCGCCACACGCCTCACAGAATTCTGGGCAATGTAGTTTTACCCCTCACAGAGTTACAGCGCCCAGCAACCCTTAGCAAACTACATTACCCAGAATTCTTTGAGGGGGGGAAACATACGCTTTAAAGTTACAGCCTCATAATTTGTAACCCAGACTCCTGGGAACATTCCGTAGATTCCTGCGTTTCAGGGGGTTGGGCTGGATGACCTTTGGGATCCCTTCTAACTTTACAGTTCTGTGAAGATAATCCTACTGTTTGCCCAGATATTCCTTTGACTAAAGAAAGAGAGAGTTTGGTGCCGGCTCAAACCTTGCCCTGCAAATCTTACGCTCCCAGGACTGATGTATGCTTATTTCGTCGATTTGAATTGCATTGCGTTAGTGGGCAGAGCGTCAGACAATAGAAGGAATTAGAGTAACGTTTGCTAACCGTTTCACGGATCTAATTAACAAAGCTTTGGAAGGAAGAAGCCGGCTGTTTGCAAATGCGGTGGATGGATAGAAAAGAAAGCGGGGAGCATTTGCAAAACACTCCAGACCTGAAATTGCAGAACCGTAGAATTGTAGAGTTGAAAGGGGCACCCAGGGTTCATCTAGACCAACCCGCTGCAACGCAGGAATCGCAGCCGAGGAATCTCTGGCCCTCCAACCTCTGCTCAAAAACTTCCGGTGGAGGAGAGTCCAATGTCTTTAACCAAATGCAATCCCCACCCCACCAAATAACACCCCACTGCCTTGCTTAAAAGGGGGGAAAAATCATGCAGTACGTGGCTAAACTATTGCACCTGCAAAAAGAAAGATCAGAGTATTTGGGACTTCTTTTGTTTAGGGAGAAAGGAGGTAGATAGTGTGAGAGAGTGAATAGAGAAAGGTCTCTCTCCCTTTCTCATAACACGGCAAATCATGGACACATAAGGAAGCAGAAGGACTGGACAGATTCAGGACAGATAAACGAACCACATCATTCGGCGCATGGTTAAACTGCGGAACTCCCTGCCACAGTAGGCAGGGACAGCCGCCAACTTGGATGGCTTTAAAAGAGGACTGGAGAAATTCCTGGAGGAGGAGAGGGCTATTTATGGCTACTAGCCAGGATGCCTGTGACTCCACACCTGAAGGCTGCAATGCTTTTGGGTACCAGTTGCTGGAAACTGCAGGAAGGGAGAGTGGGTCTTGAGTTCTAATCTTGCATTGCAGACTTTTTATATATATCAGGCAGGTAGATCGTGGGGTGTTCCTGGTAGATCCTGGTAGATCTCTTTACAAAAAAGCAAAAAACGAACAAACTTTGTCTTACTAAAAAAAGCTCCACAACTTTGGGTAGATCACTGCCCGTCTTTTTACGACAGGCATAGGCAAACTCGGCCCTCCAGATGTTTTGGGACTACAGCTCCCATGATCCCTAGCTAACAGGCCCAGTGGTCAGGGATGATGGGAACAGTAGTCCCAAAACATCTGGAGGGCTGAGTTTGCCTAGGCCTGTTTAACAACAATGAGTAGATCGCAGTCTATTGGGAGATGGAAGTACCTGATATAAATATATCCATACGTTGACCATCTATCTGGGTTTTTCCAGCCACTCTTGGCAGCTTCCAACACATATAAAAACATAATAAAATGTCAAACGTTAAAAGCTTCCCTAAACAGAGCTGCCTTCCGATGTCTTCTAAAAGTCAAATAGCTGTTTATTTCCTTGACATCTGGTGGGAGGGCGTTCCACAGGGCGGGCGCCACCACCGAGAAGGCCCACTGCCTGGTTCCCTGTAACCTCACTTCTCACAGGGAGGGAACCACCAAAAGGCCCTCAGAACTGGACCTCAGTTTCCAGGCTGGACGATGGGGGTGGAGATGCTCCTTCAGGTCTACTGGGCCTTTGAGGCCGTTTAGGGCTTTAAAAGTCAGCACCGACACTTTGAATTGTGCTCAGAAACGTACTGGGAGCCAATGCAGATCTCTCAGGACCGGTGTTATGTGGTCTCGGCGGCCGCTCCCAGTCCCCAGTCTGGCTGCTGCATTCTGGATTAATTGCAGTTTCTGGGTCACCTTCAAAGGTAGCCCCACGTAGAGCACATTGCAGTAGTCCAAGCAAGAGATAACCAGAGCATGCACCACTCTGGCAAGACAGTCTGCAGGCAGGGAAGGTCTCATCCTGCGTACCAGGTGGAGCTGGCAGACAGCCACCCTGGACACAGAACTGACCTGTGCCTCCATGGACAGCGGTGAGCCCAAAATGACTCCCACGCTGCAATTTAGGGATCTAAATCGATCGTTCGGCCATTAAGTTTCCGAGTCACCTTCAAAGGTAGCCCCACATAGAGCGCATGGCAGTAGTCCAAACGAATCGGGACGCCCCCTTTGCCAGGAATGCTTTTGAAACTAGGTAGTGATGGGGGCTGGAAGGGGGCCAGAAACCACCCCTTGGCCAGCTTTGGGCCACTTTTATTACGATAAAAGCTAAAATCAGTGAGAGGCATTGTCGTCTGGTGGTTAGAGTGTGGGACAGGGACCGAGCGGGAGAGCTGGGTTCGAATTCCGACTTGGCCACGAAGCTGACCTCAGCCCTTTGCTGCCTCTCAGCCTAAACTACCTCTCAGGGTTCTTGTTAGGGAGGGGAGAAATCATGTGTTCCACCACGGGCTCCTTTGAGATAAAAGTTGTGATTAAAAAATGCAACCAATAAATAAATAAACGATAATGGGATCGGGGTCTGGGCAGCCTGCGGATCTGTGAAGTTTGAGAAAGGTTTTAGCTTTTTATGACTTTTGGGCGGCCGGCTTACGCTGAGTCCGCCGCCGCGCATCTTGTCAATATTTGCTCACGGTTTGGACTTTGACGTTGCGGCACAGGGTGGGGCCACAGAGGTGCTTCGGACAGGAACTGGTTTGGACAACAGCAGGAGGGGGTGGGACAAGGAAGATGGTCAGTAGCGGCTCAGAGGCGAGGAAGAGTCTTTGGAAAGAACCCAGGAGTCCTGCGTCCCCAGAAGACTCTCCAACGCTTCCCCTCTGTACTTCAAAGCCCATTTTAAAAATAATAATTTTTGCTAGGTGCCTTTAAGACCTGGGCGGCAGGTGGATGTCCAACAGGTGATGTTCCCCACCACCACAACCTCAGCACAGAGGTGCATAAATGCATTGCAGCGGGTTGGACTAGATGACCCCTAGGTTCCCTTCCAGCTCTTTGATCTGTGATCAGAATGCTTCTTTGGCTGAATTTTCCCCTTTCAGGGAACTGGGAAAGGGATAACCCCCACTTTGGGGCGGGCGGGGTTAATTTTGGGGGTCTGGAGGGCTGATTCCCTGCACCCCCTCATTTATTTATCGCATTTGGATCCTACTTTTCCCCCCGACCCGAAGAACTCAGAGTGGCGTGCGTGCTTCTCCCGCCCTTCAAGCGATATCTACAACGACCCTGTGAGGTAGGTTCTAGGCTGAGAGAGGCCTCCGAGGTCCCAGCCAGTGGGAAAGATTCGCACCCAGGTCTCTCCCAGTCCGACACCCTAACCCATGGGTAGGCAAACTAAGGCCCGGGGGCCAGATCCGGCCCAATCGCCTTCTCAATCTGGCCCACGGACGGTCCGGGAATCAGCGTGTTTTTGTGTGTGTGTTTTTTAAAAAAATATTAGTTTTTTAACATACCATTTCTAACAGTAATTAAACATACTTTTACATCTTAATCAATTTTTTTTTACTTACATCAGTCCTGTCTGAAAATTTTCCAATCTAATCTCTTGGTATGCATTCCTTACTTTCCCTCTTACATTTAAAACTCATAACCAATCTTTTTAGCACTTCGGATATTTCTCCTTACAAAACTTCTTGTAGTCCTACTAGCGTAATTTGTTGGTTACAATTGCTCTTCAAATAGTTCATATACTCCTTCCGATCTTCTGTGAATCTCTGGTCCCGCAGGTTTCGAATCCTTCCTCTCATTTTGTGCAATTCTGCACAGTCCATTAATTTTGTCTGCCAGTTCTGGGAATCAGCATGTTTTTAAATGAGCAGAATGTGTCCTTTTATTTAAAATGCATCTCTGGGTTATTTGTGGGGCCTGCCTGGTGTTTTTGCATGAGTAGAATGTGTGTTTTTATTTAAAATGCATCTCTGGGTTATTTGTGGGGCATAGGAATTCATCTTTTTTTCTTTAGCAAAACATAGTCTGGCCCCCTGCAAGTTCTGAGGGACAGTGGACCGGCCCCCTGCTGAAAAAGTTTGCTGATGCCTCCTCCTAACTTCTATGCTATTCCCTTCTCTTCTGCTGCCCCCCACAGCCTGAGCCCTGGCTCCCATAGTAATAATAATAATAATAATTATTATTATTATTATTATTTATTATTTATACCCCGCCCATCTGGCTGGGTTTCCCCAGCCACTCTGGGCAGCTTCCAACAAAACACTAAAATACAATAACCTATTAAACATTAAAAGCTTCCCTAAACAGGGCTGCCTTCAGATGTCTTCTAAAAGTTTGGTAGTTATTTTTCTCTTTGACATCTGGTGGAAGGGCGTTCCACAGGGCGGGCGCCACCACCGAGAAGGCCTTCTGCCTGGTTCCCTGTAACTTGGCTTCTCGCAATGAGGGAACCGCCAGAAGGCCCTCGGAGCTGGACCTCAATGTCCGGGCAGAACGATGGGGGTGGAGACGCTCCTTCAGGTCTACTGGGCCTTTGAGGCCGTTTAGGGCTTTCAAGGTCAGCACCAACACTTTGAATTGTGCTCAGAAACGTACTGGGACCCAGTGTAGGTCTTTCAAGACCGGTGTTATGTGGTCTTGGCAGCCGCCCCCAGTCACTAGTCTAGCTGCCGCATTCTGGATTAATTGTAGTTTCCGGGTCACCTTCAAAGGCAGCCCCACGTAGAGCGCATTGCAATAGTCCAAGTGGGAGATAACCAGAGCATGCGCCACTCCGGCGAGACAGACAGCGGGCAGGGAGGGTCTCATCCTGCGTACCAGATGGAGGTGGTAGACAGCTGCCCTGGACACAGAACTGACCTGCACCTCCATTGACAGCGGTGAGTCCAAAATGACTCCCAGGCTGCACATCTGGTCCTTCGGGGGCACAGTTGCCCCATTCAGGACCAGGGAGTCCCCCCCCCCAAAAAAATAGTACCTCTGTCTTGTCAGGATTCAACCTCAATCTGTTAGCTGCCATCCATAGGACACAGCTCCCTTGCCCCAATGTTTATTTTGGGGTGTCTGAACCTGCTGACACCTCGTTTTCTTCTCCAGCTGACTCTGATTGTCTCGCCTGCAGATGAGCAAGGGTTTTCTGCCATTCCCGGCTGATCTGGAAACACCCAAGTTAGAAAAAGGAAAGGGAAACCCCCCCAGGGCGAGTCGAGCTTCCCAGGTTCGCCCCTCGCCTGCGAGGAACCCAGGAGTCCGGGTGTCTCCCCAGCAGCCTGGGAGGCTGACCCCTCCTGTCTCGCCGGCTGAAATCCTCCCCCAGCAGGAACAGGTTTGGCCAGGTTGAACCGCTCTTGGCGGTTCAGATTCTCTTCCTTCTCTTCACACACACGCCGGTAAAGAGGTCAGGCAGTCATCACACAGGTGCAGCTGGTCTTAGGGGCCCTGGGTCGCCGGGTCAGAGGGACCAGTTTTCGGGAACGCAGCCGGGCGGCAAGGGGAAATTCGGCAGGGAGGCGTCGCTTAGCGCAGGCCTAGGCAAACTCAGCCCTCCAGATGTTTCGGGACTACTGTTCCCATCATCCCTGACCACCGGTCCTGTTAGCTAGGGATCATGGGAGTTGTAGTCCCAAAACATCTGGAGGGCTGAGTTTGCCTAGGCCTGGCTTAGCGCTTGCTTCTACACCTGTTGAATTTCTGGCTGCCATTCACCCGTGGTCTTAGGGCAGGCTTCCTCAAACTCAGCCCTCCAGATGTTTTGAGACTACAATTCCCATCATCCTTGACCACTGGGCCTGTTAGCTAGGGATCATGGGAGTTGTAGTCCCAAAACATCTGGAGGGCCAAGTTTGCCTATGCCTTGTTCATGAGAATAAGGATTTTATTTTCTGGGATTCGTCAGATGCAATTCCTGTGTTTCCAGGGGGCTGGATTCAAACGATGACTCTCTCGGGGTCCCTTCCAACTCTGTAATTATATGATTTCCGCCCCAAAAGAATGAAGGTGGATATCAGTTGCGAGTTTGAATGGCGGCAGTCGGAATTTGCTTTCGATGCAGCTGACCTGAATCTTTAATCCATTCTGCCTAGGGAGGAGGAATTAACCCAGTGACTCTTTACAGATCAATCAGCTGGATTTAGGCCACAGGCTGAGAGCAAACTCACTGCAGGAAATGATGACTCGAGTGAGTGAGTCAAGCTACACACTCAGTAGGAGGAGGTCCAAATGGATTTTTAAAAACCCAAGGTGGCTGACCAGGAAAAAAGACCCTGTGATGAAGGCAGATTCCATGCCAGGGATCATTAGGAAAATAATTGAGAATTAATCTGCCAATATCGTAAGGGTGGCCGGACTTGAAATACTGTCTACCGTTCTGGTTGCCTCACACCAGAAAGAATATTGTAGCATTGGGAAAGGGTTTAATTCCCTCAGGCTTCCTCAACTCCACCAGGCTGCGCCTGGACAGCACCAGCCAGTTGATACAAGAACAACTGTCTAGAAATTGGCATCTGCGCTTTGTTTTTCCTCTTCCCTCCCTGTCCCTTTTTCCTTGTGTGCCGTGTCTCTTTTCAGACTGTCTTGTTTCGATTGCACGTAAGCAGCAATTTTTTGGCACTAATCCTCTAAATAACCAAACAATAGTGTACTTTTGCCCATCTTTAAATTGAGATTTTTATTTTTATTTTTTTGCTAATCACCGGGTCCTGTTTAAAAACCCCACCAGGTGCTGCCATGGCGCCAGACGATGGCACCGACTGGCTGCTCCAGTTGCTGTCCGAAATCCAGCTGGAGCAGTTTTACGGCAAAATCCGCAACGAGCTCCACGTCACCCGTCCGGGACATTTCGATTACGTCAAGCCCGCGGATCTGGAACGCATTGGCATGGGGCGCCCAGGTAGTTCCTGTGTGATGGTACAACAGGGTTTATTTTTGGGAGGGGGCGTTTTGCTGAGGCTGCTTGGGGTGGTGATGTCACCGCGGGAAGTCCGTGGTGATGTCATGGTGGTAGCACTTGGAGACGGAGGTTAATTGGGAGACAGGAATGAAGGCATTCTGAACACCTCAGGCAGTTCATGGGTGGGCAAACTAAGGCCCGGGGGCCGGATCTGGCCCAATCGCCTTCTAAATCCAGCCCACAGATGGTCTGGGAATCAGTGTGTTTTTACATGAGTAGAATGTGTGCTTTTATTTCAAATGCATCTCTGGGTTATTTGTGGGGCATAGGAATTCGTTCATTATTTTCACCCCTTCAAAATATAGTCCGGCCCCCCACAAGGTCTGAGGGACAGTGGACCGGCCCCCTGCTGAAAAAGTTTGCTGACCTCTGGCTCGGAGTGTCTATGGTAGTGGTGCTCAAAGGGTGTGGCAGGAGAGGATGGGAAGCATAACAGGAAAATCCAATCAATGTGTGTGTGTGTGTGTGTGTGTGTGTGTGTGTGTGTGTGTATAGCACCTTAGAGACCAATTAAGTTTGTTCTTGATATACGCTTTTGTGTGCATGGTATCTGAAGAAGTGTGCATACACATGAAAGCTTACACCAAGAACAAACTTAGTTGGTCTCTAAGGTGCTACTAGGGATGCGGGTGGCGCTGTGGGTTAAACCACAGAGCTTAGGGCTTGCTGATCAGAAGGTCGGCAGTTCGAATCCCCGCGACGGGGTGAGCTCCCGTTGCTCGGTCCCTGCTCCTGCCAACCTAGCAGTTCGAAAGCACGTCCAAGTGCAAGTAGATAAATAGGTACCACTCCGGTGGGAAGGTAAACAGCGTTTCCGTGCGCTGCTCTGGTTCGCCAGAAGCGGCTTAGTCATGCTGGCCACATGACCCGGAAGCTGTACGCTGGCTCCCTCTGGCAGTAAAGCAAGATGAGCGCCGCAACCCCAGAGCCGGTCACGACTGGTCCCTTTACCTTTTTAAGGTACTACTGGACAATTTTTATATATATATTTCGACTGCGTCAGACCAACACGGCTACCTACCTGAATCTAGGAAAATCCAGTGACAACCAAAGAAACATTTAAGCATTTCAGTGTTGTGCAGCATAGAATAGCATTGATTATTATTTATAAAATGCAGTTCTTCGCTTTCCAATGGAACCAGGCAGGGTGGATAAAAATCAATGTTTCTTTTTTTAATAAAAAAATCGGATTTTTTTTTTATTTAAATCAGATTTTTAAAATATTTTGGAGGAAAAATCTTCCTAAAGATAATTTTCTATTTAAGTTACATTATAGTCCAAAGGCTATTCATCAGGAAATAAAGATTTGTTTGAAGTTTTTCATGTGTGCTAAAACTCAGTCTAATTTTTTTTTAAAATTGTTTAACCACATCAATTAACAAACATGGATACATATGCTATAATATTATTGTTTTAGTTAAATAAGTTGTTTAAATTGTTATTAAGGAAATGGTTGTTTTTCTCCTTCCAGTAAAGTACAGCAGAAAAGTTGTCCAAATATAAACAATAATTTCATCATTACCTGTCTTTGCATTTCTAACAGTATAACCAAATCAGTAATTTTTGATATAACCGTAAAAACTACTCTGAAAGTTTATTATTCCAAAAAACGAAACCTTCCTCTGGTTGTAAATATTAAGATGATGCCAGCAAGGTTGAACCTTTGTGTAAAATAAAATGATTTAAATCACGTCTTAGTGACTAGTGATTTAAATTGATTTGATTAAAATCAAATTCACCCTAGCATCAGTTAGGTCAAAAAAGCCAAATTGGCCCCAAGGGTCATTGTTTGCAATAATTTGAGATTGAGATTTCATCCCTCTCCTTTAGGACAGAGACGTTTGGAGGAAGCCTTGAAAAGGAGGAAACCTCAAGGCCAGCGCCCCATGTCCTGGGTCTATAAGGTGCGTACTTTCTGCCTCCCTCGAAGAAACACACAAATATTAGGGTCATGGTCGTAAAATCGGAAGTAAATCGAGTTACGGCCAGTCCAGGGACAAAGATGGCTGCCCCTCCTTCCTGGCAAAACAGGAAGTGTAATTCTCTGCAGCACCACTTGAGCGTGCGAAGTTAGATTTGAATGGACATCGGTGTGTCCTTCTTCCTGAAATCTCCTGCCCCGCAAACTGCACATCCACAACTGGGTCTCAATGATTAAAACAAGTTTCTGTTGTAAGGCGGACCTACCCAGTAGGGTGGTTCATAATTTATTTATTTTTTTAAAAATGCCTGCTCCAAAGGTCTTATCTTACTACACTAGGGATTATATAGCTAAATCTGAAATTTCATGCATATCAGTTAATATCTTGATTCAACAATTTCAATCATTCCTAAAAAAAAAGGTCACTTCATCAAATCTGACCCTCTTTGAAAAAAATTGGGCACCCGTTTTAAACATTGTGTCTTTTATCTCAGTCCTGCTAGTGCCTTTATACGTTTACAGTGATGCTCTAAATATTGAATAAATTTACTCCATTCTCTTTTAAACGTTTGGTTGCTCTGGTTTCGGATCACTTTCGCCTGCCATTTGTGGCATTCCCAAAGCAGAGGAAGGATTAGACTCTGATTAATAACACACAGAGGCTTGACCGGCAAGACTCTGGGAGGAGTGCGTATAATAATAATAATTCCTGCCCACCCCTCGGCCCAGGTCGTTTTATTCACAAAAGAACTTTTTACACAGTGTTCGTAGGAACCAATCAGATTTCCTCTGAGCATTTCAAAAATCCCACATGGGGGAAAAGTTAGATCAGAAGAAATTCTTTTAACTACAAAGAAACTATTTCCTACTTGAGCATGCATAGTAGACCAGAGTAAATAAAATAGGAAGCAATGCTTTTAGGAAACCCACGCGGTAAATGAGAGGAAGGATGGCAAGGAGATAGCGATCTTTATCACCTTCCTGTTAATGCAGGAATTTATGTATAGGTTGGGGGTGTTTGCCCCTCCAGCAGATATCCTGCACATGCAGCCCACTACCGAAACCGGCACAATTGCTTTTGTCACTTTTGTGATTTGTCCCCACAAAACACTTCTTCAGAGTTTCTTCAAAGGGCCTTTGCTGCACGATACCAAATGTAAGAATTCACTGATCAATGTATCTATGTACTGGCTCACTGGGAAAACTTCAGAAATTCATATAGACAGGTGAGCTCAGCTCCTCAGAAGCCCCTCTGCCTGAGTGATAATTCCTGGCATCCTGATACCTGAGTGCCAGACAGGTAGCCATTCCAGAAATAACAAACCCAGATGAAGACAAAAGGGTGGGATGAACTTGGCTGGGAAACAGGGAAATGGAAATATCTCTTTTGTTACACTTGATGGGTGTTTGGTGGAGGGCAAGGAGAACCATGGGGCAGGGTCCAGGATGCTCAGATTCCTGCCACCAGACCTCCCCTTTCATGATGTAACCGTGATGTAGTTTGGGGGGGGGGTTAACATGGGGATTAGCAGCTAATAAAAGTTTGGGTTCTTTTTTGTTCGGGGCTTCCATCTTGTTCCACCTGGTGGCAGGTGGGAGTCCTGTCGCGACAGTCTTCAATCAAGACCAAGCCGACTGGCTGCTGTTTTGCTCTGGTATTCCTGGCTGGTGTCCTTGTTTTTTGTCCAAGGGAGCCCTCAGATTTCTCCATTAACACTGCGAAACTATTTCCAGGCCCTAAAGATTAACAAAACCAAGGAGGGGTACATCAAAAGAAACTGCCTATTATCCTTATGTACTGAGGATGCCTTGATGAAGAAACTGGTCTGTGTTTTTAGAATGCTGATATGTTCCTGTCAGGCAGAGAAAGCAAATTGCAGAAATGGAGAGGTTTGTGGGATTTGATCAGAAATTATTGTCAATGAATCGAACCCAGTCAACGCCATGCTTTCATCGTGGACACAAATGGCTTGATGCATATTTTATAATTCCTCATAGTAATCCCATCTGTTCCCCACACTCTGGACATGGGCACTCCTACATCATCCTTTTTTAAAAAATAAATAAATTATTACTTTCCAACAATTTGAACATACATAGAAAAAGAAAATAAACAATACAATACAATACAAAAACAATACAAAAACAATACCTAACACTAAACTAACAAAAACAATTTAAACTAAGAAAACAAAGCAAAAACAATTTAAACTAAGAAAACGAAACAAAAACAATTTAAAACACATCAAATAATTTCAATCTTTCATTCACTTGTTTCCATGACCTCCTCACACCTCCCTTTTTGTATTCCACTTCTATTTAGTTGTTTCAGCAATTCCTTTCCATCTTCCTCTTCTTTCCATCCTATAATCATCTTAACACATTTTAACCATATTTTTCCCTTTAATTCTCTATTGATCTATTTATACTTAATTCCTTATAACATTTCTACTGAAGCCATATAACTTCATTCCAACATTTTTCTAACATTCATTTCCACCGTTGGTAATTCCCTTTCTTATTTCTGACGTAGATGTTCACCGGGACACGGATCCCTGAGAGCGACGAAGCCCCCAGCCCAGCCCAGCCCTGCCCGACCCCCCGGGCCGACGCCGACGCCTCTCTCAAATGCCTGATCAGCGAGTGGGACCTGCGGATCCGGGAGCGGCTGGGCGACGGCTGCTTTGGGGTTGTGCATCGTGCCGAGTGGAGCACGCCCGGCGGGGGAGTGGTACGTTTTCACCCCCCTGACTCCGGTTCCTTTGCTTCTCTACCTGTTGGACAGCCGCCCTCTGGACCTGGGATGTTCCCAGTTGCATCTGAGCCGAGCCGTCGCTGCTGGGCTGTTTCGTTGTTTATTTCAGGGGTGGGGGAACCTTTCAAGGGCCACATCCCATCTATTGGGGGCCACTTTCAAGGAGTGGGTGGGGCCACAGCCCAAAGGGGGGGCCACTCTTTCCCCCCCTCTCTCTTTATATCCCACCCCTTTCTCTCTCCCTATTGCTTTTCCTCTGGGCTTTTCTGCCCGCCACAAAAAATGGACAGTTTAAGGTCGTCTAGCGTTACGTTTGGGACGCAGGTGGCTCTGTGGGTTAAACCACAGAGCCTAGGACTTGCTGATCAGAAGGTTGCTGGTTTGAATCCCCGTGACGGAGTGAGCTCCCGTTGCTCGGTCCCTGCTCCTGCCAACCTAGCAGTTCGAAAGCACGTCAAAGTGCAAGTAGATAAATAGGTACCGCTCCGGCGGGAAGGTGAACGGCGTTTCCGTGCGCTGCTCTGGTTCGCCAGAAGCGGCTTAGTCCTGCTGGCCACATGACCCGGAAGCTGTACGCCGGCTCCCTCGGCCAGTAAAGCGAGATGAGCTCCACAACCCCAGAGTCGGCCACGACTGGACCTAATGGTCAGGGGCCCCTTTACCTTTACCTTTAGCATTACATTATATCCTGCCTTTCCTCCAGAGGAAACCCCAGGCAAGCCCATTCCATCCTCGCGACAACCCTGTTGGGCAGGGATGCATGAGAGGTTGCGATTTGCCTGTGTGAGCTTCATGGCTGAGTGGGGATTTGAACCCAGGCCCAAGCCTGGCCATGTTAAGCATCAGAGATGCCAGATAGAAAGACCTTTGGCCTGACCCAACATGGTCAGAATCCTTCCTTTTCTACCCACCCAATAGGTAAAGGTAAAGGGACCCCTGACCATTAGGTCCAGTTGTGGCTGACTTTGGGGTTGCGGCGCTCATCTCGCTTTACTGGCCAAGGGAGCCGGCGTCCAGCTTCCGGGTCATGTGGCCAGCATGGCTAAGCCGCTTCTGCCGAACCAGAGCAGCGCACGGAAATGCTGTTTACCTTCCCACCGGAGTGGTACCTATTGATCTACTTGCACTTTGAGGTGCTTTCGAACTGCTAGGTGGGCAGGAGCAGGGACCGAGCAACGGGAGCTCACCCCGTCGCGGGGATTCGAACCGCTGACCTTCTTATCGGCAAGTCCTAGGCTCTGTGGTTTAACCCACAGCGCCACCCGCGTCCCCCACCCACCCAATAGCTGTCAGTTAATAGACGGCTTAGTGGAGCCTCCAGTTCTAGTAGCAGTCTACCGCGCAATATCAGACCCTGGTCAAAAATGGCAGGAAAGAGCTCTGGGTGTCACAAAACCATTGATAGCAGCCTCTCCTCCTCTGTGAATTTGCCAAAACCTCTTTTAAAGCCACCCGCGTTCCTGGCCGTTGCTGCCTCTTGTGGCGGGTAGTTCCACAGTTTATGCTCAAAGAAGGACTTCCTTTTATCCACCCTGAATCTTTTCACTGGGCGTCCTAGGGTTACGAGGGAGGGAGGAAAACATCCCCCTATCCTCTTGCCATGCATAATGCGGTAAATTTCCACTCTGTCTCTTTTTGGTTGCCCTTTCCCAAACCCTTTCCAAACTCTAGTATGTTGTTGCTGTTGTTATATTTATTAATGGTACCTTGGGTTCTCAAACTTGATCCGTTCCGGAAGTCTGTTCCAAAACCAAAGCATGTTCCAAAACCAAGGCGCGCTTTCCTACAGAAAGTAACACAAAAGGGATTAATCTGTTCCAGACTTTTAAAAACAACCCCTTAAAAAACAGCAATTTAACATGAATTTTACTATCTAACGAGATCATTGATCCATAAAATGAACGCAATAATCAATGTACTGTACTATAAAATAAATAAGACAGTATTGCAGAGGATAATTTTTTTTTTTCTTACCTGCACTGATGATAGTCATTGTTAAATGAGGTTTTTTTAATCCATTTCCGCAGTCACACAATTAATCAATCAATCAATCAATCAGAAGCTGAACTGTGTTCCACACAGTCACAAAAAACAAATGAACCGAAAAAGCCTCAAAAACAAAAACGTAAAATAAATAGCAAAAACAAAAGTGCCAAACTTAACCCAGAAGTCCGTTCGACTTCTGAAACTTTCAAAAACCAAGGCGCGGCTTCTGATTGGCGCAGGCGCCCCGGAAACGATAGTGGACAGCCACATCGGACATTCAGCTTCCGAATAACGTTCGAAAACCGGAACACTTCCTTCTGGGTTTTTGACATTTGGGAACCAAGGTACCACTGTATCACCTTTCATCCGACGATCACAGGGGTGGATTAAAATTCAAAAAAATCCTCTTTCAGGCGAGGCGACCAGAACTCTACTGGTTTCTACTGGGCGATTCTTTGATCTGACCTCTTTTTCCCCTTCCCCAGAAACCCGTCGCCGTCAAATCCCTGCGCTCCGACGTCTCCTGCGACCCGGGCGCCCTGATCGATTTCCTCAACGAGGTCAACGCCATGTGCTGCCTGAACCACCCAAACCTTCTGCGCCTCCATGGGGTGGTCCTAACTCAGCCCCTCAAAATGGTAAAGATTTCAGACTTCTTGTTGTTGTTGTTTAGTCGCTTAGTGGTGTCCGCCTCTTCGTGATCCCCTGGACCAGAGCACGCCAGGCACTCCTGTCTTCCACTGCCTCCCGCAGTTTGGTCAAACTCATGTTCATAGCTTCGAGAACACTGTCCCACCATCTTGTCCTCCGTCATCCCCTTCTCCTTGTGCCCTCCATCTTTCCCAACATCAGGGTCTTTTCCAGGGAGTCTTCTCTTCTCATGAGGTGGCCAAAGTCTTGGAGCCTCAGCTTCAGGATCTGTCCTTCCAGTGAGCACTCAGGGCTGATTTCCTTCAGAATGGAGAGGTTTGATCTTCTTGCAGTCCATGGGACTCTCAAGAGTCTCCTCCAGCACCAGAATTCAAAAGCATCCATTCTTCGGCGATCAGCCTTCTTTATGGTCCAGCTCTCACTTCCATACATCACTACTGGGAAAACCAGAGCTTTAACTATACGGACCTTTGTTGGCAAGGTGATGTCTCTGCTTTTTAAGATGCCGTCTAGGTTTGTCATTCATAGACTTCATAGCGACCTCCTTACCCCGCAAAGGTCGCAGGACTCCTGGGTCCTCTTTCTGGGTGCACAGAATGTAGGGTGGTGCCCGGACTCTCTTAGGTTATCTTGGAAGGTGGGTTTTTTTTTAAAGGGGGGGCTAATAAGAGTCCAGAATGACTTTTTGCGGCTGGAGGGAATGCATAAGGAAACGGAGTTTTCCCCTGCATGTCCACTCTAGGAAAACAAGGAATGTTGTACTTGACTGCTCCTTATGTATCACGTCCCACAGTTCCCGCGTTGCAGAGGGTTGGTCTAGATGGCCGCTGGGGGGTCCCCTTCCAACGCGGTGGGCTCCTTTTGATCCAGCCCTGCCTCTCTGCCTCCCCTCAGGTGACTGAGCTGGCCCCCCTGGGCGCCCTCTACGACCGTCTCCGGCCCCCCTTCCCTCTCCACCAGCTCTGGAGCTATGCCCTGCAAGTCGCCCAAGGAATGTCTTACCTCGAATCCAAGCTCTTTGTCCACCGCGACCTGGCCGCTCGCAACATCCTCCTGGCCTCCGAGGAGACGGTCAAGATCGGCGACTTTGGGCTCATGAGGCCGCTGTCCAGCAAGAGCGACCGCTACATCATGTCCGCGCACCGGCGCATCCCTTTCGCCTGGTAGGAGTTTTTGAACCCACCCTGCAATATATATATATATATCCCCACCCTGGGGCAGGGGGATCTGTGCCACGTTCCCACAACAGTTCTTTCTTTCCAAAATTAAGATTTGAATAGAACGTTTTCAGAATGCAATTCGAACCCAGGTCCCAGTCCTGTGCTCTAACCACTGCACCGCTCTGCCTGCACTTTGCTACGGGGTTGTTCTGATTGGCTCTCCCTCCCCTCCTCCGCCTCCTCAGGTGCGCCCCAGAGAGTTTGCGCATGGGGGTCTTCACCAGTGCCTCCGACGTGTGGATGTTCGGCGTCACCCTCTGGGAAATGTTCTCCTACTGCGAAGAACCTTGGATGGGATATTCCGGACGGCAGGTAATAATAATAATGGTTTTTGTTTAAGAACGGACTTCCGGAACGGATTAAGTTTGTAAACCGAGGTAGCACTGTACTGTTTTTAGAATTTTTTTAACTGTAATTGTTTTCGGAATATTTTGATTTGTTTTAAAAACGCTTTTGCTTTTCTGTGGTATATCTATTTTCTGGTAAATCTTTTCCCCCAAGCTCCTTAGGAAGGAAGGGTGAGAAAGGAAGGAAGGAAGGAAGGAAGGAAGGAAGGAAGGAAGGAAAGAAAGAAAGAAAGAAAGAAAGAAAGAAAGAAAGGAGGGAGGGAGGGAGGGAGGGAAAGAAAGAAAGAAAGAAAGAAAGAAGGAAGGAAGGAAGGAAGGAAGGGAAGGAAGGAAGGAAGGAAGGAAGGAAGGAAGGAAGGAAGGTATTATTTATACCCCGCCAATTGGCTTTTCCATAGTTGCTGCAGTCCTGGAGATCATGGGTTTATTTTCATTTTTTTTAAATTTTCACTATATATTTTGTGTGTCTTATATTGTAATTTTACGTCGTGAACCGCCCCGAGATCGACAGATTCAGGGCAGTATACAAATTTAATACATAACAACAACCTGGCGCTTTCCGGATGTTTTGGACTACGAGTCCCATCATCCACTGCAAGCTCGGCCAGTGGATGATGGGTTCTGTAGTCTTTTCGGCAACCTTCCTTTTTCCAGCAAGCCTTTTAAGCAGAGGTCTTCATCCCAGCTAACTGGGGGGGGGGGGCTTTGGGAGTTGTGGTCCAAAACGTAGGGAGGGCGCCAAGATGGGGAAAGAACCGGCCTCCTTTATTTTATTTTTTAAAATATAATTTTTATTAAGTTTTCCATATTTTATCACATTTCAGTATCAAAAAATAACTTAAGACATTGCTTAAATAAAGCATCGATCTCCTTCCTTCCCACTAACAGACCTCCATATCTCATTACCAATTTCTCCACATTCCTAAATTCAGTTTTTTACCTTAAATCAATCTTTTAACAAGCACCTAAGGTAAAGGTAAAGGGATCCCTGACCATTAGGTCCAGTCGTGGCCGACTCTGGGGTTGTGGCGCTCATCTCGCTTTATTGGCCGATGGAGCTGGCGTCCAGCTTCTGGGTCATGTGGCCAGCAGGACTAAGCCGCTTCTGGCGAACCAGAGCAGCGCACGGAAATGTCGTTTACCTTCCCGCCCATTTATCTACTTGCACTTTGACGTGCTTTCGAACTGCTAGGCTGGCAGGAGCAGGGACCGAGCAACGGGAGCTCACCCTGTCGCAGGGATTTGAACCGTCGACCTTCTGATCGGCAAGTCCTAGGCTCTGTGGTTTAACTCACAGCGCCACCCGCGTCCCAAACAATCACCTACTTATAAGTAAATCAGCTCCTTAATTTCCCATTACCAAACATTTCAACTTAAACCTACAAACGTATTCAACTGTTTGTAGTTTTCTTTCATATAGCGTATAAATTTGCCCCGCCAGCTCCGTCAGCTCCACGTATTTGACCATCTTTACTTGCCAATCTTCCAATGTGGGGAGTTCTTGTTGCTTCCATTTCTGGGCCAGGAGTATTCTTGCGGCCGTTGTTGCACACATTAACAAATTTACATCTTTCATTTGGATTTCCTCAATTAACCCCAACGGGAAAGCGTCTGGTTTTTTGCTGAAATTATACTTGAATATCTTTTTCAATTCATTATATATGATATCCCAAAAGGCTTTAATCTTGGAACATGTCCACCACATATGCAAGAAATTCCCCTCCTTCTCCCTACATTTCCAACCAATTATCCTGGTTTTTATACATTTTGGCAAGCTTGTTTGGTGTGATGTACCAATGTTACATCATCTTCATTACGTTCTCTTTAAGAGCCAGACATGCTGTAAATTTACCGTATTTTTCGCTCTATAAGACGCACCAGACCACAAGACGCACCTAGTTTTTGGAGGAGGAAAACAAGAAAAAAAATATTCTGAATCTCAGAAGCCGGAACAACAAGAGGGATCGCCGCGCAGTGAAAGCAGCGATCCTTCTTGCTGTTCTGGCTTCTGGGATAGCTGCGCAGCCTGCATTTGCTCCATAACACACACACACATTTCCCCTTACTTTTTAGGAGGGAAAAGGTGAGTCTTATAGGGCAAAAAATACGGTAATTGTTTTTGTCCATAATTTTTCCCATCTCTCAAAATCAATGTTATGTCCCAGATCCTGAGCCCATCTTATCATAACACTTTTAACCTCCTCGTCAGAACCGGCCTCCTTTAACCCTCGAGAAACCGTGTCCCACCTTAACCTCATTCTTCGCCAGTGACTCCCAGGCTTGTGTAGACAATCAGGGTCAGGAGATTATTGTGACCCCAGATGCCCTCTTGTGATTCAAGTCTCATTCATCTGTGAACTTTTGCAATAGAGCCTCGGGGAAGACCCAGTTTCTTTAACCACACACCCCGTCACGCGCGACATAAGCAATGTTAGGGTAAGTGCAATGGCCTAATTTACAGGGTGGGGTTTGATTCTTTCTTTCCATCGCCCTGAAAAAAGGAGGAGGAGGAATATAAACCGGCCACAGAAATGGAACAAAATTTGCACGTACGTTTTAGTTCTTTATTGCCGTTCTAGATCCCAGCAATAAAAGATAATGGGAGAGGATTTGCCCCAGCAAATTATTTGTCAAAATTGTTGTTGTTTAGTCGTTTATTTGTGTCCGCCTCTTCGTGACCCCCTGGACCAGAGCACGCCAGGCCCTCCTGTCTTCCACTGCCTCCCGCAATTTGGTCAAACTCATGCTGGTAGCTTCGAGAACACTGTCCCACCATCTCGCCCTCCGTCGTCCCCTTCTCCTTGTGCCCTCCATCTTTCCCAACATCAGGGTCTTTTCCAGGGAGTCTTCTCTTCTCATGAGGTGGCCAAAGTCTTGGAGCCTCAGCTTCAGGATCTGTCCTTCCAGTGAGCACTCAGGGCTGATTTCCTTCAGAATGGAGAGGTTTGATCTTCTTGCAGTCCATGGGACTCTCAAGAGTCTCCTCCAGCACCAGAATTCAAAAGCATGACTTTGACCAAACTGCGGGAGGCAGTGGAAGACAGGAGTGCCTGGCGTGCTCTGGTCCAGGGGGTCACGAAGAGTCGGACACGACTAAACAACTAAACAACAACAACAAAACGACGACACCTAACTCCTTCTTGACATGAGACATCTGTCTATGGATCCTTCGCTGCCACCATGAGTTAAAAGGGACCCCACACGGTCATCTAGCCGAACCCCGTGCAACGCAGAAGGGTTCAAGTATTCTGAGTGGCTCCCAGATTTTCTTAACGGGAATCTAACGTCCGAGGTTTTTAGTCGCCCGCACGATGAATCACCACAGCCTTTTTGCAACCCGGTCCCCGCCAGATGTTTGGTGCTCCACCTCCTATGAGCCAGCGCGCTGCCAGTTCTTATTTTGACTGTTAGAAGAGAGATATGCGCTGCTGAAAGATAACCGCTTCTGCATTCAGTGATGTGGACTGTGGCTCACAAAAGATGCCGCTGCAACAAATCTGCAGGCTTCGCGGCGTCACAAGACTCTGAGACCGTGCATGTAGAGAAATGCTGATTTTTATAAATGTGTGCGACTGTAGCAAGACGGAGGTCCAAATGTTTGTATTTTTAATTTTAAAGGGCAAGAAACAAGGCTGGTGGATGATCATGAAAATGTAGATGGTTTGAATGCATCCCCAGAGATTAAAATCTATAGTATGCCCTATATCCAGTGGTTTTTTTTCTGGGGGGACGCAGTAGTACGCATACCCCTAAACATTTTGTGAATCTTTGTACTTTTGTCCATTGACATTTCCCCTTTTTGAACTATAAAATGGTGATTTTCTTGAGTTAAAATGAGAGTACCCCTAAACATTTTTTAGGGAAAAAGTCACTAGCTATATCTATTGCCCAATGTGTCATACAGCCTTTGAGAAGCTCGTCTTTTGTTTCCCAATCTTATAACAGATTGTACATTTTAGATAAAAGTTTTTTTCTTTATAACTTGTTTTAGAGTTCTTTACGATTTGACTGTGTGGTTTTTTTATGTTTTTATACCGTCGTTCCCTCTGTGAGATGTGAGTATTATAATTTTCTGCTTCCTGGCTATGAAACATAACTTTTGAGTGCTTTTAATGGAAGTTTTACGTCTGGTGCAAATGTAGAGAAACGGCGACCTAAATGCTGTCGTTTTCCATCCATTCCTCCCCGACCAGATCATGATGAAGATTGACAGGGAAGGCCGGCGGTTGGAACGCCCCGACGACTGCCCCCGAGAAATCCACGCCCTGGCGATGAAATGCTGGGCCCACAACCCCGAAGACAGACCCCGCTTCCGGGAGATTGTCAGCCTTCTGCAAGAGGTGAGAGAAGGGAAACCGTCGGCAGCTGGGCTCACCTGGGTGCGATTTTCTACCATTAAAAATGAGGCTTTAATAATAATAATTATAATAATTTTTTATTTATACCCCGCCCTTCCCAGTTCAGAAGACCAGGCTCAGGGCGGCTAACAACAAATTTAAAACACTTAATTGATGCAACAACAAAAACAGCATAAAATACAGTATAAAACGTGAATAACAATAAATTCAGAATTCAAAAATCAACTTCGGGGGGAAATCCATCCGATAAACATTAAATGATCACCAGGGCTAGCTGGCTGAATTAGTCCTATTTGGGCCAGTGAGGGGACCAGGGGAGAATTAGCTGTGGGATCCCAATCTTCATAAAAAGGGGAGGGGGAGGGGAGGAAGGGGAATAAAAGATCAGGCTGAATTCAAATTAAAGGCCAGGTGGAATAGCTCTGTCTTACAGGCCCGACGGAAGGAAGTTAAATCCTGCAGGGCCCTGGTCTCCTGGGACAGAGCAGTCCACCAGGTCGGAGCCACCACTGAGAAGGCCCTGGCCCTGGTGGAGAATAATCTGACTTCCTTAGGGCCTTCTAAACTATGGTTACAGTGGTGCCTCGCAAGACGAAATTAATTCGTTCCGCGAGTTTTTTCGTCTAGCGAATTTTTCGTCTTGCGAAGCACGAAATCCCATAGGAATGCATTGAAATTCAATTAATGCGTTCCTATGGTCAAAAAAAGTCCAAACAAAGCCAAATTTGGTACAACAAGAGTTTATTAAGTGCTCTTTAAAGTCACACATACTGTAAAGAGCATTTCAAAAATTGAAGGATCAATAAATTCAAAAATTGAAGGAACAATAAAAATCATAAAAATGCAGAAAAAACCACACAAGCTTCCAGATTCTTGCAAACCCCTCCTCAACTGTTCCCCCAGCCACCCACCACACAGAAATTCAAATCCAGATTTTTTTAAAAAAACAGCAGAGTGGCCCAATGGTCACAGAAAATCATAAAAATGCAGAAAAAAACACACAAGCTTCCAGATTCTTGCAAACCCCTCCCCAACACCAAGTCCTTGAATTCCAAACACCCCAACCCAAAATCCAAAACCCCCCCAAAAAGTTTTAAAAGTTTAACTTACCAAATGGCTGCAAAAGAAGTTTTGGAAAAGCTTCAAAAATCACCAAAGTCTTCAAAAACCTCAAAAGGCTACCACACCGTAGTTCTCTGAGTTGCGCCTCGAAGTCAAGTCGCAACTGTATTAACGGTGTTAAGAAAAGGAAACAAACTTGCAAGACGTTTTCGTTTTTCGTCTTGCGAAGCAAGCCCATAGGGAAATTTGTCTTGCGAAGCAGCTCAAAAAACGCAAAACCCTTTCGTCTAGCGAGTTTTTCGTCTTGCGAGGCATTCGTCTTGCGGGGCACCACTGTATTATTCATGGGCCTTAAGGTCCTCTGTGGGGCAGACCAGGAGAGGCGGCCCTGTAAATACAAGGGCCCTAAGCCACAAAGGGCTTTAAAGGTCAAAACCAGCACCTTGAACCTGACCCTGTACTCCACTGGGAGCCAGTGCAGCTGGAAAAGCACTGGGTGAATATGCTCCCATGGCAGGGACCCCGTAAGGAGCCTTGCTGCAGCATTCTGCACCCGCTGGAGTTTCTGGGTCAGCTTCAAGGGCAGCCCCGCGTAGAGAGAATTGCAGTAGTCAAGCCTGGAGGTGACCGTCCCATGGGTCCCAAAATGGGCAACAGCCCCCCCTGGGGCCATGGAATTACCTGGCTGGGGGGGCGCTAAGAGGCATGGGGGTGGCGGGGGGCAGAGCATCTGAATCTCAGGGTTGTGGGTTCGAGTCCTGTGCTTGGCAAAAGATCCCTGCATTGCTGGGGGTTAGGCTAGATAACCCTCAGGGTCCCCTGGGCATCGTCTCCACCATCCTGTCTCCCCCTCCAACGCAGCTCCGTCCCAAGGAAGTGAAGGCATCCCAGGATCTGAACGAACCCGGCTGGCTGCGTCTGGAGGCAAACGATGGCATCACGGTGATCGAAGGCAGGTGAGTCCAGGACGCCTGGGTCCCCTTTGGAAGCAATTCCCTCCTTGGGTCATGACCTGGCTTTCGTGTTGATTTTTCAAGTATCTAGTCCTCAGTCTGTACCTCCCTCTGGCAGTTATCTCCCTTCATTGACCCTTTCGTTCTCTATATAAGCTTTATTGCTATTGGCTTCTCCCTCCCTCCCTTCCTTCTCCCCATCTCTCCCTTTCTTTCTTTCTTTCTTTCTTTCTCTCTCTCTTTCTCTCCATCCATCAAGAGAGGCTATTACGTTTGACGTTTAATGTTTGATGTTCAATCGTGTTTTTAATATTCTGTTGGGAGCCACCCAGAGTGGCTGGAGAAACCCAGCCAAATGGGCGGGGTATAAATAAATAAATAAATAAATAAATAAATAAATAAAGTAATAATACCCCCCCCCCACCTGGCTGAGTTTCCCCAGACACTCTGGGCAGTTCCCAATCTAATATTAAAAACACAAAACAACATTATTATTATTATTATTATTATTATTATTATTATTATTACACACAGCCTGGATAAAGTGGGCAGAGAAATATTTTTCTCCCTCTCTTGTGAACCTGAATGTTGGGGTGCTGGAGGAGCGCAGTTGGTCGAGCGTGAGACTCCTAATCTCAGGGTCGTGGGTTCGAGCTTCATGTTGGGCAAAAAGATTCCAAAATTGCCGAGGAATTTTGAACCCCGAGGATGGGGTGACAAGGACTTTTAAAACTTTCCCACCATATCCCAGAATACAGTTCGTACAGCATCATTGATACATCACTGACCTGTCACCAAAGGGGAGGGGTAGACAGGGGTTACACTAGTTTAACCTTGGCAAACATGTCCAGACAAGTCCTTGGTCCAAGAGTAGCAGAAGCAGACATGTCAGGGCAAGACCCAGGTATAAGATGAGCAGAGGCAAACACCTCTGAAGTCCCACCACCCAAAGTCCAAGAGAACTTCCTTTGCATGTCTGGACCCCTTGGCAAGTCCGGTGATGGGATTAGGCTTTCCTTGGCCAACAATCAGCTCAGCAATTGTCACCTCTGGGAACTTCCTGGGGTCCCTTTCAAGGGGGAAATAGCTTTGGAATGGAGGAAAGTGGCAAAGGAGTTGATTTTATATTATTTTATATTTATATTAGTACGTTTCCAAGCACAATTCAAAGTGTTGGTGCTGACCTTTAAAGCCCTAAACGGCCTCAAAGGCCCAGTATACCTGAAGGAGCGTCTCCACCCCCATCGTTCTGCCCGGACACTGAGGTCCAGCTCCGAGGGCCTTCTGGCGGTTCCCTCATTGCGAGAAGTGAGGTTACAGGGAACCAGGCAGAGGGCCTTCTTGGTGGTGGCGCCCTCCCTGTGGAACGCCCTCCCACCAGATGTCAAAGAGAACAACAACTACCAAACTTTTAGAAGACACCTAAAGGCAGCCCTGTTTAGGGAAGCTTTTAATGTTTAATAGGTCATTGAATTTTAGTGTTTTGCGCCAGAGTAGCTGGGGAAACCCAGCCAGATGGGCGGAGTATAAATAACAAATTATTATTATTATTATTATTATTATTATTATTATTAAAGCTAGGTAACTTCCCTGAGCTGTCAAGTTGAAAGGATACATTCAGGCATAATATTTGTAACATTTAACAACTTTAAAGATGTGGGGCCCCCCCATAATTTCCGTAACACTGGAAACTGCAGGAGAGGAGAGTGGCTCTTGAGTTCAAATCCTGCTTGCAGATTTCCCATTTGGGCACCTGGTTGGCCACTGTGAGAAAAGGAGACGAGGTTCGGTGGGCCATTGGCCTGATTCTGTGGACTCCTGTTCTGCAGTGGTTGGTGAAGCATCAGGTGGGGCAGGGATTGATCTCTCTGACCCACACCCTCTCTCTCTTCCAGCCCCGATTCCTCGACGTGGCGAGGCCAGAACAGGCGGACCCTGAGGGTGGGGATCTTCCCGTCGTCCATAGCAAAGCCGGAGGACGAAGCGCCCCCTGCTGGCACGCCGCAGATCAGCCTCCCCATCCGAAGCTCCTTCGTGCACCTAGGTCACGGGGACATCGACCCCGAGCGCGGATGGGGGGCTCCGGACCGGATAGAGGAGTACGTCGTCGTGATGAGGGGGGTGGGAATGGGGAAGGGTCTTCTCTAGCGTGAGGTTACCAGACGTCCCCGTTTCCCGGGGACAGTCCCCAGATTTACAAAATAGTCCCCTGACAAATGGGGACGCGGGTGGCGCTGTGGGTTAAACCACAGAGCCTAGGACTTGCTGATCAGAAGGTTGGCGGTTCGAATCCCCGCAATGATGGGGTGAGCTCCCGTTGCTCAGTCCCTGCTCCTGCCAACCTAGCAGTTCGAAAGCACGTCAAAGTGCAAGTAGATCAATAGGTACCGCTCTGCCGGGAAGGTAAACGGCGTTTCCGTGTGCTGCTCTGGTTCGCCAGAAGCGGCTTAGTCATGCTGGCCACATGACCTGGAAGCTGTACGCCGGCTCCCTCGGCCAATAAAGCGAGATGAGCGCCACAACCCCAAAGTCAGTCACGACTGGACCTAATGATCAGGGGTCCCTTTACTTTTACCTTTACCCCTGACAAAATCCATTGAAATTGAAAAGTGTCCCCGGATTCATTGAAAAAAATCTGGTAACCTTACTCTAGCGCACATGTGTGCATGCATGTAAAAAGGTCAAGGACCCCATGGTGGTTAAGTCCAGTCAAAGGCGACTCTGGGGTTGCGGCGCTCATCTCGCTTTCAGGCCAAGGGAGCCGGCGTTTGTCTGCAGACAGTTTTCTGGGTCATGTGGCCAGCAGGACTAAACCGCTTCTGGCACAATGGAACACTGTGACGGAAACCAGAGCGCATGGAAATGCTATTTACCTTCCTATTTACCTACCGTATTTTTTGCTCCATAAGACGTACCCGACCACAAGATGCACCTAACGGTTTTCCAGTCTATAAGACGCACCGGACCATAAGACGCACCTAGTTTTTGGAGGAGGAAAACAAGAAAAAAAATATTCTGAATTCCAGAAGCCAGAACAGCAAGAGGGATCGCTGCGCAGCGAAAGCAGCAATCCCTCTTGCTCTTCTGGCTTCTGGGATAGCTGCACAGCCTGCATTCGCTCCATAAGACGCACACACATTTCTCCTTACTTTTTAGGAGGGGAAAAGTGTGTCTTATAGAGCGAAAAATACGGTACTTGCACTGGTGTGCTTTCGAACTGCTAGGTAGGCAGGAGCTGGGACCGAGCAACGGGAGCTCACCCCATCATTGCGGGGATTCGAACCGCCGACCTTCTGATCAGCAAGCCCTAGGCTCAGTGGTTTAGACCACAGCGCCACCCGCACATACACAGAGGGAGTCATTCACAGGGACCCTGCAGGGACATGCGCTGCCCCCTGGTGGTCGCGGGTGAGACTGGCCCCAACCGCCTTCGACTGCATTGCGACGCAGTTTGCAAGGAATAAAAGCAGCAATTAATGGGCAATTGAAACCAATAAGCTCCTGGCAACAATGTTTCTAGAAAGGGAAATGTTCTGAGCTGCTTTGGCAGGAAGATGAGGCTCTAAAAGTTGCAGGTGGAGGGGTGCAAATGGATCGGCGGCTCAGGATTTCGCGTTTGCCGGAAGGCCGGCTGGGGGAGTAGCTATTAGTAAAGCCGTGCAATTATTATCATCATTGTTTCAAATATATGTAATTAGAGGCTTGTTTGTTTTCTACCCTAGGAAGAAACCGAAAGCGCGGGTGGTTAACTCCAATCCCCAGAATCGAGCTGGAGGCAAGCAGCTGTTGCAGTTGGCTCGTGAGTGTCTGCTTCATCTGCCTCTAATATAATAATAATAATAATAATAATAATAATGTGTTCCAATAACTTAAGTCACTCTGACAGAAGTTGTTGGAGCACCATTCAAATGGCAATGCCCATTATCTTGAGGGGGGCCCTCAAATATTTTATTGGGGGGAGCGACGACGCCTCGGCCCTTAGGCATCGGCTTCTATTCCAGAAACCACCCTTGCAAGATTTGCCACTCAAAGTAGGGAACAAACAAAATAGGGAGCATTCAATAGTTAATCATTGATCTATTTAGGAATGTTCCAGCAGAATATTCCCACGTTAGGGCTGGTTTTCCTGGACGTATCCAGGATCCAGAAATAGCTCAACAACTTTTCCACTTCTTTGAAATACAGCAATCCTTGTTGTTCAGTCGTTTAGTTGTGTCCGCCTCTTCGTGGCCCTCTGGACCAGAGCACGCCAGGCACTCCTGCCTTCCACTGCCTCCCGCAATTTGGTCAAACTCATGTTAGTCGCTTCGAGAACACTGTCCCACCATCTCGTCCTCCGTCGTCCCCTTCTCCCTGTGCCCTCCATCTTTCCCAACATCAGGGTCTTTTCCAGGGAGTCTTCTCTTCTCATGAGGTGGCCAAAGTCTTGGAGTCTCAGCTTCAGGATCTGTCCTTCCAGTGAGCACTCAGGGCTGATTTCCTTCAGAATGGAGAGGTTGGATCTTATCCCATGTCAAAGCTTCATTAAATCCGCTTCTCATTTCAGCGTGAATTAAACCAAGTATACTTAACAATAGAACCCAGCAGTCCTGGCCCTGGGCTCAGTGACGGATTTAGGTATAAGCTAAACAAACTATAGCTTAGGGCCCCACTCTCTTGGGGGCCCCCCAAAAATTTAAAGGGAAAAAACCTAGATGTACATTTCCAAAATATAAGATAAAAAACAAATCATATAAAACCTACCTACAGCAACAGTGTTTTGTGTTGTGTAGGCTCCTGTGATGTAAGTAATGGGCCCCGCCTGCTCCCTAAAATATGCCTGGTTTGCTCCTTTCTATATATAGGGTGCCTACATTCTGCATGGACTGGTTGCAGGGCAACATGCGCAAATGGCTTGAGATACCATTATGAGGTCCATAAATGACCATAGAGAATATATTCAACCCAAAAAACCCAGCGGCAATTTGTTGTTGATGAAGGACAGCTGGACATAGAAAGGGCTCCATTACCTTCAGTAGCTTAGGGCCTCATCAAACCTAAATCCGGCCCTGGCTTACTTCCCGATTGAAGTGAGACTGAATTGAGAAATAAGACTAAGAGCACATATTGATATAGGAATGTATTAGATAAAATGTAAAGAAATGTACAATAATAAGATTACATTCATTTGTATAAAAAAAAGAATATACAACAGGATAGACAGAAAGTCTAGTGTGTTGGTATGTACACTGGTACCTCGGGTTAAGTACTTAATTTGTTCTGGAGGTCCATTCTTAACCTGAAACTGTTCTTAACCTGAAGCACCACTTTAGCTAATGGGGCCTCCTGCTGCTGCCGCGCGATTTCTGTTCTCATCCTGAAGCAAAGTTCGTAACCCGAGGTACTATTTCTGGGTTAGCGGAGTCTGTAACCTGAAGCGTATGTAACCTGAAGCGTCTGTAACCCGAGGTACCACTGTATATGATTTGGGGGGGGGGATTTCTTTTTGTTTTTTTTCTCTTCGTTCTTCCTTTTTCTTTTTGTTTCATTTTCTTTCTAGGTATATAAAATTTGTAGATAATTTTTGTATACATGTTTGGAAATTATATTACAGTCCTGTGATGTTTACCAATGTAATATAAGAATGTTAACAAATAAATAAAATGCAAATTCAAAATAAATAAATCCCGATTCTCTCCAAAAAATATGCAACGTCACCTTTCTCTCACCCCTGCTTCTTTCTGGTCTTCCTTCCAGGTCTCTCCAAGAGCTTGGAGTCTCTTTCGGACTTCAGCGTTCTGCGCACAAAAACCCGGCTGCCGGCCTTCAAACCGGACCCTCCTAACGTCCCTCCACAACAGCGCCGTTTCAGCGATCTGCCAGGACCTCCGGCGCAGCAGCTGGAGCCACGGGGTCGGAAGCCTTTGTCCCGCCTGCCCAATCCGGCCCTGCCCTCCTGGGCCCTGCCCAAGCCTGACGGCCCTCCTCCGGGGGCCAGGGAGAAGGAGCAACGGCCGCCAAGACCCCCACCCCCCAAAGGGGCGCCGCCCCCAGCCCCTTCTGGCGGGCAGAGGCCAACCCTGGCGGAGATTGAGAAGAAGATCAAGGAGGTGAGGGCACGGATTTGACCAAACGATGCCAAAGACAGCAGCAGGGAGTACTAGAAATGTAATAATAATAATAATAATAATAATAATAATTTATTATTCATACCCCGCCCATCTGGCTGGGTTTCCCCAGCCACGCTGGGCAGCTTCCACAAAGACCAAAAATACACTAAGGTGTCACACATTAAAAACTTCCCTGAAGAGGGCTGCCTTCAGATGTCTTCTGAATGTCAGGTAGTTGTTTTTCTCTTTGACATCTGATGGGAGGGCGTTCCACAGGGCGGGTGCCACCACAGAGAAGGCCCTCTGCCTGGTTCCCTGTAGCTTTGCTTCTCGCAATGAGGGAACCGCCAGAAGGCCCTTGGCACTGGACCTCAGCGTCCGGGCAGAGCGATGGGGGTGGAGACGCTCCTTCAGGTACTGGGCCTTTGTGGCTGTTTGGGGATTTCAAGGTCAGCACCAACACTTTGAATTGTGCTTGGAAACGTACTGGGAGCCAATGGAGGTCTTTCAGGACCTGTGTTATGTGGTCTTGACAGCTGCTCCCAGTCCCCAGTCTGGCTGCCGCATTCTGGATTAGTTGCAGTTTCCGGGTCACCTTCAAAGTCAGCCCCACGTAGAGCGCATTGCAGTAGTCCAAGCGGGAGATAAGCAGAGCATGCACCACTCTAGCGAGACAGTCTGCGGGCAGATAGGGTCTCATCCTGGTACCAGATGGAGCTGGTAGACAGCTGCCCTGGACACAGAACTGACCTGCGCCTCCATGGACAGCGGTGAGTCCAGAATGACTCCCAGGCTGCGCACCTGGTCCTTCAGGGGCACAGTTGCCCCATTCAGGACCAGGGAGTCCTCCACACCTGCCCGCCTCCTGTACTTCTGTCTTGCCAGGATTCAACCTCAATCCATTAGCCACCATCCATCCTCCAACCGCCTCCAGGCACTCACACTGGACCTTCACCGCCTTCACTGGTTCTGATTTGAAAGAGAGGTAGAGCTGTAGAGTTTATAAGGGTCCCCGAGGGTCATCCAGTCTAACCCCCCTGCAATGCAGGAATCTTTTGCCCAGTGCGGCACTCGAACCCAGGACCCTGAGGTTAAGAGGACTGTACTTGACGGAATGAGCTGTCCCCGGAAGGGGGAGAGAATGTCATCACTATTCGAATGGCAAAGCAAACTCTGCGAGTTTGTAGAAATGGCAAAATGGGTGGCAATTATTAGAGGCCGCTCGAATCAGAGACTAATTAGAGAGTGGGATGGAGTGAAAAAATACGGTTCCGGAATTGAAATATTGATAGAGAATGTGTAAAACGTGCAGGGGTAAGCAAGGAAATAATAACAGAATCAATTGAATAATTATTAAATTGTAACAACACAACAAGATGGAAGAAGTAAAATATTGGGATCACACATGGGTGAAAGGGAGTGGGGGGTATATGGGAACCTAGAATATCATTTATAATATAATTTGTTTATTGCGTTGTATTTACATATAGCAAAGGGAAGCCTAGAGCAATTAGATATATTTTAATTTAGGTAATCTATGTAATAGGCTTATGTTAGAAAATGAATATGGATTTTGAATTTGATGTTTGTAAATTTTTTTGGAATTTTGAAATAAATTTTTAAGCACTTAAGAGTGCTTTCGAACTGCTAGGTGGGCAGAAGCTGGGACCGAAAGACGGGAGCTCACCCCGCCGCGGGGATTCGAACCGCTGACCATACGATCGGCAAGTCCTAGGCACTGAGGTTTTACCCACAGCGCCATCCGCGTCTCTCAATAGGTAAATAGATAAATAGGTACCGCTAGGTAAACAGCGTTTCCGTGTGCTGCGCTGGCTCGCCAGAACAGCTTCGTCACGCTGGCCACGTGACCTGGAAGTGTCTTCGGACGGCACCGGCTCACGGCCTCTAGTGCGAGATGAGCACGCAACCCTAGAGTCGGACACGACTGGCCTGTACGGGCAGGGGTACCTTTACCTTTACCTTTACTAGGAGCCCCCCATGGATCATAGGAAAGAGTAATAGAATTCTATGCATGGAATCGCGGAATCACAGCGCTGGGACCCCCAAAGGTCATCCAGCCCAACCCCTTGCAGGAACCAATAACGGGTGGGGCAATGATTGGACCACCGGATAGCTCAGTTGCTTAGAGCATGCTGCTGATAACGCCAAGGTTGCAGGTTCAATCACCATATGGGACAGCTCAATATTCCTCCGTTACTGGGGGGGTTGGACTAGATGATCCTCAGGGTCCCCTCCAAGTGCTACAAGTCTATGATTCGAATCTTTTTCCCTCCCTGATGCCTTGCTCACCCCCGATTGCAGGGGTGGAGGTTGCCCTGGGAATATTTTGCCTTTGACTCTGGCTGTTTGCCTCCCCAGGTAGAAGACAAGGTCCACGGCACCACGACGGAGGAATGCCACGAGGCCTTGAGGGCGAGCGGCTGGGATGTTCAGAAAGCCAGCCAGTTGCTAAAGGTGAGAGGCCCGGTTCTCCAGCGGCGCCCTGGCCTCCGTTCCACGGAGAGACGGGGCTCTCGCTCGGCCTTCCCCAAATATTCCCCATCAGACCCTGGCAGGCACAGCTGATGTAACACGAGAACTGGGTGTTGCGTTCGGAAGCAAGGAAGGATTGGACTCTGATTAATAAAACACACGCGAGGCTTGACCAGCAAGACTCTGGGAGGAGTGCGTATAATACCGTATTTTTTGCTCTATAAGATGCACCAGACCATAAGACGCACCTAGTTTTTGGAGGAGGAAAACAAGAAAAAAAATATTCTGAATCTCAGAAGCCAGAACAGCAAGAGGGATCGCTGCGCAGTGAAAGCAGCAATCCCTCTTCCTATTCTGGCTTCTGGGATAGCTGCGCAGCCTGCATTCGCTCCATAAGACGCACACACATTTCCCCTTACTTTTTAGGAGGGGAAAAGTGAGTCTTATAGAGCAAAAAATACAGCAATTCCCTCTCCACCCCTTGGCCCAGGTCGTTTTATTCACAAAAGAACTTTTTACACAGTGTTCGTAAGAACCAATCAGATTTTCTCTGAGCATTTCAAAAACCCCATGTGGGACAAAGTTAGATCAGAAGAAATCCTGTTAACTACAAAGACTACTATTTCCTACTTGAGCATGCATATGTTGTTGTTGTTGAGTAGTTTAGTTGTGTCCGCCTCTTCGTGACCCCCTGGACCAGAGCACGCCAGGCACTCCTGTCTTCCACTGCCTCCCGCAGTTTGGTCAGACTCATGCTGGTAGCTTCGAGAACACTGTCCCACCATCTCGTCCTCCGTCGTCCCCTTCTCCTTGTGCCCTCCATCTTTCCCAACATCAAGGTCTTTTCCAGGGAGTCTTCTCTTCTCATGAGGTTGCCAAAGTCTTGGAGCCTAAGCTTTAGGATCTGTCCTTCCAGTGAGCACTCAGGGCTGATTTCCTTCAGAATGGAGAGGTTGGATCTTCTTGCAGTCCATGGGACTCTCCAGAGTCTCCTCCAGCACCAGAATTCAAAAGCATCAGTTCTTCGGCAATCAGCCTTCTTTATGGTCCAGCTCTCATTTCCATACATCATTATGAACAGCTCTTACTATCAGAAAATTCTTCCTGCTCTTGAGTCACAATCTCCTTTCTTGTTCCTTCTATTATTCATTCCTTCTACTGTTCGTTTATTTATTTTGTGAAATTTATATGCTGCTTGATTGTAGAGAAAAGGATAGAAGAACCAAAGTGATCACTAAGGGAAATCAAGAGCACCATTGTAAGACTGTTGGAAGGTTAAAAGTAACAATAGGCTAAAAAAATATTAAAACTTTCTAAGCATCTAAGCTTTCTTGAACCAAAAATGTTTTTAGCAGGTGCCGAAAGAGCACATCCAAGGCGCTTGCCTGGTGTCAACAGGCGGGAGTTCCAAAGTTGTGCACTATAATGACGATTTCTTGCAAATGTGGAACGGATATTTCATAGAACTGTAGGACACCAAAGGTCATCCAGTCCAACCCCCTGCCATGCAAGAAAATCCTGCTCACAGCCATCCCTGGGTGGGTTCGAACCACCAACCTTCTGCTTAGCAGACCAATGTGCCAACCCCTTGCGCCGAGTGTCAGTTCTGCAGATCAGAAGCGGCCCAATGGACACGTGTGGCGACCTCTTATAGCTGCCCCCAGAAACCCTTTCCTGTCTCGGGTCCCTCTGACGCGGTCTCCTTCTGTTCCGCAGGTGAACCAGCTCTTCCACCTGAGCTCTCACTCCCGGGAAGAGTGCCGGTGGATCCTGGAGAAACACCGCTGGAACCTGGCCATGGCCTCACGCTATGTGCTCAGCAGGGGCCTGCGGACCTGACCTGCGTTTTGCCGAAGATGGGGGTGTGTGAAATTCTTCAGAGACAGAACGAAAAGGCGCCTCCGTTTGACGTCTTCCAAGCGGCAAAGCTTGTCGTAAACACAAAGCGAGGCCAACACATCTCCCTTAGGCGGCGAATCTTCGCTGACCCGCCGTGGGGCTTTGGGGGGATTCTGCGAGACCTCTGGCATCCTGCCCCCTGGCTCTCATGCGGCTTCCACCAACCTGGTGCCCTCAGCAGAACTCAGAAGTGCAAGGGGCCTTTATGCAAGGCCTAGAAGGGCCTGCTGGATCCGACCCATGGCCCACCCAGTTCATCATCCTGTTCTCCCAGTGGCCAACCAGCTGCCCCACTGGAAAGCCTGCCAGCAAGATCACACCTAGGCCCTTTCTCAGATGTCGCAGTAATAATACAGTCGTACCTCAGAAGTCGAGCGGAATCCGTTCCGGAAGTCCGTGTGACTTCCAAAACGTTCGGAAACCAAGGCGCGGCTTCCGATTGGCTGCAGGAAGCTTCTGCAGCCAATCGGAAGCTGCGTCGGACGTTCTGGTTCCAAAGAACGTTCGCAAAACAGAACACCCACTTCCAGGTTTGCGACGTTTGGGAGTCAAAACGTCCGAGTCACAAGGCGTTCGGGATCTGAGGTACGACTGTACAGATAAAACCAATAAATACGGAAAGAGAAAGGAGAAAAACGACGACAACAATAATTTGTTAGATCTACCATTTTCTGTGCAAATGCTTTGGGGTGCTCCAATGTTTCCTTTCCAGTTGGCTTAGATTTCGTTGAAGTTCCGTCATGCGTCACATAACTTGCCCTCTGTGCTCTTGAAACCAGGCCCGTCTTACCCATAGAGGCTAGTGGCGCGGGGCGCCAGGCGAGAGTCCAGGGAACACCAAACGAGCGCGCTGAGCGAGTGAGGGTGCGTGCGCCACTCCCGCTGGCTCGGTTTTCCCCCTTTTAGTCTGCAGGCACAGAATTCTGCGGGGCACCAGAAGGCTAAAAGGGAAAAAACTGAGCCGACACCCATCAGGAGTGGCACATGCGCCCTCGCTCACTTGGCGCAGGCCCGTTTGCTCAGTGTGCTGCCTGCCGTGGTGCCGCGTCCAGCGTCGCATCCAACCTCCGCCTCTTCCCCGCCGGAGGAGCCGCCCTCCAGCCGCTGCCCGCCTCCTCCAGCCCTAAAGAAAGGTCAACTCTGGGAAAGGGGGGCGATAGAGGGATCTTTGCACCAGTGCTGGATATGTTTAAGACGGCCCTGCTTGAAACTGAAGCACCTTCCTGTTCCTAAATACTCAACTTTGGAGCGTAAAGAACAACTTCCCCTTCTCCAGAATGACCCACCCTATTAATCAGCCCCAATCAGCCCAAAGGGTGAGGTGATTTATTCTCAGTAACTAAAATTGCTGCCCTTGCCTCCAGATCACAATACCTCCGCTAGGGCTCCCCCACTGGCTTCATCCGAATGACGCTGGACCTGGTGCAAGGCAGCTAACCATGTTGGGGAACGGCTGCTCTAACTCATCCATTTTGTCTACTTTGTGGCGGGGTTGGACTAGATGACCCTCGGGTCCCTTCCAACTCTGTTTAAGTCTATAATTCCGCCCACAGCAGAGAGGCGTTTGTGACTTTTCTGTCTCCCTCTCTCTTGTTTGTCCATTAAGAAAAGGCAGGTGAAAGGATCCCCACCCAATGTTCCTTTAGTGTTAAAGGACCCCGTTTTTTTAAGGTTCTGCTCTCGCTGAGAAGGCTAAACTTGCATCGTGACCTGGAGTTCTGCATCACTGCAAACCCTGCAAAAATAAAAATCCTATAGAAAGCAAGCAGCGCTGGAGGTGGAACGGAAAGGAGATTGTTCGCCGCTTTGAGACTCCTTCGTTGTTGTTGTTGTTGTTTAGTCGTTTCCGCCTCTTCGTGGCCCCCTGGACCAGAGCACACCAGGCACTCCTGTCTTCCACTGCCTCCCGCAGTTGGGTCAAACTCATGCTGGTCGCTTCGAGAACACTGTCCCACCATCTCGTCCTCCGTCGTCCCCTTCTCCTTGTGCCCTCCATCTTTCCCAACATCAGGGTCTTTTCCAGGGAGCCTTCTCTTCTCAGAAGGTGGCCAAAGTCTTGGAGCCTCAGCTTCAGGATCTGTCCTTCCAGTGAGCACTCAGGGCTGATTTCCTTCAGAATGGAGAGGTTTGATCTTCCTGCAGTCCATGGGACTCTCAAGAGTCTCCTCCAGCACCAGAATTCAAAATGAGACTCCTTAGGGTAGTGATAAAGCTGGATATCAAATCCGAATTCCTCCCTCCTTCCCTCTGCATTTGAATTTGCAACTATGTGCACATTTCCCCGAACACAACAGATATTACCTCTAAGTCAGTGGTTCCCAAACTTCCCCTTCTCCCTACGGACCACTTGGAAATTGCTGAGGGTCTCAGCATAGCCTTCAGTCGTCCTTTCTGCCTCTTGTAGGAATCGCAACGCACTGTTCTGGATGATGTACGGTTTTTAATTGTATTTTTATTGCTTTGTTTATGTCTTACACTGTGCTTTGCGGCGCTGCAATTTAAGTTCCGCAGCGACACAGTCTTTCTTGCTGCTTCCCCTCGCTGTCTTTTGGGCTGATAATTCTCTCCTTACACGTGGCTTCTCCCTCTGAGTAAACCCATCTGGACTGCGCTGCTAATGTTCTGCTTTTGCAGGGAGGGGCAGACCCAACAGAGGATCCGTCCTTCCAGTCCAAAATGATAGAGGAGTCCGACAGACAGCAGTTATCAGATTACATATCCCCGTCTATCTTGAAGGTGTATAATGTGTGTGTCGCATTTGTAAATATGGTGTAAATGAGTGAATAAATGAGATACTGTGTAAATATTTCCGCCCAGGTAGTTTGTGTGTGATGGTGCAACAGGGTTTATTTTTGGGGGGGGGGTTGCTGAGGCTGCTTGGGGTGGTGATGTCACCGGGGGAAGTCCGTGGTGATGTCATGGTGGTAGCACTTGGAGACGGAGGTTAATTGGGAGACCGGAATGAAGGGGGTCTGAACACCTCAGACAGTTCACGGGTAGGCAACCTAAGGCCCGGGGGCCGGATCCGGCCCAATCGCCTTCTCTATCTGGTCCGTGGGCAGTCCGGGAATCAGCGTGTTTTTACATGAGTAGAATGTGTCCTTTTATTTAAAATGCATCTCTGGGTTATTTGTGGGGCATAGAAATACATTCATTCCCCCCTGCCAATATAGTCCGGCCCCCCACATGGTCTGAGGGATGGTGGACCGGCCCACGGCTGAAATAGGCTGCTGACCCCTGGGCTATTATTTTGCTTTGAGCACGTGCATTTATTTGATTCATGAGAAATCCAACTTAGAAACACTGATATGGAGTTGTTTTTTTTGGAGGGGTGTTTTACCGATGTTTTTTTTTGGGGGGGAAACCCCACGCATGCGTGCACCAAGTCAGTGTGGACATGTTTAAAACCTGAGGTCTTAGTAGGCCACAAGCTTGATGCGAGTCCACAGTGTGATACAGCAGCAAAAAAGGCTACTGCAATTCTTGACTGCATCAACAGCAGTCTCGTGTCCAGACCAAGGGAGGTTTTGGTACTGCTCTGTTCTTCCTTGGCCAGACCACACCTGTTTACAGTGGTACCTTGGTTCTCAAACTTAATCCGTTCCAGAAGTCCGTTCGAAAACCAAAGCGCTCCAAAACCAAGGCGCGCTTTCCCATAGAAAGCGATGCAAAACGGATTAATCCATTCCAGACTTTTAAAAACAACCCCTAAAACAGCAATTTAACATGAAGCTTACTCCCTAACGTGACGGGACGCGGGTGGTATTGTGGGTTAAACCACAGAGCCTAGGACTTGCCGATCAAAAGGTCAGCTGTTTGAATCCCCGCAACGGGCTGAGCTCCCGTTGCTCGGTCCCTGCTCCTGCCAACCTAGCAGTTCGAAAGCACGTCAAAGTGCAAGTAGATAAAGAGGTAGCGCTCCGGCGGGAAGGTAAACGGCGTTTCCGTGCGCTGCTCTGGTTCGCCAGAAGCGGCCTAGTCCTGCTGGCCACATGACCCGGAAGCTGTACGCCGGCTCCCTCGGCCAGTAAAGCGAGATGAGCGCCGCAACCCCAGAGTCGTCTGCGACTGGGCCTAATGGTCATGGTCCCCTTACTTTTACCTTACTCCCTAACGAGACCATCGATCCATCAAATGAAAGCAATAAACAATGTACTGCAGTCACACAATCAGCAGCTGAACTGGGTTCCACACAGCCACAAAAACGCAAAATAAATAGCAAAAACAGGCAGACATCAGCGTAACACTCTAAATGGAAGCGCAGCACTCAATACAGAGCACGTTCAGCTTCTGAAAAAAGTTCGCAAACCAGAACATTTACTTCCGGTTTTGCAGCGTTTGAGTCCCAAGGCGTTTGAGAACCAAGGGACCACTGTACTGTGTCCAGTTCTGGGTACCAGAGTTTAAGGAGGATGCTCACAAGCTGGAATGTGTGCAGAGGGCAACCAAGATGATCAAGGGACTGGGAACCATGCCTGATGAGGAACAGTCGAAGGAGCTGGGGATGTTTAGACTGGAGAAGAGAATGAGAAGAGAGATGATAGCCATCTTCAAATATCTGAAGGGCCGTCACCTGGAAGGTGGAGCAAGCTTCTTTTCTCCTGCTCTAGAGTAGGACTTGAACCAATGGATTCCAGTTACGAGAAAGGAGATTGCAGCTCTAAGATTCTATGATGCTATGTTCTTAATATAATGCAGCACAGTTCAATTGATGCATCAATTTTTCCATCAACACTTCCAATGCTTCTTCTAGTAGACTTCCAAAGCAATAACAAAACATCACAGAAGCTGCAGAGTTGAGCTTTTGGGAGGTGGTACTCCCAGAAGCACACTGCAATCTCTTTGCGTTTCTTCCCCAACCACGACGACTACGTTCTTCTCCTCACCCATATGGTCAGTGCTGATTTCCCAAGTTCCAGCCTGACGCTCTAACCACTACACCCCACTGCCTTCCTAGACTCCTTCTGCTCTGGGGCAGCTCTATAAAATTAAGTAGGTAAATCAATATGGGGAAACAAAAATGTCCCTTAGAGAAGGCTCTGAATATTTTCTTCGAAGCTTGAATTTGTTTTATTCTGCACTCTTTCATTCGATGTAAACCGCTTTGATATTCTTTCTTTAAAATATAAAGCAGTGTGGAATCGAAATGAACAGTAATGATAACAAATTCCACTGGGGGAGGAAAGAAAAGATTCGTAGACCTTCCATTGTGGTGACCCGCAAACCAGGTTTAAGACAATTAGCTGGATAATAATAATAATAGTAGTAGTAATAATAATAATAATAATTTATTTATACCCCGCCCATCTGGCTGAGTTTCCCCAGCCACTCTGGGCGTCTCCCAATTGAGTGTGAAAAACAATACAGCATTAAATATTAAAACCTTCCCAAAACAGGGCTGCCTTCAGATGTCTTTTAAAGATAAGAGAGCTGCTTATTTCCTTGACATCTGCTGGGAGGGCATTCCACAGGGAGGGCGCCACCACCGAGAAGGCCCTCTGCCTGGTTCCCTGTAACTTGGCTTCTCGCAGGTAGGGAATCACCAGAAGGCCCTCAGAGCTGGACCTCAGTGTCCGGGCAGAACGATGGGGGTGGAGACGCTCCTTCAGGTCTACTGGGCCTTTGAGGCCGTTTAGGGCTTTCAAGGTCAGCACCAACACTTTGAATTGTGCTCGGAAACATACTGGGACCGAATGGAGGTACCTTCAAAGGTAGCCCCACGTAGAGCGCATTGCAGTAGTCCAAGTGGGAGATAACCAGAGCATGCACCACTCTGGCGAGACAGTCTGTGGGCAGGGAGGGTCTCATCCTGCGTACCAGATGGAGCTGGGAGACAGTTGCCCTGGACACAGAACTGACCTGCGCCTCCATGGACAGCGGTGAGTCCAGAATGACTCCCAGGCTGCGCACCTGGTCCTTCAGGGGCACAGTTGCCCCATTCAGGACCAGGGAGTCCTCCACACCTGCCCGCCTCCCGTACTTCTGTCTTGTCAGGATTCAACCTCAATCTGTTAGCCACCATCCATCCTCCAACCGCCTCCAGACACTCACACAGGACCTTCACTGGTTCTGATTTGAAACAGAGGTAGAGCTGGGTATCATCCGCATACTGGATTACCCTTGGGATCCCTTTCCAAATCTACAATTCCAAGAACTCTGCTGGGCGTCGGGAGAAGAGTGGTCGAGGCGACGGGAGAAAAGTTACAAGGCGACACAAAGGACTGCAGAACAACTACATACATTTATTCTTTGGTTTGCTGCGGAGGAACAGAAGGTGTGGTCAAGGAAACAAGGCACTCGCCTCTCTTGCAGCTCCCCACCCCCCCGGAGGAACCGCTCCTTCTACAATCCCGTTCACCTGTCCGGCTAAACACCAGCTCCGAAGACGACAACCATGGCCATGTTGATGAGATGCGAGCCAAGTTGTCCAGCCGTTTCCTTTGGCCAACAGTCAATTGTCCTGCTGCTCGCCTCGACCTCTCCGAAGTTTTAACAGCTTGGCGGTGGCTGGATTTCGTCACGTGCAAACCCCCGACATCGTGCAAATCGCCTCCCGCTCCTTCACAGCCTCCGTCCTCGCGAGCCACCGCTGTCAACTTGAGACTTGAAAGGCTTCGACTTTTACCTTCTTTGTTTTCTTTTGGTGCAGTGGGGGGGCAAGGAGGGCCTAAAATACCCCCCATCCATTTCCTCTCTATTCCCCCCGCCCCAAACCCACCGCAAGACACCAGAGGTGTAAACATTTAAATATATATATATATATAAAAAACACACAGAACGTTAAGTGATATTATGCAAGCGTTGGGTTTTCTCGGCGTACGGGGAGGTGCTGCTGCAAACCCGATGTTAGAGGGGGACAACAACAACCCCCCATTCCTTTTTTATTTTTTAAAAAAGGATAGATGGGGCGTTCCCAGGATTAGTGGTTAAGGCAATGTGGCGTGGATGACCAGTGTGCAGATCTGTGAAGTGGTTTGATATCTCGGTTTGGAGACCAGAGGCTTTGGCAGAAGCCCAGAAGAAATTAAATGGGGCTGAGGGCCTAGTTCTGACAGTGAGCCCCCCCCCAGAAGAAAAAAATGTACAAAGGAGGTTTGGGCAGGAGCTGAACGATCCAACATCCACGCTCCCTTGCGCTTTCTCTCACGGCACAACAACAAAGCCTGTTTTCTTAAAGTCATTTTTTCCTTCCATCTCTCTATTTCTCTTTTTCTCTCACACACAAACACACACACTCAGGCTGTGTCCCACTCATTCAGTCAGAGCGCACTGCGCCACTGCGCAATGGGTATTTTGAGGCGCCCACAATATTTTAATTTTTCCAAATGGGCCCTCGGGTCTAAAGAACGCTGGGGACTCCTGTCCTAAACCAACGAAGGCTAGTTTCGAAAACCAAACACTGAGCGAAAACAACCAGAAATGGAGCAGAATTCGGGACTGCAGCCCTCGCTCATCTTGCGCATCATGCGTCTCAGAAATGGGACGCAAAACTCGCGCAGGAGCAACTGTGGAACTCCCTCCTGCAGGGACGGCCACCAACCCAGACAACTCTAAAAGAGGATCTGAAACCCTCACGGAGGAGGCGAAGGCTATCTGGTCACAACGGCTATGTCTCCGCGGTCAGAAGCAACCATGCGCCCGAATACCAGTTGCTGGAATCCACAGGTGGGGAAAGGGCTTGTGTTCAAATCCTGACGGTGGTTCCCCATAATGGGCATCAGGTTGACTGCGGTGAGAACGGGGTGCTGATCCAGATGGATCCTAACCCAGCGGGCTCTTAACTTTTTATTGAATGTTGACGACCTGGCTACAGCTCATCACTGCGACGCCTGGAATCTCCCACGCCCAAAATCGCCTCTTTCATTATTGAAAAAGGCCGGATAATGTTTTTTCGCGAATCCGAGCGTCGTTGCTGGTTTCTGTGTTTCCAGAAAGGAACATCCCATTTCTCTTCTTGTCCCTGCGCTCGCCTCCCTATTGTCTCAGCCGGGAGTTTGAAACCTGACCCCGCAGCCTCTGTAAGCAACCTTAATTAAATCCAGCTCTCTGCCGTTGCAGAAATGAGATGCTGGCCTGATGGAAGAGACCTGAGAGGCTCCAAGCCTCGCTCCCCACATTTTAAGGCTCGGTGCGTGGAAAATGGCAGAAAACCTCGTGCGCAGCAACAGCCGTAGCAATAGCCACCTCTTCGCGTTCCAAGGATGGACTACTCCCTCGAACGCCCAATCACTTTTGGCACCTCAAAACGCACGGATAAAAACCACAGACTGCCAGAAGGCTTTGGTCCCAATCCAGACCCTGCCAAAGAAAACGTCGATTCAGCCCCACACATGGCCTTCCCAAGACACCCAAACCTTTCGCCAGAAATCATAAGCCCCTAAAAGCCTCTTGCTGGGTCAGATCTGTCTAGCCAGAATCCTGGTCTCACCACAGCCAACCAGACGCCCACCATCAGAAGCCCCAAAGCAGGATCAGACCACAAAGGCCGCTCTCCCCTCGTGCGGTTTCAGAAACAGGTATGGAGAAGCATTGCTGTGTGAATTTGCCTAATATTTTTTAAAGCCATCTAGGTTAGCGGCCATCGCCGCTTCCTGTGGCAATGAGTTCCGCAGGTTAACGGTGCGTGAAGGAGGACTTGGGGTTGGGCTGGATGACCCTCGGGTGTCCCTTTAAACCGTACAAGTCTATGAACTCTGTGAGTAACAACCATCGGTGTGGGGTTGGGGGCCTCGGGCAGAAAGAAATACCCTGTGCCGCTCAAATCTTCCTCAAGAAGATTATGGAAACAAGTCACTACAGAGCAGGAACCTAGTACGTTTTAAATTTTTCCCTCGTTTTTCCTTCCATGTAGATTCGAACAATGCGAGGGGCCGTGTGCCTAACTCGGGGACGCTATTCCGTCGCTCTTCCTTGCACAAACATGCAAACACACACACACAAACACACAACCCGCTCCCCCGCTGTCATGTCAGAACTGGGAAAAGGGTCCATCGAGAAACGAGGAAATCCTGGTTTTGAGAAGGTTCTAGCTTGTGATCACCGAACTCCTCTGTCCGACTTCCCCCGTCTTTTCAAAAAACATGAAATCCTGCAGAGAGAGGAGAGGAAAAACCAACGGTAAAGTAACGCAATTTATTTATTCATTTATGATGGTGCGATTTATTGTCGGTGGGTTTTACGTTCTGCAGACACTCCCCAACTCAGGTATCCGGATAGATCAGCTCCCCGCCAGATGTTTTGGACCACCGTATTTTTCGCTCCATAAGACGCACCTGACCATAAGACACACCTAGTTTTTAGAGGGGGAATGCAAGGAGAAAAATATTCTGAATCTCGGAAGCCAGAACAGCAAGAGGGATTGCTGCGCAGTGAAAGCAGCGATCCCTCTTGCTGTTCTGGCTTCTGGGATAGCTGCGCAGCCTGCATTCGCTCTGCGCGGCTCTTGGGGGCTTTTCCGGTAGGTGGGGGAAGGGACAGAGGGGCTAAGTCAGAAGCTAGAACAGCAAGAGGGAGCACTGCGCAGCGATCCCTCTTGCTGTTCTGGCTTCTGGGACAGCCGCGCAGCCTGCATTCGCTCCGTAAGACACACACACATTTCCCCTTACTTTTTAGGAGGGAAAAAGTGAGTCTTATAGAGCAAAAAATACAGTAGTTTTTAGAGGGAGAATGCAAGGGCAAAAACATTCTTTAAAGGGAGCGCTGAGCAGAGCATGTATGCATCCCAGGCTTTCCCCTTCACTGGTGGGCTGCCCTTCTCCCTCCTCGGGGAAAAGCCCCCAAGGGCCGCACAGACGCTCTGCGCGGCTCTTGGGGGCTTTTCCGGTAGGTGGGGGAAGGGACAGAGGGGCTAAGTCAGAAGCTAGAACAGCAAGAGGGAGCACTGCGCAGTGATCCCTCTTGCTGTTCTGGCTTCTGGGACAGCCGCGCAGCCTGCATTCGCTCCATAAGACGCACACACATTCCCCCTTACTTTTTAGGAGGGAAAAAGTGAGTCTTATAGAGCAAAAAATACGGTACATTGGCACCTCCAAACGCCATGGCCGAGTTGTGATCCAAAACAGCTGGAAGAAGTGGCTGGGGAAGCCCAGCCAGATGGGCGAGGTATAAATAATAAATTATTATTATTATTATTATTATTAGGCAGCTGATTGGTGAAGAGAGCAAGCGCCATGATAGTAAGACGACAGGATGCGCTTCTGACAGACTTTGTACTGGATCACACCTGTTTCTGCTCTATATGCTGCTGTTTAAATTTTATTCTTCTTATTGATATATTATTGATCGATATCTCTCGCTCTCTCTTTTAATTTTTATGGTTTTATTGTATGGTTTCTTGCTTTTATTGCAGCAAACCACTTTGATTTTATACACAAAGACACACAGAGTTGTAGCTTGGTTGTCAAACGCCTTGGTACTGGTATGTTTCGGCTCCCGAACGATCAAAACCCGGAAGTGAGTGTTCTGGTTTTCAACCTTTTTTTAGAAGCCAAACGTCCGACGGGGCTTCCACGGCTTCCGATTGGCTGCAGGACCTTCCTGCAGCCAATCAGAAGCCGCGCTTTGGTTTCCGAACGTTTTGGAAGTCAAACGGACTTCTGGAGCGGATTCCGTTCGACTTCCGAGGTACAACTATACAGTGGTACCTGGGTTTTCGAACGTAATCCGTTCCAGAAGACTGTTCAACTTCCGAAACGTTTGAAAACCGAGGCGCAAAGGGTGGTCTGCAAATTCAATAGAGAAAATTGAAAAAACCTCAGCGGGAGCCGTTTGACTTCCGAGGCCCATTCGAAAACAGAAGCATTTGCTTTCGGGTTTTTGGTGTTCGAAAACCGAAGCGTTCAACTTCCGAGGTGTTCAATAACCAAGGTACCACTGTGTGTGTGTGTGTGTGTGTGTGTGTGTGTATGTGTGTGTGTGTGTGTGTGTGTGTGTATATATATATATATATATATATATATATATATATATATATATAATGATATAGTGGTCTATACATAATAATATCAACAACAGCAACAAGGCAGGATAGAAGCGATATAAATTAAATGCAAAAACTAGGAATGATTTCCGAGGGAAGGTGGCAAGTTACTAGACCTCAAGCAACCTCCAAGTCAAACCCGTCCTCTGCGCTTACATTTCCTGGCGAAACATCCCATCCTTCTAATTTAAAAGTTATGACATGTTCCCTGAGATGGAAGGATCTTTGTTTTGGAGGGGGTATTTTTGGGGAAAGTTTTGTTGGGAGTTTTTCCTGTTGTTTCTGATATTAACTGATATTACTGATATTTACCTTTGTATCTTTGTTTTTATGCGGAAATTGTCCAGTTTTGTTATGTCGTTTTTAATGTTTTTTTTAAAACTAAAGGTAAAGGTAAAGGGACCCCTGACCATTAGGTCCAGTCGTGGCCGACTCTGGGGTTGCGGTGCTCATCTCGCGTTATTGGCCAAGGGAGCCAGCGTACAGCTTCCGGGTCATGTGGCCAGCATGACTAAGCCGCTTCTGGCGAACCAGAGCAGCGCACGAAAACGCTGTTTACCTTCCTGCTGGAGTGGTACCTATTTATCTACTTGCAGTTTGACGTGGTTTCAAACTGCTCAATTGGCAGGAGCAGGGACTGAGTAACAGGAGCTCACCCCGTCGCCGGGATTTGAATCGCTGACCTTCTGATCGGCAAGCCCTAGGCTCTGTAGTTTAACCCACAGCGCCACCCACTTCCCTTGCAAATAGCTTTAGATACCTATTAAAAAGGTAAAGGTAAAGGACCCCTGACAGTTAAGTCCAGTCGCAGACGACTCTGGGGTTGTGGCACTCATCTCGCTTTATTCGCCAAGGGAGCTGACGTTTGTCCACAGACAGTTTTTCCAGGTCATGTGGCCAGCATGACTAAGCCGCTTCTGGTGAAACAGAGCAGCGCACGGAAACACACTTTACCTTCCCGCCGGAGTGGTACCTATTTATCTACTTGCACTTTGACGTGCTTTCGAACTGCTAGGTTGGCAGGAGCAGGGACTGAGCAATGGGAGCTCACCCTGTCATTGTGGGGATTCGAACCTCTGACCTTCTGATCGGCAAGTCCTAGGCTCTGTGGTTTAACCCACAGCGCCACCCGTGTCCCTTTTTTTTTTTAATGACTACTTTGTTATATTTGTAATTATGTAAGCCACCTTTTCGTGTTGTAAGCCACCTTGAGCATTCTTTTAACTGCGGAAAGGCGGCGTGCAAATAAACTGATGGTGATGATGAACTCACAATGAGGAAACACGCTCCCAAAAGCACCGCCTTGATCTTGACATCGAGGTCCATGGGAAACTGGATCCCAAAGTTGTCTGTGTCGGTGAAGACTTCCTTGAGGAGTCCACTCCACTGCTTGCTGATCCTCCCGACACCTCGTGATTCGTCGCGGGTCTTCACCTGCAGGAAGGTACAGAGAGGTGCGGTCAGCAACGCAAGCCGTGACATCAGAGGCTCAACACAGGAAGTGACCTCATAAGCCACCCCGCCGTCCATTCGAAGGAAGTGACCTCACACACCAGCTTCGGAAGCCACTTCCTGTTCCACCCAGGACAGGAACCGACGACTCCAGCTTTGCTTTGGATCAGGGTGGATAAAAATCAATGATTTTTTAAAAAAATAAATTTTGAAAAATCCGATTTTTTTAATTTAAATTGGATTTTTTTAAAAATTAAATCGGATTTTTAAAATAAAATGCTTTTGGAGGAAAAATCTTTATAAAGATAGTTTTCTGTTTAAGTTACATTATAGTCCAAAGGCTATTCATCAGGAAATAAGGATTTGTTTTAAGGTTTTCATGTGTGCTAAAACTCAGTCTAAGTTTGTGTGTGTGTATGTGTGTGTGTGTGTATGTGATGTAGTTTAACTACATCAGTTAACAAGCATGGATACATATGCTATAATGTTATTGCTTTAGTTAAACAAATTGTTTAAATTGTTATCAAGGAAATGATTATTTTTCTCCTTCCAACAAAGTACAGCAGAAAAGTTGTCCAAATATAAAGTTAACTCATTAAACCTTGCAATAATTATCTGTCTATGTACAGTGGTACCTCGGGTTAAGAACTTACATTCGTTTCAGAGGTCCGTTCTTAACCTGAAGCACCACTTTAGCTAATGGAGCCTCCCGCTGCCGCCACGCCGCCGGAGCACGATTTCTGTTCTCATCCTGAAGCAAAGTTCTTAACCTGAAACACTATTTCTGGGTTAGCAGAGTCTCTAACCTGAAGCGTATGTAACCCGAGGTACCACTGTAAATCTAAATCAAATAAATGTTGGAAATGTGAAGAGAAAGACGCTTCCTTTTATCATATGTGGTGTTCCTGCGGTAAGATTAAGGCTTACTGGGAAATGATATGCAACAAAATGAAAAAGATTTTTCAAAATAATGTTTGGAAAGAAAACAACCAGAAGCTTTTCTTTTGGGAATTATAGGGACAGAACTACCTACCTACACACACACACACACACACACACACACACACACAAACACACACACAAACACACAAACATCCCGAGATTTACATTGTTGGCAAAGGGCACTTTGCACATGCTCAGAAGCCGTGCGTCCTCTGGAGAAGAAAGACGTGGTGGGGCGAGCAAGAAGATTTGGCCCGTACATAAGAATAGTGCATAGCTGTCAACGTTTCTCTTTTTTTAAGGGAAATTCCCTTATTCCGAATAGGATTCCTCGCAAGAAAAGGGAAAAGTTGACAGCTATGGAATAGTGAGCATCCTTATGAACGATTGCCCAAAATTTAAGTACAGCTCGAAAAGCCATTTGCACTTGAGTGGACCGTGAGGTGTGATGTACAGTGGTACCTCAGGTTACATATGCTTCCAGGTTACAGACTCAGCTAACCCAGAAATAGTGTTTCAGGTTAAGAACTTTGCTTCAGGATGAGAACAGAAATCGGGCTCCGGCGGTGCAGCAGCAGCAGCAGGAGGCCCCATTAGCTAAAGTGGTGCTTCAGGTTAAGAACAGTTTCAGGTTAAAAACGGACCTCTGGAACGAATTAAGTACTTAACCCGAGGTACCACTGTATACATTTTGGCCAATTTGTGTGAAGCTTCGCCACTTCTTCAGCCTCTGTGGCTAACCGTCATGGCCGCATCAAAGGCAACCAATATGGCGGCCTTGCGGGACGTCACTCGCTGTCATGGCTGCCACCTCACAGCTGATTTAGCGGTTGGGCCCTTCAAAGGGCCCTTCGCCAACAATGTAAATCTCGGGATGTGTGTGTGTGTGTGTAGAAATTTCCCAAACTGCCTCCCGCTCCCATGAGCACCTCAAAGTTGACGTCCCCGCCACAGCTGCAGGCGAAGCAAGGCCCCAGAACGCGAAGAACTGTCTCCTTCTCGACGTTCTGGATGGAGAACTTGGGGTTGAAGGGGTGCCACGTCTGAACCACGTACCCGATGGTGGTGCCCGGTGGACATTGAACTTCCAGCTGCGAGGAGAAGAGAACAGTTTTGCGTGTTAAATTGCTGTTCTAGGGGTTGTTTTTAAAAGTCTGGAACGGATCAATCCATTTTGCATTACAGTCATACCTCGTGTTGAATACGCTTCGAGTTGAGCGCGTTCGAGTTGTGCTCTGCGGCAACCCGGAAGTAACTTCTGGGTTTCGCCGCTTGCGCATGTAGAGACGCTCAAAATGACGTCATGCGCATGTGCAGAAGCGGCGAAAAGCAACGCGCGCATGCGCAGACGTGCTGTTGCTAGTTATGTTTGCTTCTAGATGCTTCTAGATTCGTATCTAGAGGTACCACTGTACTTTCTATGGGTAATTGAGTGTCTTGGTTTTGGAACGCTTTGGTTTTGGAACAGACTCCCGGAACGGATTACCGTATTTTTTGCTCCATAAGAGGCACTTTTCCCCTCCTAAAAAGTAAGGGGAAATGTGTGTGCGTCTTATGGAGCAAAGGCAGGCGGGAGGCAGGCGGGAAAAGCCCCCAAGAGCCGCACACACGCTCCGCGCGGCTCTTGGGGGAGGGAGGAAGAAGGGACTGACTGGCCGCATCAGTCCCTTCTCCCACCTTGTAGAAAAGCCTGCAGGAGCCGCGCACCCTTTAAAGAGCGTGCTGCTCTTGGGGGATTTTCCCCGGGCTGCCCTTCTCCTTCCTGGGGAAAAGCCTGCAAGTGCCGCGCTCCACGCGGCTCGTGAAAGGGAGCGCTGAGCAGAGCCTGGGATACACATGCTCTGCTCAGCGCTCCCTTAAAAAAAATATTTTTCTTGCATTCCCCTTCTAAAAACTAGGCGCGTCTTATGGTCAGGTGCATCTTATGGAGCGAAGAATATGGTGCGTTTGAGAACCAAGGTACCACTGTACTCGCCTTTTCCCCAAACCAAAAAGTCCCAAACATTGCAAACTCGTAAGTGAGTCCCTCTCTCCTTTTGATCATTTTGCCCTTTTCTGAACCCTTCCCAACTCTTTTAACAACATCCTCTAAATTCTAAATTATATTCCGGAAGCTTGGAAGATCTCGAGGGGCCAAAGAAAGTCGTTGTATCGCGCTATATTAGAAGCAAAAAAACCCCCTTGTTTGGATGAACTGGAAGAGTCGCAAAGAGATTCCACTGCGCATATGGATTGATAATATGGACAGATTAGCTACGTACGAAAAATTGCTTGTTGGCGCAAAATAAGAATGGAGAAATACGAAGAAATGTGGAACAAATATCTAAGTGACAAGGCAGATAACAGTGGGAAATAGAGGAGGGAGAGAGTGGTGATACTCAGGCATAGGGATATTAAAGGTAAAGGGACCCCTGACCATTAGGTCCGGTTGTGGCCGACTCTGGGGTTGTGGCGCTCATCTCGCTTTATTGGCTGAAGCACCCGGCGTACAGTTTCCGGGTCATGTGGCCAGCAGGACTAAGCCGCTTCTGGCAAACCAGAGCAGTGCACGGAAACGCCTTTTACCTTCCCGTCGGAGCGGTACCTATTGATCTACTTGCACTTTGACGTGCTTTCGAACTGCTAGGTTGGCAGGAGCAGGGACCGAGCAACGGGAGCTCACCCCGTCGCGGGGATTCGAACCGCCGACCTTCTGATCAGCAAGCCCTAGGCTCTGTGGTTTAACCCACAGCGCCACCCGTGTCCCATAGGGATATTACTGTATCTTTAAAAAAATTAAACAAAAACAATACAGTGGATGCTCCGGTTGTGAACGTGATCCGTGCAGGATGCACATTCGCAACCCGCAGCGGCACGTCTGCGCACACGCGGGTTGCGATTCGGCGCTTCTGCGCATGCACGACTGCCGAAACCCGGAAGTAACCCCTTCCGGTACTTCCAGCGGTCCGTAACCCGAAAAAACGCAACCTGAAGCATCTGTAACCCGAGGTATGACTGTATCTGGAGGCGAGGCGACCAGAACCACACACGGCATGGACCAGGAGGCGCACTGCTCACCTCCTGAAGGCAACAAGGGAACCAGCAGCTGACGCATTTAAGGGGGCGCACCATGCGCAGGACCTCCCGTCCCGCCGGGTCGTCCAGCCGCATGGAAAAGCGCCGCAGGGATCCGCAACAGTTCCGCGTGCAGCAGTCGTTCTGCTCCTGGGCGTGGAAGATGTGCTGGCCTAGGCTGTTGCGCACTTCGTACTTGTTGTTGCCTTCAAAGCCTATGAACGCTGGGGAGGGAAAGAGAGGGAAGAAATGGCGTCACTTACGGTGATGCGACAGGCCGGGTGGACTCATGCGCCACCATCGACGGCCTTCCACGGCAACCTCTTTTCTTTTTTATTTATATATGCTTTTCAGATCTATACATTTCACTGATTTTACAATCATTTTGACACTTTTAAAACTTGACTTCCTTCCCCCTCTTTCTGCGGTTCCAAAGTGGTTTCCAAATAATCATCGATCAATACGAAAAATTAATGGAAATAATTTGAGACTTTTGGAAAGCTCAAACAGCAACAGACTAAGATTAAAATTCACAACAGCATTTCTAAGCAACTGGTTTTGTTTAACCAAGAACATTTTTAGCAGGTGCCGAAAAGAGCACAGCGAAGGCGCCTTTCTGATATCAAGTGGCAGGGAGTTCCAAGGCTCACTAATGAGCTTTGTGGCCAAGTGAGGATTTTATTTTATTAAGTTTTTATTTATACTTTTCAGGTTTATACATGTCATTAATTTCACAATCATTTTAACATTTCAAAGTCTGACTTCCTTCCCCTTCCTTTCCACCTTAAATTTATTTTTTAAATATCTTCTGCATATCCAAATTCAGTTAATTTGCTCATTTAATTATCTACTTTAAATATACACTCTTGTGTAACTGCAGGTTATTACAATAACAATACCAGTGTTTTTAATCTGTTTGCAATTTATCTGTAAATACTCAATAAACCATTTCCACTCTTTTATGAAAAGTTTGTTGTCTTGATTTTTTATTCTTCCGGTAAGTCGTGGGATTGCTTTACATGTGGTGTTTTTTTTTTGTAATTGTTTTTTCATTGTGGAGGGTTTTTAAAAAATTGGTATTGATTGTGGAATCACTCTGAGGTACTTTATAGGAAGCAAGTCCCATGCGGAATGAAATAAACAATTAATAAACGGACGGTTTTATTCTCCGGTCCCTTTCCTAACGACCCCTAACTTGGAAGTTTGCCTTTTCCACGGCTCCTGCACTCAGCGCCAGCATCTGAATCAAACCGCCACAGCACCCAAATCTCAAACTAGAGGGCAGGCCCTCTGTGCATAAGCTTCAAAAACAAAACTTTGGTCCAGATTTAGGAAACCACTTTCTGGTGGACTCTGAACGCCAACATCTCCTCCACCATTTGTCTCTCACCTTCCACGAGCTCCACTTTCTGGTGTATCAAAATTTGGTCAACCTGAGGAGACAGAGGCCACAAAAATCAGTAAAAAAAATAAAAATTGTGTGTCTCCCCCTCATCTAAAAAAAAGAAAATAATCCACAACATAGACCACATGCATTTAAAGCATTTAAAGTTTTAACCATCATGGCTTCCCCCAAAATATAGTCTGGGAATTATAGTTTTTTGAGGCACCCCCATTCCCCTCAGAGAGCTAGAATTCCCTGAGTTCCCTGGGAAGAAAAATGGAAGACGGTACCACTCTGGGAACTGTAGCTGTTCGAAGGGGAACAGGGAGGTCTCCTACCTACACCAGCACCCCCAATGAAACTATAGCTCCCAGAATTTAACGGGGGAAGCCGTGTCTGTTTAAAGAGGTATCCTAGCGATTTAAACATATGGCATTTCTAAGCCTGAAAAGATGGACTCCCTTGTCATTTCTGAACCCGGACACTCCCCGATTTAGAGACACGGTTCAGCTCAGCCGACCTCACCTGGCAGCTTTCAAAAGGGGCCACACCTGAGCCTCCACCTTCAAGAGCAGGTGTGACCTGTTTGTGTAGTGGTCATGTAGGACTGCTATGAGGAATTACGAAAAATGAAGCGAGCCGCTGTGTCGGCGGTGAAAACATTGCTTTGACTGGGTTTGGGTCAATCACATGATTTCTGATCCATCCCACAAGCATCTCTGCCTCATTTTCTCTATGCCTGACAGTCACATGTAATAATAATAATAATAATAATAATAATAATAATAATAATAAATTTATACCCTGCCCATCTGGCTGAGCTTCCCCAGCCACTCTGGGCGGCTCCCAATTGAGTGTTAAAAACAATACAGCATTAAATATTAAAAACTGCCTTCAGATGTCTTTTGAAGATAGGATAGCTGCTTATTTCCTTGACATCTGCTGGGAGAGTGTTCCACAGGGCGGGCGCCACCACCAAGAAGGCCCTCTGCCTGGTTCCCTGTAACCTCACTTCTCGCAGGGAGGGAACCGCCAGAAGGCCCTCGGAGCTGGACCTCAGTGTCCAGGCTGAATGATGGGGGTGGAGACGCTCCTTCAGGTCTACTGGGCCTTTGAGGCCATTTAGGGCTTTCAAGGTCAGCACCAACACTTTGAATTGTGCTCGGAAACATACTGGGAGGCAATGGAGGTCTTTCAGGACCGGTGTTATGTGGTCCCGGCGGCCGCTCCCAGTCCCCAGTCTACCTGCCGCATTCTGGATTAGTTGCAGTTTCCGAGTCACCTTCAAAGGTAGCCCCACGTAGAGTGCATGGCAGTAGTCCAAGCGGGAGATAACCAGAGCATGCACCACTCTGGCCAGACAGACAGCGGGCAGGGAGGGTCTCATCCTGTGTACCAGATGGAGCTGGCAGACAGCCGCCCTGGACACAGAATTAACCTGCGCCTGTGTAAAGCATTCTAACACAGACTATACGCTGATCTCCGCCAGCAATTCCTAGATCAACTCTGTATCCCCAAATGGAAACCAGAGACGGAGGTCATACATTTCCTATTACTGGGGAATGATCAGGAGCTCACCGAGTTAGTGGCTAAATATCTCTATTTGGTTTTTTGTCATCGAAATACACCGCAGACGTCTGACCTCCCTGGAGACAAAGATGTGGCGATAGATAGCTCTGCCTCCTTTTTTCTTTTAGCAAATGTTTTGCACCACTGGGGAAGTGGCAATTTGTTTTGGATGCGATGCCAATAAAAGGTTTGAAAGCAAAAGTAATCTCGGGGTCGTGGGTTCGAGGAAAAGATTGGGTTGGACTAGATGACCCTTCCATCTCTGCCTGGGCCCACGGAGACCTGAGCGTAGCCACCGATAGCCCTCTCCTCCACCTCCACGAATTTGTCCCATCCTCTTTCAAAGCCGTCCTTGCCTCCTGTGGCGGGTAGTTCCACAGGCACATGAAGCGGAAGAAGGGTGTGAGCCATCCCTCTCAAGCTGCTCAAGATCCTTTTGGCCGGAGAAGCCGGAGGGTGAAGGCAGGGAAAAGCGCGAGGCCCGGCGGCTGGGATATGGACCCTTACCTGCGCCAGGTACTCAAGGCCGGGAGGGATGCTGCTGGCCACGGGCAGATAGGGGGTGATGCCCGCATGGGGGTCCGGAGCTTGGTGGTGGTGGGGCGTCGCGGCGTGATCCCGAAAGGCACGAGGAGGCGGCTGGGGGGGAATTATTTGCCCCGCTGGAGGGCTGCCGGCTGGATAGACGTTGAACCCAGGGCTCGGCGCCGTGGGGACAGGGTGAGGTTGGTGTATGGGGTATGGGGGAGATGCAGTGGGATATCCGGGTTGTGGAACATGGTACCCTATGGGATGGGGGGAGAGAGAGAGGGAGAGAGAGAGAGAGAGATTGTTTAAGACTCATCTGCACCCGCAAATCCTTTAAAAAAATAAACATTACTGTGCCTTTAAGAAACAAATGTTATGTTGTTGTTGTTTTAGAATTCTTATTAAATTAATTAGGACATTCATTTAAACCAGGCTTCCTCAACCTCGGCCCTCCAGATGTTTTGGGACTACAACTCCCATCATCCCTAGCTAGCAGAACCAGTGGTCAGGGACGATGGGAATTGTAGTCTCAAAACATCTGGAGGGCTGAGGTTGAGGAAGCCTGGTTTAAATGAATATCCTGATTTGTAAAACAGAAAATTTAGTAAGAATTATAAAACAATTGTAGCCTTTCAGCTAGGAATCCCAGAACCGTGGCCCAGGAAGCGATCGCCCACATCCAACAGGTAGAGCGTGATCTACCGGTAGATCACTGGACGTCTGTGGTGGATCACTGGTAGATCACTGGCTCCCTGCAAAGAAGCTCTACAACTTTGCCCCCCTAAAAAAAGCTCAACAGTTTTGCCCTGCACCCCAAATAAACGTGGTAAAAAAAGTTCAACAACTTTGACTTGAACCCCTAAAAAACAGGGCTTTCCTTCCTGGACTTCAAAAAGGGGAATAGATTACTGCCAGTTTTTAACTTTGTGAGTAGATCACAGTCTCTTCGGAGTTGGCCACCTCTAACGCAGTGAGGAGGAACTAAAGAACCTTTTAATGAGGGTGAAAGAGGAGAGCGCAAAATATGGTCTGAAGCTCAACATCAAAAAAACTAAGATCATGGCCACTGGGCCCATCACCTCCTGGCCAATAGAAGGAAGAAATGGAGGCAGTGAGAGATTTTACTTTCTTGGGCTCCATGATCACTGCAGATGGTGACAGCAGCCACGAAATTAAGAGACGCCTGCTTCTTGGGAGAAAAGCGATGACAAACCTAGACAGCATCTTAAAAAGCAGAGACATCACCTTGCCAACAAAGGTCCATATAGTAAAAGCTGTGGTTTTCCCAGTAGTGATGTATGGAAGTGAGAGCTGGACCACAAAGAAGGCTGATGGCCAAAGAATGGATGCTTTTGAATTCTGGTGCTGGAGGAGACTCTTGAGAGTCCCATGGACTGCAAGAAGATCAAACCTCTCCATTCTGAAGGAAATCAGCCCTGAGTGCTCACCAGAAGGACAGATCCTGAAGCTGAGGCTCCAAGACTTTGGCCACCTCATGAAAAGAGAAGACTCCCTGGAAAAGACCCTGATGTTGGGAAAGATGGAGGGCACAAGGAGAAGGGGATGATAGAGGACGAGATGGTGGGACAGTGTTCTGGAAGCGACCAGCATGAGTCTGACCAAACTGCGGGAGGCAGTGGAAGACAGGAGGGCCTGGCGTGCTCTGGTCCAGGGGGTCACGAAAGAGTCGGACACGACTAAATGACTAAACAACAAGAGCGCAACCCACTGCGAGACGGAAATTGCAGCTTAAAGGATCCCCAGCTTTAAAACCTCCATCAAAGAAGGAGAGCTGTGACCCCAAAACCTCTTCTCTTTCCATGGTTCATTTTGCATATCACAAATCCCTGCATATTTTACAAAAAACTAAACCATTCAGTCTTCCATTATTACAGTGGTACCTCGCAAGACGAATGCCACGCAAGACGAAAGAGTTTTCCGTTTTTTGAGTCGTTCCGCAAGACGAATTTCCCTATGGGCTTGCTTCGCAAGACGAAACGTCTTGTGAGTTCTTGCGAGTTTGTTTCCTTTTTCTTAAAGCCGCTAAGCCGTTAATAGCCGCTAAGCCGCTAATAGCCGTGCTTCGCAAGACGAAAAAACCGCAAGACGAAGAGACTCGCGGAACGGATTGATTTCGTCTTGCGAGGCACCACTGTAATTCCACCAAAACTTATTTACACTGCTGGATTTATCTTGATGCTGCCAGGGTTTTCAAATCTACACAATCTCCCCCCATATATTCAATAAACAATATTATTAAAGGTTATTTATGTACGCTACTGCAGCCCGTGTTTTGTTAGCCCCAAAATGGAAAACGAGCGAGGTCCCTGCCAAAGAAGAACGGCAACTTAAACTTATGGAATATGCGCAGCTTGCGGACTTAACGTATAGAATAAGAGAACAAGAACATACATTTAAAGAAGATTGGAAAACGTTTATTGAATATATGGGAAATATATTAATGCGGGCAGCATTAAGATAAATTCAACAGTGCAAATAAGTTTTGATGGATGCAATAATGGAATACTGAATGGTATAGTTTTTGTCAAATATGCAGGGATTTGTGATAGGTAAAATGAACCATGGAAAGAGAAGGGAAGTCACTGATACCTTTAAATTGTAAAACAGAAAATTTAATAAAAATTATATAAAAAGAAGGAAATACAGAATGTGAAAAATGGAGAGGTGTAAAAAATCACAAAAACCACAGCACCTCAGTGCCCCCTTAAACCAACCAAAAATAAGTAAATATTCCCGCAGAAAGATGTGTATTATAAAAAGCTAACCATAGCTGTGTCTATAAGAAGAATATTCTAAGCTCCACAGTTGGGTAATACCTTTATTAGGGTCAACCTGAGAAGCCACAAAAAGGGGGGCAAGCTTTAGAATTTCCCAGATAATTTATGGAGAACTTGAAAGCACGCTTCTGTGACTTTTTCGTTTTCCCTTATTTTTTTCAAAAATGTCTTTAAACGGCTTGCAACTTCCTAGCTGAAACTGGGGGTTCCAGGTCTGACGGGAGCTGGGCTGGGGAGGGGGCAAAAGGAAAGGTTTTGCGGGAGCTCCTGAAAGAGCGATCGGAGGAGTTGACGCGTGTTAGGAGGAGGAAATACACAGAAATGGCAGGGAGGAGAAAGCTGAAAACAAAGAAAAAGGAAACTGCAAATGGAAAGCAGGGAGGAGTCACGGCCAGGGAGGAAGTGAGAACAGGTCATGAGCTTAAAATATTTTTCTTTAATAAAAAGGAGTGTTCAGGATGCTATTGCGTGTTCTTTGGGCAGCTATTTTGGGGTGGAGGGCAAAGTCCAGTGGGGGCACCTGCGTCGTTCCGCCCAGGGCCAGATTTAGGTTTGATGAGCCCCTAAGCCAGGGGTCAGCAAACTTTTTTTGCAGGGAGCCGGTCCACTGTCCCTCAGACCTTGTGGGGGGGCCGGACTATATTTTTTTGGGGGGGAGAATGAATTCATTTGCCCCACAAATAACCCAGAGATGCATTTTAAATAAAAGGACACATTCTACTCATGTAAAAACATGCTGATTCCCAGACCGTCCACGGGCCAGATTTAGAAGGCGATTGGGCCGGATCCGGCCCCTGGGCCTTAGTTTGCCTACCCATGCCCTGAGCTACTGAAGGTAATGGGGCCTTTATATGTCCAGCTGCCCTTTGTCAACAACAAATTTTCACTTTTTTGTGTTGAATATATGCTCTATGGTAATTGATGGACCACATAGGTATCTCAAGACATTTGCCCATGTTGCCACGCAACCAGTCCATGCAGAATGTAGGCACCCTATAATAGAAAGGAGAAAACCAGTGATATTTTAGGGAGCAGGCGGGGCTCATGACTTACACCCTAGGAGCCTACACAACACAAAACACTGTTGCTGTAGGTAGGTTTTATTTAATTTGTTTTTTATCTTACATTTTTTTGGGGGGGGGATTTCCCTTTAATTTTTTTGGGCCCCCCCAAGAGAGTGGGGCCCTAAACTATAGCTTGTTTAAAGATAAAGGGACCCCTGACCGTTAGGTCCAGTCGTGGCCGACTCTGGGGTTGCGGCACTCATCTCGCTTTACTGGCCGAGGGAGCCGGCGTACAGCTTCCAGGTCATGTGGCCACCATGACTAAGCCGCTTCTGGCGAACCAGAGCAGCGCACGGAAACGCTGTTTACCTTCCCGCCGGAGAGGTACCTATAGATCTACTTGCACTTTGACGTGCTTTCAAACTGCTAGGTTGGCAGGAGCAGGGACCGAGCAACAGGAGCTCAGCCCGTCGCGGGGATTCGAACCGCCGACCTTCTGATCGGCAAGTCCTAGGCTCTGTGGTTTAACCCACAGCGCCACCCGCATCCCTACCCTATATATAGAAAGGAGCAAACCAGTGATATTTTAGGGAGCAGGCGAGGCCCATGACTTATATCATAGGAGCCTACACAACACAAAACACTATTGCTGTAGGTAGGTTTATATTTCATTTGTTTTTCATCTTAAATTTTGGAAATGTACATCCAGGGTTTTTTCCCCCCCTTTAGATTTTTTGGGGGGCCCCAAAGAGAGGGGGGCCCTAAACTATAGCTTGTTTAGCTTATACCGAAATCCAGCACTGAGAAGGCGACTTGAGTAAATTTACGGACTGGAGTAAATTTACGGACTATTTGAAAAGTAATTGTGAAGAACAGATGACGTTTGTAGGGTCGCAAGAAGTTTTGTGAGGAGTATTATTGGAAGTATTGCAAAAATGGAGAAGGGGGAGGATGATTTGTTAAGAGATGTAAAGGCAATATAAAGTTAAGAAATGCATAAGAAGTGGATTTAAACGGTGGATCATCAGAGGTGCTGATCGAAGTCTAAAAAGATTGTATAAGTGATAAGATTTGTGGTACATTTTATAATTTATATGTTAACATTAATAAAAAATATTATAAAAAAGAGAAGGCGACTTGCAGGCGTCTCAGGTAAGTTAAAATAGCCAGGGGGGAGCAGACAGTGACGCAGCCCCCCGCGCTCCAATCCTGCCCAGCCGCATTCCAGCCATGCCCCATCACAATAGGCCTTGCCCTGCCCCAGGGAAAGGGGTGGCAAACATCGCAGCTGACTTGGGTGGGGCTGCAGCGGCGCCTCTTTTCATGCCCCGATGCCCATGTCTGCAGCAGAGACAGGAATCTCAAGTTCCGCCTCTCCGGTTTCTCTCCAAATCCCTCTTTTCTTTTCTCTTCCTCGCCCACTGAACAGGATAAGAGCTTCCTGGATCAGGCCAGCCAGCCCAGCTTTCAGTTACCCCAGGGGGCCACGCAGATGCCTCTTCTGGGAAACCCGCAATAGGATTCGAACACAAGACCTGCTCTCCCCTCCTGAGGTTTCCAGGAACTGGTTTTCGGATGCATTTACAGCCTCCAACTGCAAAGGCAGAATACAGCCATCCTGGCTAGTAGCCATCGATAACCCTTTCCTCCTCCATGAATTGATTTAATTCTCTTTTATAGCCATCCTAGTTGGTAGACATTGCTGTATCCTGTGGCAGGGAGTTCCACAGTTCCATCTGCCTGAACTTTATTTCCTCTGCCCCAAATCTTCCAACATTCAGTGGACTGAGTATGAGACTTCGGAAATGGATAAAAGCCCCCCCATGCAAACAATGACTATCATCAGTGCAGGGGAGGAATTTGTTTTTTTAATCATCTACAATACTGTCTTTTTGTTTTATAGTACAGTCCATTGATTATTGCTTTCATTTTGTGGAGCAACGGTCTCATTAGATAGTAAAATTCATGCTAAATTGCTGTTTTAGGGGTTGTTTTTAAATGTCCGGAGTGGATTAATTTGTTTTGCGTGACTTTCTATGGGTAATTGAGTGCTTTGGTTTTGGAACGGACTTCCAGGAACGGGTTAAGTTTGAGCACCAAGGTACCACTGTACAAAGACTGTCGCAGGATTGGCATAAAGACCGAAAGGGCAAAGACGATTAAGACAGGCGAAGAGAGAGAACATGCCATTTGCATATTGTAGGAATCAGCATGTGGCAACCTTGACGCTCCTTGGAGGAGAAGCAGCCAAGACTGCAGATTCAGAGGTGATTTTTGGTTTGAGTTGGACAGGACCCTCCAAAGGACATCTAGTCCAACCCTCATCTGGTTCCATTTTCGAACGCATGATTTTGCTGCCTTACATATTTTGTTGTTGGTTAGTCGTTTAGTCGTGTCCGCCTCTTTGTGACCCCCTGGACCAGAGCAGGGGGTCCAGAAAGGACCTGTCTTCCACTGCCTCCCACAGTTTGGTCAAACTCATGCTGGTAGCTCCGAGAACACTATCCAACCATCTCATCCTCTGTCATCCCCTTCTCCTTGCACCCTCCATCTTTCCCAACATCAGGGTCTTTTCCAGGGAGTCTTCTCTTCTCAGGAGGTGGCCAAAGTCTTGGAGCCTCAGCTTCAGGATCTGTCCTTCCAGTGAGCACTCAGGGCTGATTTCCTTCAGAATGGAGAGGTTTGATCTTCTTGCAGTCCATGGGACTCTCCAGAGTCTCCTCCAGCACCAGAATTCAAAAGCATCCATTCTTCGGCGATCAGCCTTCTTTATGGTCCAGCTCTCACTTCCATACATCACTACTGGGAAAACCAGAGCTTTAACTATACGGACCTTTGTCGGCAAGGTGATGTCTCTGCTTTTAAGATGCTGTCTAGGTTGGTCATTGCTTTTCTCCCAAGAAGCAGGCGTCTTTTAATTTCGTGACTGCTGTCACCATCTGCAGTGATCATGGAGCCCAAGAAAGTAAAATCTCTCACTGCCTTACATATTATTTCTCTATTATCTCGACTCTTCCTCCAAGAAGCTCAAGGTGACAGAAATGATCCTCATTTAAACCCCACAACAAACCTGCGAGGTGGGCTAGGCAGCTGACCGGATCCCGAGGTCAGTCAGAGATCCCTGAAGAGGATTTGAACCCTGCTCTCCCAGGTCCTGGTTGGACACACTAAACCCCTACACCCCCCCCTGGCTCTCGCAGACTGTAGGAGCATAAGAATGGCCTACTGGATGAGACCAATGGCCTGTCTAGTCCAGCAACCTGTTCCCACAGTGGCCAACACTTATGGGAAACCCTCCAGCAGGATTTGAACACAGGACCGACACTGTGTTTACCAGCGACTGGCATTCAGAAGCACTGCTGCCTCTGAGCCAGACCACGGATCCAGCTCTGGGATCTGGATCTGGCCCAGAGGTGAGCTGAGGTCATGTGACCCATTTCAACGGTCAGCTGATTGCCAGGGTTTGAGCTGCAGCCACATGAGACCCTGGGGCCCAGCTGGCTCCTCCCCCCTTGAGGCCATATGTCAATCAGACTTGACGCCCCCCAGAAGTTGTGGGGCTACATCTCTCTGCACCGCATAGGGAGGGCACCAGGTTGGGGAACGGTGGTCTCCCCTAACCGGCAACAGGTGTCTCAAGCATTTCGGACAAAGGGGTCTTTCCCAAACCCTGCCTGCAAAAAGTAGGTGCTCTGCCACCAAGCTCAGTGAATTAAATATTGCAAGTTAATTGTCGGAGGGGAAATGTGTGTCTGTCTGTGGAAATAATAGCAGCCCCTGCCCCCAGCAAACCGTTAAGCCAAAGGATCAACTAACTTTTTTTTTTTTAAAATGGTCTTTTATCCATTTTTGGAGAAGAAGGGAGGTATGGATGAGGCTGGATCGCTCAGTCGGTTGAGTGTGAGTCTCTTAACCTAAGGGTCATGCGTTCGAATCCTACACTAGGCAAAAGATTCCTGCATTGCAGGGGGTTGGACTAGATTGTGTGTGTGTGTGTGTGTGTGTGTGTGTGTGTGTGTGTACCGTATTTTTTGCTCTATAAGACTCACTTTTTCCCTCCTAAAAAGTAAGGGGAAATGTGTGTGTGTCTTATGAAGTGAATGCAGGCTGCGCAGCTATCCCAGAAGCCAGAACAGCAAGAGGGGTTGTTGCTTTCACTGCGCAGCGATCCCTCTTGCTGTTCTGGCTTCTGAGATTCAGAATATTTTTTTCCCTTGTTTTCCTCCTCCAAAAACTAGGTGCGTCTTGTGGTCTGGTGCATCTTACAGAGCGAAAAATACGGTGTGTGTGTGTGTGTGTATATATATATATATATATATATGTATGTATATATATACAGTGGTACCTTGGAAGTCAAACAGACTCCATTCCGGAAGTCCGTTCAACTTCCAAAACGTTCGGAAACCAAAGCGCAGCTTCTGATTGGCTGCAGGAAGCTCCTGCAGCCAATCGGAAGCTGCGGAACCTGTGTCAGACGTTTGGGTTCCAAAAGAACATTCGCAAACTGGAACAATCACTTCCGGGTTTGCGGCACTCGGGAGTCAAAGCGTTCAAGTGCCAAGGCGTTGGCTTCCAAGGCCCAACTGTGTGTGTTTAATTTATACCCCACGCCTGGTATCCTTGCCAACTCTACAGGTGAAACTCGGAAAATTAGAACATCGTGGAAAAGTTCATTTATTTCGGTAATTCAACTTAAAAGGCGAAACTAATATATGAGATAGACCCATGACATGCAAAGCGAGATACGTCAAGCCTTTATTTGTTACAATTGTGATGATTATGGTGTACAGCTGATGAAAACCCCAAATTAACAATCTCAGAAAATTAGACTATTGTGAAAAGGTGCAGTAGCTATTCAATCCATAACACCTGCGATGGGTTCATCGCAATTATAACAAATAAAGGCTTGACATATCTCGCTTTGCATGTCGTGAGTCTATCTCATATATTAGTTTCGCCTTTTAAGTTGAATTACCGAAATAAATGAACTTTTCCGCGATATTCTAATTTTTCTTGCAATATTAAAGATATGTAATCACTTGAAAGAATCAATTAGGCTTAGGACTAAATTGGGATTAAATAAATAAATAAGAAAATGTACGATAAGAAAAGTTAGGAAACATGATTTTGACTGTGATATGGTTTTATGAAATAATGATATTGGAAACTGCTATATACGATTACTAAGAAATTCAGATGGAAGAGACTTGAGGAAGTCAAGTAATATGTCTATGAAGATGGATTTTAATTAATTAACTAACTTTTAGTTTATGTGGTGATTTGATGTATTTTATGTTTTATATTCTTTTTTTCTCTTTGTTTTATTCTTTTTTATTATTGTTAACTCTTTCTTTTGTTATGTCTTTGTATGAAGAATAATAAATATTATTGTGATATTCTAATTTTTCGAGTTTCACCTGCACAATTCTAGAAGAGAGAGAGATCGAAGCAGTATTAAACAGACACACAATAATCTTCAGCGTTGCGTTCCGATTTTTGTCCGTGCGGACGATGTAATCGAGGCGAGATCCTGGAAGCACGTTATCGACCGCCTAGCTACGAGGTCAGTTTACGCAAAGAAATCAAACGCATCCAAGCAAGCTTTCTGCCGTTTGGCTGTGCAACTGCTTGCATCGTGCAAAATTAACTGCCTTATCGGAGGCCAATATATAGATTTCCCGAGGGCTGAAATCCACTTTGCATCCTCTGAAAAGAGCGAGTTTGCAAAACAGCTGGGTTGGATTTAACTTTAAATATACTCCCCTCGCGTAAGGACTCCTCCCCGCCCAAAATATACGTGCAAGTTGATACTTATGTGGGGAACGGCGCCTTCGTTTGCTCCGTAATTTAGCAAGGTAATTAAAAAGCAAGGTAAGGCAGGGATGAGAGGCCAGACCAGACCTGGAGCCGCCATTTTTGTATCCGTCTGGCGAGGGACGTGGGGTGAATGACGACCCCGCTTCCGGTGCCTTTGTGATCAGCAGCGGCGACTGCCTTCCATTTGGACGTCCCTGCAAGGAAATAGCAAGAGAAAGGGATCATTTCGAGACAGAAGGATTATTGGTCGCTAGCACAGCAAACAGATCTGTAAAATATTAGGAGGTCTGGCCTCGGCTGTTTGGGTGGAGGCAGGGAGATGATGAGAAAAAATGGATGGTTTTTCAAGAGAAGGAGGTGCAAATCAGTCCAAGACGTCTCAAATATGCCTGAACAGAGCACAGGGCGTTTGGATTTTAAAAATCACCTTTTTTTGCAGTACAAGGTTATGGAATACAGTGGTACCTCGGGTTACATACGCTTCAGGTTACATACGCTTCAGGTTACATACGCCGCTAACCCAGAAATAGTACCTCGGGTTAAGAACTTTGCTTCAGGGTGAGAACAGAAATCATGCTCTGGCGGCAGGAGGAGGCCCCATTAGCTAAAGTGTTGCTTCAGGTTAAGAACAGTTTCAGGTTAAGAACGGACCTCCGGAACGAATTCCTGGCCGAGGGAGCCGGCATTCAGCTTCCAGGTCATGTGGCCAGCAGGACTAAGCCGCTTCTGGTGAACCAGAGCAGTGCACGGAAACGCCGTTTACTTTCCCGTCTCAGCAGTACCTATTGATCTACTTGCACTTTGACGTGCTTTCGAACTGCTAGGTTGGCAGGAGCAGGGACCGAACAACGGGAGCTCACCCCGTAATGGGGATTCGAACCGCCGACCTTCTGATCGGCAAGTCGTAGGCTCTGTGGTTTAACCCACAGCGCCACCTGCATCCCTATGTGTATGTATAGCATGCAACTAAAAATTAAAGATCATGTAAAAAATAATAATAAAAATAAAAAATCACCTTTTTTACCGCCCTGATTCATAGAAGGGAACCCCCCCCCCCCGGCAACACTGGAATCGTAGTTAAAAGACTCCCTGAAAGGTAGCTGTCCAAACTCTCTTTTAAAACAATCCCTGTCGAACTGTTCTCACCCTCAGAAAGTTATTCCTAATGTGTGTTCTGGGTAACTTGAATCCACTGGAGGTCCTAGACTCCACAGCAGGAGAAAACAAGCGTGCTCCACCTTTCCCTGTTAGATGTTTGAAGCTGGCTATCACATCATCTCCCAGTCTCCTCTCCTCCAGGCTAAACATACCCGATTCCCTCGACCGTTCCTCATAAGCAGGCACCCCCAACCTTCGGCCCTCCAGACATTTTGGCCTACAACTCCCATGATCCCTAATGAACAGGACCAGTGCTCAGGGATGATGGGAATTGTAGTCCAAAACATCTGGAGGGCCGAAGGTTGGGGGTGCCTGCTCATAAGGCTTGGTCTCCAGAACCTCGATTGACACAGGTCTTAAAAGGTAAAGGGACCCCTGACCGTTAGGTCCAGTCGTGGCTGACTCTGGGGTTGCGGCGCTCATCTCGCTTTACTGGCCGAGGGAGCCGGCGTCCAGCTTCCGGGTCATGTGGCCAGCAGGACTAAGAAGCCGCTTCTGGCAAACCAGAGCAGCGCACGGAAACGCCGTTTACCTTCCCACCAGAGCGGTACCTATTGATCTACTTGCACTGGTGTGCTTTCGAACTGCTAGGTTGGCAGGAGCAGGGACCGAGCAATGGGAGCTCACCCCATCATTGTGGGGATTCGAACCGCCGACCTTCTGATTGGCAAGTCCTAGGCTCTGTGGTTTAACCCACAGCGCCACCCGCGTCCCTACACAGGTCTTAAAAGGGGGTTAAAGGAGAAATAACCGCCTTGTGATGAGTGATACTGGATTTGTGCCACCCACTTTTCAAAATCTGCACCCATACGGATGTCCCGCTTATCCTTGTACACCTGAGCTTTGTCATTTGGAGAGAGGTGACTCTCTGTTGCTGCAGCGAAGCAAGGAGGGCTGTTCTCCTAGATTCAAACAAACACACACAGCCTCCTCTCCGACTGGCACACAAGCGGGTAAACTTAGTTGGCACAGAGGCACCCCTTTTGGCCGCCCTCTCTTGCCCTTTTGCATTCATTCTTCATCACAATGTAGAGCTGGGGCCTGTCTCCAGGAAGCCAAACAAAAGGTATTTACAAAAAGCAACAACAGGAAAGCAAAAAGGGAGACACACAATTGCCACCTCTCTCATTGGCAAGGCTCCCAAGCTTTTGAACAGCTAGCAGGCAAGCTGAAATCCAACAGGTGTGCGGAATTCCTGGCTGTGGCAGGTGAGAAACGCTTCACCGGTGGAACTGCACAGTTTTTAAACGCACAAGAAAACACAGAAGCTTTGGGTGGCAATTCGCACGCGCACAACCCGTGCCAAAGCGCGCACACAGAGAATCAAATTCGCACAATCGCAACGGTGTCAAAAACACCAAAGAAGAGGAATTAAGTGCACAGCGTTCTCATTTTCTCTCTGTCCGAGTCAGGATTTCTTTAGCAGCGATTCCTGCCACTAAAGGGGGTTGGGATAGATGTGCTTTGGGGGGTCCCTCCCCACTCTGCAATTCTGTGATACACCAGAGTACAGAAACCTGCACACACACACACACACACACCAGTCTCCCAAGCGCACCCAGAAGTGAAAACACATGATAGCCATCAACACACAAACACACACATAAAGTGTCACATAACACAAATCGTGTACCCAGAGGGAATTGGGAAACAGTTTAAAAGTCACCAGACCCTCCGGCCCAAATGCCAGAGGCCACACGCAGATTTGTGCAACCGTGCAAGGCATTGCGTGCAAAGACACACAAACACATAAGTCTTAAGGAGAACCAAACTCAGAAGCCTCCAGGCATTACTCACTTTATGCCCGTCCCTGAGTCCGGCTTTCCAGAAATGGCGCCCACTCCTCTTGCCTAAGCGAGAGACACATGATCCAAGTGAAACTGGATCTCTCCTTTCCCACCCCGCTCCTCAAGCCCACACAGACTCATCATGGGGAGGGCAGGAGCAGCAGCAGGAGAGGCAATCCCCGACTCCTTGCCAGGCCTCTGAGCCGAACTTTCAGCCTCAAAACCCTCCTGCCCTCTCCGAAGAACCCAGGAGTCCTGACACACACACACACACACACACACACACACACACACACCCTTGTTCCTCCTCACCCAAGAGTCCTGGCTCCCAGATTGCCTCCCCATCGATCTCTCCCCTTGCGAAAACAAAGTCTGCCTTGATCTTTCTCCTGCACCCAAGCGGCTTGGGGGAGGAAGAAAACAAAGCCTTGCTAAAAAACCACATGACAGCAGCTACCCTCTTAAAAATAGGGGGTTTTTTTGGCAAGCTCCTCTCACTGGCAAACCAACAGCTCAGAGTCTTCTCCCTGCCCTAAAACTGGGTGGCACTTAAGAGTTTGGGGCTTGTGTTTATTTTGTTCCAAAGCAGGGATTGTTGCTGGAGGGGGTGTGTGTTGGACGATTCAGGCCTCCTGTTTCCAGGCGGCGCTTCCAAGCTCCGCAGACCGCGTGGGATCCAGTCTGCTCTCCCTGAAAATCCCAGTGACCTTTGGGTGTGCCTGGATGTCTGCGCTGGGTTCTGGGTTGGGAAGGGAGAGGCTGGGTTTCCCCGCGGAAAGATGGAGGCGGCTTTCCAGCAAACCCAAGCAGCTGGCAAGAGAGCCTGTTTTCCACTCCCTTAAGATAAAAAAAAACCAGTGCCCCACAATTCACCAAGAGGGTGTTTTCTCACCCTTGAGAGAAGCCACAAAACCCCCGGCTTTTCGCCCTCTTGCAAAAGCCACCCAGGAATCCTGTATCTTTCAGAGTCCGCAGCTCAGATGCTCTCTAATCAACCCCTTCCTCTCCCTCCTGGCAAAGCTCAAACACACATAAAATCATGTAGAGTCAGAAGGGACCCAGGGTCATGTAGTCCAACCCCCGGCAATGCAGGAATCTTTTTGCCCCATGTAGGACTCGAACCCAAGACCGTGAGTGTCTCATGCTCTACATGCTGTATCCCATCTCCTGCTTCATTCCCCCTGGTATATTTGCGTCCTCTGACAGCACCAAAGCAGCATTTATTTATTAATTGCATTAATTCTCACCCTTTTCCTCCAAGGAAATCAAGGTGGAGTACATGGTTCTCCCCCTCTTCCATCCCCACAATTCTGCGAGGTAGGATAGGCTGAGGGACAGTGACTGGCCCAAGGTCAGCAAGCGAGCTTGAGGGCTGAGGCAGGATTTGAACCCGGCTCTCTCCCAGGTCCCAGTCCGACATACAAACCATAATACACTCCCCCTAGCCAGTGTTTACAGTGTTCAGATGGTAACTTCCTAGAGAGCAGAGACCTCTCTCTAAATCACTTTACACACTACAGTACACAGATAAAACAAAAGCCCTTCTTCGTGCGGCATATAAACTTTGGAACTCCCTGCCACAGGATGGACACCAAATTGAATGGTTTTAAAAGAGGATTAGACAGGCTCATGCAGGAGAAAGCTATTGTTGGCTACTAGCCAGGATGGTTGTGTTCTGCCTCCACAGTCAGAGGCAGCACTGTTTCTGAATCCCAGTTGCTAGAAGCCACAGGAAGGGAGAGTGGCTACTGTGTTCGAATCCTGCTTGCTGCTTTCCCGTTGGGGGCATCTGTTTGGCCACCGCGAAGGCAGGATGCTGGACTAGGCGGGCCACTGGCCTCATCCAGCAGGCTCTCCTTATAGAATCACAGAATTGTAGCGTCGGAAGGGACCCCCCAAAGGTCATCTAGTCCAGCCCCCTGCAATGCTGGAGTCTTTTGCCCAACATGGGACTCGAACCCACTACCCTGAGATTAGGAGTCTCATGCTCTACCGACTGAGCTATCGCGATGCTTAAACTCCTTTCCAACTCTACAATTCCATGACTAGAGCAGCGGTTCTCAACCTGCGGGTCCCCAGATGTTGTTGGACTACGACTCCCATCATCCCTGAGCTCTGGCCTTGCTTGCTAGGGGTGATGGGAGTTGTAGTTCAACATTTGGGGACCCACAAGTTGAGAAAGGCTGGACTAGAGCCTAAGGAGAGGCTGTTAGATCATGCCAAAGGGGCTCATTATTTATTATTATTATTATTTGTATACTGGCCTATACCTGCAGATCTCAAATCGGTTCCCAACAAAAATTACAATATAGAAGACACAAAATACACAACAGAAGACAATCCAACTATCTCCACTTCTAGGAGACATTTTTAAAGGGCCTTAATCCAGCATGTTGCCTTTGCAGCAGCCAACCAAGTCCTTGTGCCAAACCAGCAAGCGGAACCCGGGTGCAAGAGCCGCGCTCCTGGGTGTCGCAGAACTCGCACTCAAGGCCGGGGAACCGAACGCTGCGCAGGAGCAGCGAGAACAAAGGCGAGGGCTGGACAGGAAACCTGGATGAAGGGAGAATAGGGAGGGGGAGGGAAAGCATTTTGTGGAGCCTTCCGAGAACCTTGGAAACATAATTCTGCAGTGTTTTGCAAAGCAACCACCACCTGGCTCTCTCAGGCTGGGTGCAGAGAGAGAGAGAGAGAAGGGAGATTGTTGGGTTAAGGGAAGGGAGGAAAATCAGGAAGGATGTTGGGAGAGGAGGGGAGGCTCCCTCCCTCCGGGGGGGGGCGAAACAACAACAGCAAAATTAAAACCATCTGGTTTCTCTCCTCCCAGAGCTGCCAACCTGGCGCCCCCCAGCTGCTGAGGACGCTGGGGTGGGCGCCAGGATGGCCAAGGCTGCGCCGAAGAGCCAGCAAAGGAGATGGGGAGGAGGGGCGCGCGCCTCAATCCCAACCAGACACCCCCGCTATCATCTCTCCAAAGAAACTTCTTTGCCTTCTTCTTCTTCCTCCTCCCATCTTTATTTCCACGGGCAGGATTGAGGGGGGGGTTCCCAAACAGGAAGCCCCTCCCTCCCTCTTTGCAAAACAACCTCCCCGCTGTCCACATTCACACGAGGAGGAGAAAGAAAAGACCCCCCCCCGGCAATTGCAAACTGAGAGCCCCCCAAATCTGTCCCCGGGAACAGAAACAAACCAAGCGCGCAAAGGATGGAGATACCCATCTTTTATTTTCCTGGCCATCTCAGCTGGTTTCCCAAACAGCCCCCTGGCGGGGGGGGGGTAGAGGAGGGAGGGGGAGCCAAGGCCAAGGACCCCCCCACCCCATGGCTTCTCTCCCTCCCCCCCCGCCCCACATTATTTGGGCCTCCCCTTCGCCTCCCCGGCTCCTTCTCCCCACTCCGCGTTACCTTCACGCCCTGGAGCCAGCAAAGAAAGTGGCGGAGGGAGGGAGGTGAAGAGAAAGAGAGAGGAAAAGGATGGACCGAGGGAAGGAGGGAGGGCAGGGCGAGGCAGGGGCCGCCCCCTCGCCCTCCCATCGCCGGCAGCAGCCCTGGAGCGGCGCCGCGCCCGGAGACAGAAGCGAGAGAGAAAAAGGAGCGATGCGCGCCGGTCGTGTGAACGCGGCGTGTCCGGGCTTGCTCTTTTGCTTCGAGGGATGGGAGGGGAAGGAGAAAGCTTAGGGGCTCTTAACCCGGGTTAATGGTCTCGGCCAACCCGGCGCCCTCCAGCTGGTGGGCTTTTTGTGGAGTCCTCGCGGGCGAGAGGGAGAGACGCGCGTCTTGCGCGGCTGTTTGTTTGGACGCACCGCCACGCGAGAACGCGGCCCTGCTGCTGGCTGGGAGGAAGGAACTTGCCTTTTGGACACCGACTGTTTCCACGACGCCTTGGGGAGAAGCACTTCTGCGCCACCCGATTGGGGAGGTTCACACGTGACAGCTATCTAGCCCACGCGCAAGCATCCCCGCCTTGTGTTTTTGCAAAAACCGGTGCGCAATGATGGCCCTTCCTGGCTGTTGCCACGGTCATGCTCTAGTCCCTGCAGCACCTGACATAGAATCAAAGAATTGTAGGGCCAGAAGGGACCACGAGGGTCATCTAGTCCAACCCCCTGAATAGACCCCGCCCCTTTCCCCTCCAGATTTAATCTCAAGACCAGGTAGGGCTCCAAACCCCACTGATTTCAAGCGCTCAGACTTCCCCCAGCCTGCCTCAGCTAAAAGAGCCCTCTGCAAGTATCTTTTTATTATTACATGTTTTTAATAAAATATTTTCTTAAGTAACAATAGAACACACAGAGTCTCGCTTTTCAAGTCAAACAAATCAGTCACATTCCGAGTGAGACGTTACAATTACAGGCAATATGGGGTTGTGTGGGAGAAAAGGAGGCAGTAAAATTTCATTCTTCTGTATGGCGTGTCAGCAAAGTCTTTGTGTCAGCATCACATAAACCGGTACTTATTTTTGCTGGTGCAACAAAAAATAAGACCATGTGCAGAGTGACTTCACCACTCGAGCAACTACAGTTGGCCCTTCCAGGATTGTGGGGCTGAGTTCCTGTGTAGGCCCGCCCTCTCCAAAAAAACTTTCCTTTGAGGGTGGAGATCTTCCCGCCCCCAAGTCAATGTAAGGCTTCGCTGTCCTGAGAAAACTTCCCTCTATAACCTCCTTTCTTTACTTTCTTGGGCTCCATGATCACTGCAGATGGTGACAGCAGTCATGAAATTAAAAGACGCCTGCTTCTTGGGAGGAAAGCAATGACAAACCTAGACAGCATATTGAAAAGCAGAGACATCACCTTGCCAACAAAGGTCCGTATAGTTAAAGCTCTGGTTTTCCCAGTAGTGATGTATGGAACTGAGAGCTGGACCATCAAGAAGGCTGATCGCCAAAGAATGGATGCTTTTGAATTCTGGTGCTGGAGGAGACTCTTGAGAGTCCCATGGACTGCAAGAAGATCCAACCTCTCCATTCTGAAGGAAATCAGCCCTGACTGCTCACTGGAAGGACAGATCCTGAAGCTGAGGCTCCAAGACTTTGGCCACCTCATGAGAAGAGAAGACTCCCTAGAAAAGACCCTGATGTTGGGAAAGATGGAGGGCGCAAGGAGAAGGGGACGACAGAGGACGAGATGGTGGGACAGTGTTCTCAAAGCCACCAGCATGAGTTTGACCAAACTGCGGGAGGCAGTGGAAGACAGGAGGGCCTGGCGTGCTCTGGTCTGGGGGGGGGGGTCACGAAGAGGCGGACACCACTAAACGACTAAACAACAACAACAGCAACATAACCTCCTCCCTACCCCTCCAGAGGAATTTAAAACACCACCGCTTATTTTTAGGCTCTGAGGCAGGAATAACTTCTCAAACTTTATTCCGCCCTGCTGCAGAAGCCCCTGAAATGAGAAGGGGGTTTATTTTGGGAGGAGGGAAAACACGGCCCCCACCTACAGCCCATAGCAAAAAAAATGAAAACCCCACAAGTCAAACCCCAATGGTTTTGCAACGAAAACCACCCTGAAACCAGGGTACATAAATAGAAAAACAAAGTCCCACTTCCCCTGCCGTGTCCATTTGAAACCAATTTCAACGTTTTCCCTTCCTAGCTGGTTCACCCCCCAGAGTGTGGGGCCCACTGTTCTCCCAATGATGTCTCAAGTTCATCACCAGAAGCGTTCCTGAGCATTCCTTGGCCCCTGATGATTCCCTGCATGGCCCTTTCAGTGGTGGCACCAAAGCCATGAAATTACCGTCTTGTCCTGACTCGTAACCACCCCCTCACCTGCCAGTTTTTAAAAAATTATGAACAGGTCAATGGTGGATCGGGCCCAAGGTACCATCTTCTAGACCAGCATCTGTTCTCACAGCGGCCAACCAGGTGCCCATGATCCGTTCCCGCTCCTGTGTCTTCCAGAAACTGGCGTTCAGACGCATCGCTAACTCCCAACTGCAGAGGCAGAGCAGAGACACCCTGGCTAGTGGCCATCGATAGCAGCCTCTCCGTCGTGAATTTGCCCTGTCCCCTTTTTAAAGCCTTCCAGGTTCTTGGCTGTCGCTGCCTCCTGTGGCGAACCAGAGCAGCGCACAGAAAGTCTGTTTACCTTCCCGCCAGAGTGGTACCTCTTTATCTACTTGCACTTGGACGTGCTTTCGAACTGCTAGGTGGGCAGGAGCAGGGAGTGAGCAACGGGAGCTCAGCCCATCGCGGGGATTCAAACCGCCGGCCTTCCGATTGGCAAGTCCTAGGCTCAGTGGTTTAACCCACAGCGCCACCCGTGTCCCTATGTAACCTGAGGTACCACTGTATAAAAGCATATATTTTTTAAAATAATAATAATGGTGGTGAAATAAATGCATGGAGAGAGATTTTTTAACGGTGGGTTAGCATCTGTCAAAGAGCATTCACAGGGAATTTCAGGCCCAGATCCTTCCAGATGTTCCTAGACTACAACTCCCATCATCCCTAACCATTGGTCCTGCTGGCTCATGGGGAGTCTGCGCCCCAATATCTGAACGGCCAAAGTTTCCCCATCCCCACTTTTTAAACAACGAATTTTATGACCCAATTTATTCCTGCATTGCTGGGGGTTGGACTAGATGACCCTTGGGGATCCCTGCCAACTGCAATTCTATGATCTTTTCCCAAAATATAATAATAATAATAATAATGTTCTTGTTGTTTAGTCGTTTAATCGTGTCCGACTCTTCGTGGCCCCATGGACCAGAGCACGCCAGGCCCTCCTGTCTTCCACTGCCTCCTGCAATTTGGTCAGACTCATGTTTGTAGCTTCGAGAACACTGTCCAACCATCTCGTCCTCCGTCATCCCCTTCTCCTTGTGCCCTCCATCTTTCCCAACATCAGGGTCTTTTCCAGGGAGTCTTCTCTTCTCAGGAGGTGGCCAAAGTATTGGAGCCTCAGCTTCACGATCTGTCCTTCCAGTGAGCAATAATAATAATAATAATAATAATAATTTATTAATACCCCGCCCATCTGGCTGGGTTTCCCCAGCCATTCTGGGCGGCTTCCAACAAAGTATTAAAATACAGTGGTCTGTTAAACATTAAAAGCTTCCCTAAACAGGGCTGCCTTCAGATGTCTTCTAAAAGTCTGGTAGTTGTTTATTTCCTTGACATCTGGTGGGAGGACGTTCCACAGGGCGGGCGCCACCACCGAGAAGGCCCTCTGCCTGGTTCCCTGTAACTTGGCTTCTCGCAGGGAGGGAACCGCCAGAAGGCCCTCGGAGCTGGACCTCAGGGTCCGGGCTGGACAATGGGGGTGGAGATGCTCCTTCAGGTCTACTGGGCCTTTGAGGCTGTTTAGGGCTTTCAAGGTCAGTACCAACACTTTGGATTGTGCTCAGAAACGTCCTGGGAGCCAATGTAGGTCTTTCAAGACCGGTGTTATGTGGTCTCGGCGGCCGCTCCCAGTCACCAGTCTGGCTGCCACATTCTGGATTAGTTATAGTTTCCGAGTCACCTTCAAAGGTAGCCCTACATAGAGCGCATTGCAGTAGTCCAAGCGGGAGATAACCAGAGCATGCACCACTCTGGCGAGACAGTCTGCGGGCAGGGAGGGTCTCATCCTGTGTACCAGATGGAGCTGGTAGACAGCTGCCCTGGACACAGAACTGACCTGCACCTCCATGGACAGCTGTGAGTCTAAAATGACTCCCAGGCTGCGCACCTGGTCCTTCAGGGGCACAGTTGCCCCATTCAGGACCAGGGAATCCTCCACACCTGCCCGCCTCCTGTACTTCTGTCTTGTCAGGATTCAACCTCAATCAGTTAACCTAGGGCTCCCCAGCTGCTTTGGACTACAACTCTCAACATCCCCGGCCAGCCAGGTTGCCTGAAAAGCCCTTTAGCCCTTCTTCTGTCTCTCAAATGGGATAAGTCATGACTGATGGGAGTTGTAGTCTAGCAACCTCGGGAGGGAGGAAGAGACGCACTGGAACGCCTTGTGCTTCCTGCTTGTAGCTTACGCGTGACATCTAACACATAGCCACCATTTACCACGACATTTATCCACGGAATAAATTTATTCACAGGAAAAAAAGGTGCGTGGGTTTTTAAAAAAGGTAAATCACTCTCATCATTTATTAAGCTAAAAAACACCAATTGAAAAGCACCGATCAGACATTGCATTCTGAGGCCTCCATCGCAAACTCAAATCTGGTTGCAATTTTTTTGGGGGGGAAAGGATCTTGGCCTTTTAAAAAGGGATTTGGCATTCGAGGAATTCCAAGACGCAGGACAGAGACGTGTTTGGGGTGGGCTAAAGACCTCAAGGGATCCCACTGACATTTGGAAATCTCTCTTCTCCCTTCTGGCTAGCCTAAGGGGTAATGAGGGGCAAGGCTGGTTGCCCTGGCGATGGGAGAGAGGGGCCACATGGGACAGAACGGGGGTGTCAAGGGGCCATGGCGATCCAGCCGAGGATGAGGAGGGAACCACCATAAGGGGCCGCCTTGGTCAGGATCGGGTCCCCTGTCACGGCGTGGTAATACAGGGCGCCAGAGAACATCCCCATCCCCAGAGACAGGATGCTGCCAGCCTGGGAGGAACAAAAGATACAAGTTAGAATCACTGAATGAATGAATGTTTATTTGCGTCAGCCATCGGCCGCAGCAATAAAACAACAATACAATATACAAAGAATAGAAATAAAAAGGTTTTATTTCAGGGGGTCAGACTAGATGAGATTTGGGGTCCCCTCCCAACTCTGAGGTTAGTACCAGTACCTAGAATGTGGCCTGGCTGTGCATGTCCCACCGTCAGGGATGATGGGGACAGCTTTTTTCAGCCTGGCACCCGCCAAACATTGGACTACGACTCCCATCATCCACACCCAACGGTTACCCAAACCTCCCCTGCCTTGTGGAACAGCTTTAGAATAGAATAGAATAGAATTTATTATTTATACCCCGCCCATCTGGCTGGGTTTCCCCAGCCACACTGGGCAGCTTCCAACAAAGTATTAAAATACAGTGGTCTGTTAAACATTAAAAGCTTCCCTAAACAGGGATGCCTTCAGATGTCTTCAAAAAGTCTGGTAGTTGTTGTTCTCTTTGACATCTGGTGGGAGGGCATTCCACAGGGAGGGAGCCACCACCGAGAAGGCCCTCTGCCTGGTTCCCTGCAACCTCACTTCTCGCAGGGAGGGAACTGCCAGAAGGCCCTCGCTGCTGGACCTCAGTGTCCGGGTAGAACGATAGGGGTGGAGACGCTCCTTCAGATATACTGGACCGAGGCCGTTTAGGGCTTTCAAGGTCAGCACCAACACTTTGAATTGTGCTCGGAAACGTCCTGGGAGCCAATGTAGGTCTTTCAGGACCAGTGTTATGTGGTCTTGGCGGCCGCTCCCAGTCCCCAGTCTAGCTGCCGCATTCTGGACTAGTTGCAGTTTCCGGGTCACCTTCAAAGGTAGCCCCACATGGAGCGCATGGCAGTAGCCAAGTGGGAGATAACCAGAGCATGCACCACTCTGGCCAGACAGTCTGTGGGCAGGGAGGGTCTTATCCTGCATACCAGGTGGAGCTGGTAAACAACTGCCCAGGATACAGAATGGACCTGCGCCTTTAGGAGAAGAAGTAGCTGAGGAATAAACCCTACGCAAATTTGGAGTCTCTGAGGCGCTTGGTTGGCACCTTGTAACCCCACCTCCCCAAAAAACCCCTGCCTATTCTAAGTCATCCATCCTTACCATCATTGGATAGCGGCAGTGGGGCACAGCCAGGAGAGCCAGGCTGTGGAGGAAGTGGTATTTGTTGGCCGTCTCGTAGAGCTACAAAAGAAGGTCAAGGATTAAGGTGAGGACAGTGATTCAACACACACAGGCCATCCCTGTCGTCGTTGGGGGCTCACAACTCCCATCAGCCCCTGCAAGTGCGATGGCCGTTGTAGTCCAGCAATTTCTGGAGCCACAGCTTCCCCATCTCTGTACTTCAGCCATTTGCTTCCTCCCCACCCGACGTTGGACTACAACGCCCATCATCCACAGCAAGCTTAGGAAATGGTCGTGGATGATGGGCTTTGTAGTCTTCCCGGTGCCTTCCTTTTTCAACAAGGGGAGATCTGCTTCCTAGGCTGCCTCTGTCTTGGATTTTTTTTTTAAAAAGTCTTTATTGAACATATTCCACAGATTTATACATCAATATACTATATTACAATTTATATCCCATCCCATACTGGGGGGAAAAAAGAAAATACAAGAAAATTAAAACAAAAACTTCTGATTGTTCTCAAAAAACCTAAATCACACTTGTTATATTTTACACAGTATTATATTATTTCCTTAAATCTTTTTAATAGAGAAGAAACAAAAAGAAAAAAGGTTAAATAGAAACATTTGTTTTAAATATAGTATCTATACATTGTATTGTATACATGTTTTAAATATATTATCTATACATCTGTATTGGATCTGAAAGTGTTTCAGATTGTTTCTGTACATGGAACTGTTTTTAGGATCATTTTCGTTTTAAATTGTGTCATTGTTTTTTTCCTATGTGGAACTAAAGCCGCTGCTTTTACTATTGGCGTTTTTCTCTGGGAAATGCAACTTTGAGATTATTTCACGGGAAGAAATCTGCAGATTGAATTGGACAAGCGTGGCTACATCTTGGTGGCCTCGGGTTGAAAATGCTTGCCTAGACAACCCAGCGTTCAAGTAAGAGGAGCGTCTTACGAAGGCAAATTCGGGAATGCTGGTTCGTGATCTCACTGAGAACGGGCAGCTCCACCCACCTGCGCCACCCAATCTCCTTTCCGCAAAGAACCAAGTTATCCGGGTTCCCTCCCAGCCCCTTCCCAGGATTGGAGCCCTCCTGGAGATGGGTGCCGGGGGGCCCGACTAGCAGCCACAATTCCTCTTAAGGACATGAGAGGAATCAGCAGGATCAGGCCATAAAGGGCCCGTCTAGTCCAGCACCCTGTTCTCACAGCGGCCATTATCAGAATCCCTCAATCAGGATTTGAACACAAGATCCCCTCTCTCCCCTCCTCTGGTTTCCAGGAACTGGTATTCGTAAGTATCCCTGCCTCCGACCACGGAGACCCGAGAATAGCCACAAACAGTCCTCTCCTCCTTCATGAATCTGTCCTATCCTCTCTTAAAGTGGGAAGGAGTTCCACAGGTTAACCATGCGCTGGACGAAGGACTTTCTTTTACTGGTACTGAATTATTATTATTATTACTTAAATCTGTCAGTCGCTTTAAGCCAAACAACATGTCCCAACGTTCCAAAAAGTGAAGTGGAAAAGGAATGGGAGTGTCTAAATGAATACCTTAAAAGCCAAGGTTCGAGGACAGAAATCTGGCTGAGTCTGGAATAACCTTGTGAAGTGAAAGGATAAGAAAGAGGGATTTCTATCTAGAGGCTAGGATAGAGATGATAAGGAAATCAGGAAGATACAATGAGAGATAAAGGAGGTGATGTGGGATTGGTGGAAGTCAATTTTTGTTTTTCTTTTAGTATTTATATTATTAACTTGTAAAATGTGGATTTGTTTTTTGCTTTGTTTTGTTGAATGTTGGTTTTTGTGTTTTATGTATTGTTATTTTTCAATATTTTTCGTGTTGTTGTTGTGTGGAAAATACTAATAAAATTTATAAAAATATAAATTTTGAGCTTGATGTATGGGTACCCCCAACAAAATTTAAAATTTGGCTGTATAATTTGGAATCAATGTGATAATGTGATGTGATTGGCCTGTTAATAAAAATTACTTTAAAAAAAATATTATAAAAATATTTTTAAAAAAACATCTCCCAACGTTCAGCTTCAGAAGTTCTAGTGTTAGGAGAGAGGTAGGGGATAAAAAAATATCTGTCCACTTTCTCCGTGCCAGGCGTAATTTTATAAACTTCCATCAATTTTTCAAACTGCTTCCTTCCATCTAGTTAAAAAGGTAAAGCGACCCCTGACCATTAGGTCCAGTTGTGGCCGACTCTGGGGTTGCGGCGCTCATCTCGCTTTATTGGCCGAGGGAGCCGGCGTACAGCTTCCGGGTCATGTGGCCAGCATGACTAAGCCGCTTCTGGCGAACCAGAGCAGCGCACGGAAACGCCGTTTACCTTCCCGCCGGAGTGGTACCTCTATCTACTTGCACTTTGAGGTGCTTCCAAACTGCTAGGTTGGCAGGAGCAGGGACAAGCAACGGTAGCTCACCCCGTCACGGGGATTCGAACCGCCGACCTTCTGACCGGCAAATCCTAGCTCTGTGGTTTAAACCACAGCGCCACCCGCGTCACTTTCCATCTAGTTAAGAACACACAAACTCATTTCCCATCTATCGCACCCAATAGTGCCTCTTCTTCCACTAACCTGCCTCACTTCATTCCTCCCCGGGGGGTGGGTGAAAATTTGAACCCCCCAGGGAAGGGTTTCTCGCTCCACCCACAAACAATGACAACCGGCGGTTCCGGTTTAACTGGCTTAGCCAAAGGGACTGGGAAGGGAAGGGGGAGAACCAGTGTGGTGTAGTGGTTAGAGTATTGGACTCTGAGCTTGGGAGAGTCCAGGGTTCGAATCTCCACTCAGCCACAAAGATGTGACCTTGGGGGCCAGCCACTGCTTATCAGCCTAGCCTACCTCGGAGGGTTGTTCTGGGGATTAGATGGGGCAAGACGCGAACCATGTACACGTCACCGTGGGCTCCTTGGAGAAAAAAGGTGAGATACTGTTATGGATGCTTCTGAATTCTGGTGCTGGAGGAGACTCTGGAGAGTCCCATGGACTGCAAGAAGATCAAACCTCTCCATTCTGAAGGAAATCAGCCCTGAGTGCTCACTGGAAGGACAGATCCTGCAGCTGAGGCTCCAAGACTTTGACCACCTCAGGAGAAGAGAAGACTCCCTGGAAAAGACCCTGATGTTGGGAAAGATGGAGGGCACAAGGAGAAGGGGACGACAGAGGACGAGATGGTGGGACAGTGTTCTCGAAGCTACCAGCGTGAGTTTGACCAAACTGCGGGAGGCAGTGGAAGACAGGAGGGCCTGGCGTGCTCTGGTCCAGGGGGTCACGAAGAGGCGGACACAACTAAACGACTAAACAACAACAACTGTTACGGGAATTACGGGGGGGGGGGCATATCTTCAAAGTTGTTAAATGTTACAAATATTATGCATAAATGTATCTTTTCGACTTGAAGTTACCTAGCTTTAACAATCATATAAAATCAACTCCTTTGCCAGTTTCCTCCATTCCAAAGCTATTTCCCCCTTGAAAGGGACTCCAGGAAGTTCCCAGAGGTGACAATTGCTGAGCTGATTGTTGGCCAAGGAAAGCCTAATCCCATCACCGGACTTGCCAAGGGGTCCAGACATGCAAAGGAAGTTGTATTGGACTTTGGGTGGTGGGACTTCAGAGGTGTTTGCCTCTGCTCATCTTATACCTGGGTCTTGCCCTGACATGTCTGCTTATGCCAATCTTGGACCAAGGACTTGTCTGGACATGTTTGCCAAGGTTAAAACTAGTGTAACCCCTGTCTACCCCTCCCCTTTGGTGACATGTCAGTGATGTGGCAATGATGCTGTACGAACTGTATTCTGGGATATGGTGGGAAAGTTTTAAAAGTCCTTGTCACCCCATCCTCAGGGTTCAAAATTCCTCTTTGAACCTGTTGCGCAATAAACTTTGGTCTACGACTATTTGTCCAGTTGGTGGCTGGGCTCCTTCCTTTATTCAGCAGGGACCTGCGATCTCTGCCCAACCAGCTGGGTGACTGAGCAGCCTCACACCTAGATTTTTCCGTAACAGATAAAGGTAAAGGGACCCCTGACCGTTAGGTCCAGTCGTGACCGACTCTGGGGTTGCGGCGCTCATCTCGCTTTACTGGCTGAGGGAGCCGGCGTACAGCTTCCGGGTCATGTGGCCAGCATGACTAAGCCGCTTCTGGTGAACCAGAGCAGCGCACGGAAACGCCGTTTACCTTCCCGCCGGAGATGTACCTATTTATCTACTTGCACTTTGACGTGCTTTTGAACTGCTAGGTTGGCAGGAGCAGGGACCGAGCAACGGGAGCTCACCCCATCATTGCGGGGATTCGAACCGCCGACCTTCTGACCGGCAAGTCCTAGGCTCTGTGGTTTAACCCACAGCGCCACCCGCGTAACAGATACAAATGCAATAAATAGAATCACAGAACAGTGGAGTTGGAAGGGGCCATGAGGGTCATCTAGTCCAACCCCCCCGCAATGCAGGAATCATTTGCCCAATGTGGGGCTCGAACGCACAACCCTAAGATTAAGAGTCTCATGCTCTACTGACTGAGCCAAATAAGACCGTTTACCTCTTTCAAGTAGTCATCTTGGTCGCTGCGACGGAAATCTGGGAGGAGGAGGGTGGGGAAGAGAGAGAGAGAGAGGAGTTAGCAGAAACTGCACAGGAGATAAACTGGGGGAAAGGGGTGGGTCATCAACGCCTCTCCAACGGACAGCTGCAAAATGCGATATGGTGGAGGAAAAGTCTCCTTGCTCTGAGCTTGGAACACAAACAAGGGAGGCAAACCAGAGGGCCCAATTCACCCGGGGAAATTCTCAGCCTAAACGAGCCAAAACCCTAATGTGATATTTAAGTGAACTTTGAAACTCCCTGCCTATTGACCTCAGGCAGGTGCCTCCACTGAACTCTTTTCAGTGCCTGTCTAAAAACATTATTCCTTAGACAAGCCCATGCAGATATTTAGAAAGCTGACGGTGCAAGTTTTTGGCCTGTTGTAACTTAACATTTCAAAAGCCTTAAGTCACTGCTCATTTTTCTTGCTGGTCATTTTATTGCGTTACTATTAGCAGTAGCAGTAAACCGCTTTGAGTGGTTTGGTTGGTTGATTTCATTTTGTAATCAGGTAAAGGGAAAGGGACCCCTGACCGACTCTGGGGTTACCCATTCATCTCGCTTTACTGGCCGAGGGAGCCAGCGTTCAGCTTCCGGGTCATGTGGCCAGCAGGACTAAGCCGCTTCTGGCGAACCAGAACAGCGCACGGAAACGCCGTTTACCTTCCCGCCGGAGCAGTACCTATTTATCTACTTGCACTTTGACGGGCTTTCGAACTGCTAGGTTAGCAGGAGCAGGGACAGAGCAACAGGAGCTCACCCCATTGCAGGGCTCTGTGGTTTAGACTACAACGCCACCCGCGCTGTGACTACCTTACACTGCGTTTAAAACAAAAATCGCATTTGGATAGAAAGTGTTTCTCAGGCGGCTAGTCCTAGTCTTTATAACCCTGTACCTTCTTCCAGAAGGCAGAAGCTGAAAGAGATCATTTCCAGGGTGCGCACTATCCTGCACTATCTCTGCAGCTTTCTTATGGCACTGCCTGGAAGCATAGAATTGATCCAAGGTGGGTCACCCAGTTACAGTGATACCTCGGGTTACAGGCACTTCAGGTTACAGACTCCTCTAACTCAGAAATAGTTCCTCGGGTTAAGAACTTTGCTTCAGGATGAGAACAGAAATTGCGCGGCGGCAGCGGGAGGCCCCATTAGCTAAAGTGGTGCTTCAGGTTAAGAACAGTTTCAGGTTAAGAACGGACCTCCAGAACGAATTAAGTACTTAACCCGAGGTACCACTGTATTCTCTCCGCAGTATTTGGGAGCTGCCCACAAATACCGTCGGGGGATCGAGGCCAGGATTGCACCCACTATTCTCCAACCCCAGCACCCGCCTGCCCTCACCGTGAGCTCCGTAGGCGGCCGCCCCGACGGCCGCAGCCCCGCTCAGCGCTCCGAGCCGTCGGAAAAACGCCCCGGCGCCCGCCACCATTCCGATCCCCGAAGTGAAAATGTATCAACTTCGTTTCCGACTCCCGGCGCGCTTTATCCAATCAGCGCCCTCGGCGGCTCGTTAGTATGCAGCCCCCTCCCCGCAGAACGCCGCGCCTCAGCCAATCGGCGTTCCCCAGCCCTTCCTTCCGCATCAGCCAAAATTCGGAAAGGGTTGGCCAATGGCGTGCGGCGTCCCGGATTGGAACGCGGGCGCGTCCAATGAGAAGCGCGGTTCCTCCTCCTCCCCGCCTCTCTCCTCCAGTTCCATTCTCCTGATAGGCTGTCTCCCGGAAGTCCATCTCAGCACGTCAACCAATCAGGGGGGCGCCTGGTAGGAAGGCGCTTGCAGCAGCTTCTGCCACAGCTTAAAAAGGAAGGAAAATTAAGATGTCCGCTGCTCTTAGGATGCATACGGTAAGCGTGTGGCAAATAGGAAAAGTCGGCTGCGCGTTAAAAATCCTACCAACCTTCATCCCATCTTTTTGGAAGGAAGGAAGGAATTTGTTCGGGCTCCTTGTTTAGAATATTTACGGCACACCAAGTGTCTCCACAGCGCCGCCTGGTGGAGGAAAAGAGATTCCCATGTGGTTTCTCCTTTAAAGCCATTGCCTCCTTCCTGCTGCCTCTTCCATCATAAAGAGGCATTGTCTGTTTCATCATTCCCCAACCTGGCGCCCTCCAGATGTTGCCGACTGCAGCTCCCACCAGTAGTCCAAAATATCTGGAGGGCGCCGTGTCTTTTTTATTATTTCAAACAAAAGCAAAAAGCAAAAAATAAAATTTCAAATAATTCTCAAAGCACTCGTTGGCCCTTTAATTATTTTTCATCATCAGGAGGATGATTTCTCTCCTCGCTCCCCCACCCCAATTTTTCATTTTTTTGCAAGCGTCGACCACCAGAGGGCGGCAAAGGCGCGACCATTCAGCGCATGGCGACAGCATCGGGTTTTTAATGCTGATTTTTGGGGTGGATGGTGGCTCTGCCATCCGCATTGCTGGCTTAGCAATGCCACAAATTAAATTTTTTAAAAAAACCTTGCCCGGTTAATTGCACGAGCGTCGATCGAGGAATCAATCGCTTTACCCACGCACAAAAAAATGAACACGAGTGTAACAGGTTTGGGTTTTTTAAAATTTTTGGAAGACGTTTCCCGTGAATGATAGAGGGGGAAACCCCCGTTTATAAAGCGACCTGCAGTTTTAGCAAATATTCAGGGTTTAAAAGCGTTTACATCCCCAATTTAGGGACGTTTTTAATGACTGATGTTTTAATGTACTTTTAAGCTTTTGTTGGAAGCTGCCCAGAGTGGCTGGGGAAGCCCAGCTAGATGGGTAGGATATAATTATTATTATTATTAATAATAATAATTATTATGGATTGGCCAGACCTCACAATACAACCAAAATCCATTTCCATATGTGATCAGATCCAGATGTTTGCTTTGAACCAGGATCCCACATCTTCTAAAATTCTCTTTTTCTCCCATTGCAGTCTTCCCCCAGATATTTGGACTACAACTCCCATCAGCACAATGGGAACTGATGGGAGTTGTATTCCAAAACACCTGGAAGGGGCCAGCTTGCCGAAGGCCCCTCTAAACCGCTTTTCCCAGGTCCCCAGATGCTGCCGGACTACAACTCCCATCGTCCACGACAATTGGCTGAGCTGCCTCAGGATGCTGGGAATTGTAGTCCAAAATATCCGGAGGACGCCAGGTTCATAACGAAGGCTGTCTTTGTGGTTCTCCCAGGCCCGGGAGGTGTTCTGAAGGCAGATCTTCAAGAGACACGAAATTAAAAAAGGGCATCGGAGCATGCGCAGAGTGGGATTCGAGAAAGGGTGGGGGGCACGCCTCCTTCCTGCTGCTATCCGATCATGTCACCTTCGGTCCCGTGATATCCCGTGTTGCTCATCTGAGGAAGGTGGCAAGGAAGTGTTCAGTGTAAATTGCATTCACCACCAACACCTCCTCCTCCGCTCTCTGCCCCAAATAGCTCGTTCTGGGGTTGTTGTTTTTTTAACACACACACACACACATATATAACACATAGGGACGCGGGTGGTGCTGTGGGTTAAACTACAGAGCCTAGAGCTTGCCGATCAGAAGGTCGGCGGTTCGAATCCCCGCGACGGAGTGAGCTCCCGTTGCTCAGTCCCTGCTCCTGCCCACCTAGCAGTTCGGAAGCATGTCAAAGTGCAAGTAGATAAATAGGTACCACTCTGGCGGGAAGGTAAACGGCGTTTCCGTGCGCTGCTCTGCTTCACCAGAAGCGGCTCAGTCATGCTGGCCACATGACCCGGAAGCTGTACGCCGGCTCCCTCGGCCAATAAAGCGAGATGAGCGCCACAACCCCAGAATCGGCCACGACTGGACCTAATGGTCAGGGGTCCCTTTCCCTTTACCTTTATCAGCTTGAGCAGCAACCTCTGGAAACGAAGGGCTAAAAACCGGCGCTGCTCTCCAAAATTATCTGGTCCCTTTTAACTTTGTATTTCAGGTGGTTGACTAAAATCCCTTATTTTGGCTGCTGATCCCTTTTTTTCAAATCTGTAAGTTGACAGCTATGGGTGGGGCAAATCTTTAAAGTTGTTAAATGTTACAAATATTAAGCCTGAATGTATCCTTTCAACTTGACAGCTCAGGGAAGTTACCTAGCTTTAAAAATAATATAAAATCAACTCCTTTGCCAGTTTCCTCCATTCCAAAGCTATTTTCCCCTTGAAAAAGGACTCCAGGAAGTTCCCAGGGGTGACAATTGCTGAGCTGATTGTTGGCCAAGGAAAGCCTAATCCCATCATCGGACTTGCCAAGGGGTCCAGACATGCAAAGGAACTTCTATTGGACTTTGGGTGGTGGGACTTCAAAGGTGTTTGCCTATGCACATCTTATACCTGGGTCTTGCTCTGACATGTCTGCTTATGCCAGTCTTGCACCAAGGACTTGTCTGGACATGTTTGCCAAGGTTAAACTAACCCCTGTCTAGGTAAAGGTAAAGGGACCCCTGACCATGAGGTCCAGTCGTGACCAACGCTGGGGTTGCGGCGCTCATCTCGCTTTACTGGCCGAGGGAGCCGGCGTCCAGCTTCCGGGTCATGTGGCCAGCAGGACTAAGCCGCTTCTGGCGAACCAGAGCAGTGCACGGAAACGCCGTTTACCTTCCCACCGGAGCGGTACCTATTTATCTACTTGCACTTTGACGTGCTTTCAAACTGCTAGGTTGACAGGAGCAGGGACCGAGCAACGGGAGCTCACCCCGTCATTGCGGGGATTCGAACCACCGACCTGATCGGCAAGCCCTGGGCTCTGTGGTTTAGACCACAGCGCCACCCGCGTCCCAACCCCTGTCTACCCCTCCCCCTTTGTGACATGTCAGTGATGGAGCAATGATGCTGTACGAACTGTATTCTGGGATATGTCGGGAAAGTTTTAAAAGTCCTTGTCACCCCATCCTCAGGGTTCAAAATTCCTCTTTGAACGTGTTGCGCAATAAACTTGGTCTATCACCTTGCCAACAAAGGTCCATATACCGTATTTTTCGCTCTATAACACGCACCAGACCATAACACGCATGTAGTTTTTAGAGGAGGAAAACAAGAAAAAAAATATTCTAAACGAAATAGTGGATATATGATTTTTGTGGTTCATGCTGTGGCCACAGACATGTGATCTGACAGTGAGTTTGGAGTAGCCCAATGCAAAAATCCTGAGGATCCATGTGGATCCATGCTTTGTAACCACGGAGGAGGGAAGGAAGGGGAACCATGGATCCTCTGCTCACGACTGCAGCAGATCCCCCCGCCACCCGCAGGCATTCGCTCCATAACACGCACAGACATTTCCCCTTACTTTCTAGGAGGAAAAAAGTGAGTGTTATGGTGCAAAAAATACGGTAGTTAAAGCCATGGTTTTCCCAGGAGTGATGTATGGAAATGAGAGCTGGACCATAAAGAAGGCTGATCGCCGAAGAATGGATGCTTTTGAATTCTGGTGCTGGAGGAGACTCTGGAGAGTCCCATGGACTGCAAGAAGATCAAACCTCTCCATTCTGAAGGAAATCAGCCCTGAGTACTCACTAGAAGGACAGATACTGAAGCTGAGGCTCCAAGACTTTGGCCTCCTCAGGAGAAGAGAAGACTCCCTGGAAAAGACCCTGATGTTGGGAAAGATGGAGGGCACAAGGAGAAGGGGACGATGGAGGATGAGATGGTTGGACAGTGTCCTCGAAGCTACCAGCATGAGTTTGACCAAACTGCGGGAGGCAGTGGAAGACAGGAGTGCCTGGCGTGCTCTGGTCCAGGGGGCCACGAAGAGGCGGACACGACTAAACGACTAAACAACAACAACACGGCTATTTGCTCCGGTTGGTGGCTGGACTCCTTCCTTTATTCCGCAGGAACCTGCGACGAGCAGGGTGACTGAGCAGCCTCGCACCTAGATTTTTCCGTAGCATGCATGATAAAAAGAGAACGTAAGTATCAGAATGGACTCCCTGGGAAGGCGATGGGCGGTTTCTAAGCAAAGGCTGGACGGTCGTCTGTCACGGATGCTATTCCTGCCTCGCAGCGGGTTGGGCCAGATGACCTTTGGGGTTCCCTTTGAACTCGGCACTTCTACGATCCCACAGCCCAGCCCTCCTTCTGGATGTCAGTTGGGCCGTGCCATGTGCCCAACCGTCCTTCGACACCTCCCATTTGCTCTTCCCGGCTGAGAAATCCACCCCACCCCACCCCAGGGGCCACGGGCTCTATTGACTGAAGACGGGTCTGGTTCATCATCTATTTTTCTCCCGCATCGATTTCAACATGGAGATCAACACCTCCTCTCTTTTCCACGCAGTCAGCTTTCGTTCACCCACAAGGAGGCATGAATATGCAACGCGGGGGCCAAATCGATGCTGACCCTTTGCACGCCTCCTGTCTCGTTGGCGCAAGACGGGGGGGGGGAGGTGGGGGGGTCGCTCCCCCGCCCTCTGCTGCAGGGGCATCTGATGGGAGTG